AGAAAAGAAAAGAAAGGGGATATCATTTGCAATTTTCCCGCCGGTGAATCGAGGAGGGGCAAAAGGCCCTTACCTCCCCCGCCCCCGCCATAACAAAGAGAGAAAGAAGGAAAAGGGAAAGAGGAGAGCTAAAAGGGAACAAAAAAGAGGAAGAAGAAAAGAAAAGGGTGAAAAGAACGGGAGATCAGTTCCGGTTAATCCCGCCAACAACGTGTGGATCGGGGTGGGGGCCGAAAGGCCCTTGCCACCCCCCCCCCCACCCCCTCCCCTCGGCAAACCTTAAGGAGGAGAGAAAGGGAAAGAAGAAAAAAGAGAAAGACGAAAAGGGGGGGCACTGGCGTACTGATAGGGGGGGCTTGGGGAATTCAAATTCAAACGTGGTTTATTTCTAATTCCATAATGGTGGCTTACAAATAATGCTGAAATCTTTCCGAGATTTTTCCTCAGTTTTTAGTAAATTATACTTTTGTATGCGTTTGTTGGAAAATGACAAATTCCTAAATTTACAGCCAGGCAAGAAATATGATTCTTGAGAAAAGTTAGAGCCCGTGGATCGGCTGGAATCGCAAGCCTCGAGCCCCCCCCCCCCTCCACTTTTTTTTTGAAAAGGTAAAGTAAAGAGAAATAGAAATAAAGAGAGCAAGAAAGAGAGAATAGTTAACTAGCTGCTCATCTGACCGAAATTAAACGCCTCAAAACCCCTGAGCTTCCGGGGTTCCGTCCCTTGCACCCCTCCTAGGGCCCTAGACTCCCCTGGATGCTAATCTGACGGAAATGTAATGCCTAAAACCCCTGTTTTCTGGGGGCTTCGCCCGCTGGACCTCACGCCAATTAGTGTCCTACCAGTGTCACAAATAAGGTATAAAAATATGTTCATCTGACCGTAATCAAATGCCTAAAACCCCTGAGCTTCTCGGGTCGGACAAGGTATCAAAATTTGTTTATCTGACCGCAGGCGCGTAGCCAGGGGGGGGGGGGGGGGGGATAGAAAAAAAAGAGAGGAGAGGAAAGGAAGAGGACGTAGGGAGAAAAAGGAGCAGACAAAAAACATCTTTGAAATTCAGACAAGAATTAAGAGTATAGAGAACGGTACAACGAATCGTCTTCTATCTCTAATAATTTAATGAATCGTCAAAGCTTCCGCGCTTCGCGGAGGGGGGGGGGGGGGACTGAATTAAGACAAGGATTAAGAGTATAGAGAACGGTACAACGAATCGTCTTCTATCACTAATAATTTAATGAAACGTCAAAGCTTCCGCGCTTCGCGGAGGGGGGGGCTGAATTAAGACAAGGATTAAGAGTCGAGAACGATACAACGAATCGTTTTCTTTCTCCAATGATTTAATGAAACGTAAAAGCTTCGCGCGAGACGGGGGGGGGGGGGGAGGGTGGGGAGCTGAATACAGACAAGGATTAAGAATCGAGAACGGTACAACGAATCGTTTTCTTTCGTCAATGATTTAATGAAACGTAAAAGTTTCCGCGCTTCGCGCAGGAGAGGAAAATTGCATTCAAACAAGGATAATTTTCGAGAACGCTATAACGAATCGTCTTCTTTCAATAATAGTTTAATGAAACGTCAAAGCTTCCGCGCTGCGCGGAGGGGGGGGGGGCTGAATTAAGAGAAGGATTAAGAGTCGAGAACGGTACAACGAATCGTCTTCTTTCTCTAATACTTTAATGAAACGTCATAATTATATAGCTTCCGCGCTTTGCAGAGGAGGGAGGGGGGAAACTCGCCCCTCCCTACATCCCCCTGCATTACGTCACTGCTGGTCACCATTACGTACCAATATTTGGCTCGCATAATTTCAAATTTGGGCCCCCCCCCCTAAGAAATCCTGGATCCGCGCCTGTGTACCCCCCCCCCCCCCCCCCCCCCCCCCCCCACTGAGCGACTTTTTCGGCCGGCGCGATTTTCAAATTTTCGGGAGCAAAAAAAAAAAAACAGTTGGGCCCCCTCCCCTAAGAAATCCTGGATCCGCGCCTGCATGCATGCAAACTTTACATACAGTTTTTGATAATATTAGTTTTCTAAATATGAAGGCTATAAACATTTCTACTTATTCTTTGTGCAGAAAAACAAGAAGAGTCTTCTGTATACAGGTATACAAGGGGCTTTAGGCATTTAATTACGGTCAGATGAGCATATTTTGATTCCTTTTTTGTTACACTGGTAGGCCACTAATTGGCGGGGGGTTCAGGCACCGTGTTAGGGCCCCTAGTGGGGTCCAGGGGGCGGAGTTCCATGAAGCTCAGGGGTTTTAGGCATTTAATTACAGTCAGATGAGCATTCAGGGGCTCGTCTTAGGGCCCCTAGTGGAGTCCAAGGGTTTTAGGTATTTAATTAGGTTAATATGAGCATCCAGGGGACCGCCTTTGGGCCCTTGGTGGGGTCCAGAGGGTGGAGCCCTCGTAAGCTCAGGGGCTTTAGGCATTTAATAACGGTCAGATGAGCATATTTTGATACCTTATTTCTTTCTCTCTTTAAGTCTTTAGTCAGCTCTGTTTGTTGCTACGGCAGGCAGCCAGTGAAAACGAATTCGTTTAATCAAATCATGAAAATGCAAGCATTACTTTAAACAAACAGAACTTTGTTATTCCTGGCTCATTTTTCCTGCTTGAGGTGTCATGTAAAAGCTTGGGGCAGAAAATGTACTTTCTAGAATTGTGATTTTTCTCTTTGAAATTCAGATACCGTTCGCCAAATGACTTTTTGGTACCCTCTCTTCAAATTGTTTTTAATCACTCATGCGTGAAATATGCATTATATGAGTTGCATCATATTAAAGAGGAGGATCTGACCTTCAAAAATATGTGTCATTTGTTAATTATTATTGTGATTAAGTTATGATAAATCATTGATAATTCTTGGTTTCGTTTTTATGGGACACACTGTAAAGATTCAAGATTCAATAAGGTTTTATTCACGACTTGTCAAAAAGTCAAAGACTAAAAATGCAAGTTTACATCAAACATACAATCATATAAAAAAAACATTAAAAAAACATATATTTATATATTTAAAGAAAACATAGCAAATGGGAGAAGAAAAAATAAAAAATATATATATATAAAATTGAATAAATGTTTACATCAAAGCATTATTAAAAGAAAAAAAATAATTACACGATATCAAATATTGCTAGCAAAATTGTGTAAATGTTTAAATCAAAACAAAACAAATAAAGTGTGTACAGCTACGGGAATTCAATTAACTGTAACGTAGGAAAAACTGCGATAAAGTGCAAAACAAATTTCATTCAGATGGTGTAATAAATATTAAAAAGTATTATAAAGTATTAACAATGGAGTATTGGCAGTGTGGTAATCACAAGTGTGACATGAGTAAAGTACATGTATAGCATATTGCACATGAACAAAATTGGAAATCCTTAGATATTATTATTAGTAGATGAGCGAGATGAAACTCACTGCAAATGTAGATAATTATATACCTTATCGAATTCAGGGTGCACAAATTGTAGCAGCTACCATTAAAGATGATTCGTGTAGTGTAGGGTATATAAAGGGGGTTTCGGCCTTTAATATACAGGGGCGGATCTACGGGGGCGGGGGTTAAGGGGGTTTAACCCCCCTCCCCCCCCCCCCCCCCCCCCTCCTTGGGCTGCCAAGTGAAAATGTGTTGTGTATAGAAAAACGCCATCATGTGTCCAGACCCATACAGTATTAGTAGATATTAGCAAATGCCAGGAAATCATCACTTTTTAATACGGGGGTTCAAAATATAGCTAAAAAAAACCTCCAAAAAAATATCGCCTCGCCGCTATGCGGCTCGTGGACGATACTCTGCATCGTCATTTGGTCAAACCCCCTCAGCAAAAAGCTAGATCCGTCCCTGATATATATTCACATCTATTTCCTGGTCTTATTAAATTTGACGGAGCTCACAGCAAATGTATAGATTATTATTATATTACTCTCTCTCTCTCTCTCTGTATGTCCTAATCAATCCTTTACTTTCCTCTTAATATTACTCTCTTTCTCCTCCAAATGTTACATTATTATTAATTATAGATGAGCGAGACTCCTCCAAAAATATACTTTGTCAAAAGATAACCAAAATCTTTTCTTGAGGAAAAAAAGAAAATTCATGAATAAAATGGCTAATTGGCCCAAAGCTCCATCTCAAAAACCATAATTAGTAGTGAAAAATTCCTCTTAGCCTCAAAGCAACTGAATTCTAAAAATTAAAGGAATACACTTTGCTTAGAACTAATTTTAAATTAATGCAATGAAAAACAGACCTCCATTTGAAATTCATTTACAAAAGATTTATTTAAGTAGTTTTGATGAGTTTCCATCTCCATCAAAATGTAAATAGCACTTTAGAAATGTTCATAACATATATTCTTACATGATTGGCAGATAAAAAGTACATGATACAATATTACATTTATAATACAAAATATTTTTTCTAAAATAGCGATATAGAATGTACCAGTCTCTTGGTACTACTACATTAACCTTTTAAAACAAAGCAGACATAACACATATACATTTTAAAAGTCAAGAGATGTTGCCTTGAAATGTAATAAGAGATGTAGAACTATTAAATTAAACAAGATAAAACTAGCTGGAACTTTGACTGCACGCAGTCGAAAATGATGCCTCCGCCATAGAGCAATTTCACAAACCAAATCAGAAGCAATTTTTCAAAATCAAGTTTAATTGTAATCCATTAAAGGTTCTCAGAATATTGTGATTACAAGCTATATTTCATATACATGTATGACCCTCTTCTCTTTGACCCCAAACTCTAATCAGTTCATTAGCTCTGCAAGATACATCCAAGACCCAAGTTTGGCAGGAATCCAACCATCGGTTCTTGAGATAACGCGATCATAAGCTATTTTTGCATGCATAATGAGCCCCGAGACTTTTGACCTTTGACCTCGTGACCCCAAAATCTAATCAATTCATTAGCTCAGCAAGATACATACATGTCCTGAGTTTGATGGTAATCTGTCAATCGGTTCTTGAGATAACGGGATCACGAGCTATTTTTACATACAAAATTAGCCCTGTGACCTTTGACCCTTGACCTCGTGACCCCGAAATCTAATCAGCTCATTAGCTCTGCCAGATACATACATGACCCAAGTTTGGCAGGAATCCATTAATTGGTTCTTGAGATAACGCAATCACGAGAACGAGACGTACGTACGAACGTACAACCCGAAAACATAATGCCTCCGGCTACTTCGTAACGGAGGCATACAAATATTTTTCCCAAATAAGTTCATGTATTACCACAAAAATTAGAAGCATACATTGAAGTAACAGTACCTGCACATTATGAGCCTCCTCAACGTGGCATATTAAGGAAACAATCGGTAGACTATTTCACTGCTTTTCATGGCTTGTAGTTCGCACTACAATCTCCAATTGTTTTGGTTTATCTGTATAAAAAGCAAGCTATTTGTCAAAATATCAGGCTAATTTAAGGTGAAGATAAACTCAAGACTTTTTTCTTGATAATGGCATGCTGCCAACTCTGTTTGCACACACCTTTGACAATGGCATATCCCATACTACGAGCTCTGCACATGATTTAATGCAAGAATCACTCAAAACAACTCTAGTGCAGCAATTTTTAGCTAAAACAAGTTGTTTGGACACGAAAGGGTTAAGAGGAATCTTGCCTTTAAGCGCTCTTCACTGAGACTCAATCTGTTCACCATAACCGACTCAATAGGTTCCACACTGACCTTAAAAAGACCGCGTTATTTTGGTGGATTCCAATACCCCTCCTCTGGATCTCGGCCATGTAGTGACAACAAATTCTGAACATGGTACATGAATGAGGTATCCTCTACTTGAGGCCCCTGAAGTTTTGTAGCTGTATATCAACCAGTTGTGGGACTATTACTAATTAATCGTCATTCGTCAACCAGCAATAGCCAACATTTGAAACAGACGTACTGCAGGACAGACTTCTACAAGTTCTCCTATTTCCCTCGTAAGTGCAAGGACTGGAATAAGTTACCTGATAGCGTTATCAACACGGGATAAATTGACTCCTTTAGGTCCCATGTTCCATGACCACGTGCCTCGTTTACGTGTCTTTATATGGACTAACAAGTCTGTCGACATGTACTGAAGAAGAAGAAGAAGAATTGACGATTCTGCACTGTGTACAATACAAACTTTGCGCTACCCATAGATTTGTCTAGTTTTGTTTCTCCCTCATCCTGCTTTTCCTAGTCTTGGTGTCGATTGTCGCAACCAGCCGCTCCTCGAAGCTATCCTCATCGATGTGAGCACCGGTCAACGCTTGCAGAACGAGAGGTAAGCTCCTCTTGTTGCAGCAGCGTATAGGAAGGACTTTACCGGCCAGCTCCCCTTGATTATACGCTAACTGCAGAGCCATCTCGACCGTCATAGACAGTTCCTGGTTTTTGTACTTGATGCAATCACTCTCTGTGATGATGAGGGCCAGATGGGTTGAAGAGTTCAGCATGCGTTCAATGTCTTCGTGGGTGGGGGCACCGATTGGAACGGTGGACTCCACAACCCACTTGTGCCGGTCACAGATTTTCTGGAATCTACACCAGACATGGAAATAATTTATATAATGAAAAGGGATTGTTAAAAGTAAGTCTTTCCATTAAGGTTTCATAGCACCATACCAGTGTATAATGTTTTTCAGCATCCCCCCTCCCCCCCCCCAATAAAAATTAAAAATTCCCACCTTCCTTGAAAAGTAGAAAATCCAAATTATAACATGCCTGGAAAACATACATGAACAGAGAAGCAAACTACCCCTTTCAATTCATACATTATATTTCTGCAATCTTTGTTTGCAGGCCTCACCACACATTAATTTTGGTAAGCATGATTAGCAGGGGCGGTGATCCCTCGGGGGGGGGGGGGACACGTTCTCCCCTCAATTTTGTTAGGACGGATTGTCCGTTCCCCCCCAACCCCCCCCCCCCCCCCCTCCCTGGAAAATTTGAAAGAGTGCACACAAAAAAAATGTATAGTAAATAGTGACTACAGACTGCAACATTCTGTTAGGCTCTGGAGGGCCCAAGAGTGCAGCTCCCTTGCATAATATCCTTCCAAATGTACAAGTAGATATTGTAGAAAATCTGTTTTCCGTTGGTATCACGTAAAGCACAGTTTACACTGTAAATTGACAAGATTAAGAGTTATAGAAATAAATCAGTGCTACTCCCTATTTCCAAAAATTTACGTACTAAATATTAACAACCCTTCCGATTGCACACTTAATACCGGCAAAGTAAAATTGAAGTGTGAAAAAGTATATTACTTGTTTTTGTACTAATTTTTCAATACAGCAAAACTTCAAAAACCTGTGAGGGGGTAGTCACTTCCGTCACCTTCACCCCTCTCATTCACTATGCTCACTCGTATTCCGTCTCCCCCCCCCCTCCCCGGTCATGAAAAGAAATCGCCGCCTCTGATGATGAGCATACAAAATTGCCTAGAAATACTCACTTTTTTGTGTTCTCGCTTTTGCCAGAGTGCACGAGGAAGATATCGTAGAATTCATCCTTGCTGTTTCGTCCCGTCGTCTCTGTCTCTGGTATGACATCTGGGATGGGACTAGACTCTTCACCTTCTAATGATGCCTCTAGGTCCCTAATTCCAAGTCCTAAACACCAATGAAGTAAAAAAAAAAAAAAAAAAAAAAAAAATTGTATTTAAGCAGTTAATGTATAGGGAAGAAAGATTCCGGTCTAAATCAGGGGACTCATGATGTCAATAAACAAGTTCATTGATTGGAGAAGGGTGGAGTAGGGGGTGTTATCATCTTCTTTCAACGTTCCCTTTTCCTCTATTTTTCTCTTCATCTCTTTGGCATTGGGGGGGGGGGGGGGAGTGCCCCATGCAGCTACGCCACAGCCACTTTCATCATTTATCCTGTCATCAATTCATGCAATACATCCATGCACATGGAAAAGTGAAAGCACAGGGAAACTTTAAAATGGTCTGCTTACTTTTCCGTAGCCAGGCTGCAGTAGATACTTCATCAGTTTTAACCAGTACTTCTAGGAATCGCTTGAACATATCCTCCAGATTCGGCATTCTCCTGTCAAATTGCTGGAAAATCTTGTAAAATTGTGTTACGAGTTGCGGATTGTCGTGTTCGACTTGTGCCACCAGAGATTCTGTGACTCCTAGCCGTAGGGCCATCTTCCTGAGGTCACAGCTTCCAGCAACCTGCTCTGCTATTTCATAGAATATCAGATCCTTCTCATCTTCAAGATTTATTGCTTGTCTAAGGGTGCAAGATAAAGTATAATTTCATGTGTGTGTGTACTGTTCAGAAAGTCCCAAAATTGTGCAATTTTTCAGAAAGATTTTAGATAAAACTGTTTACATTGAAAATTAAAAAATTGAATGAGAATTTTCATAGATCTTTGTTTGTATTAAACACTTCAGGAATATTTTACACTGTTTAAAGAAACTTGCCTAGACTAGAAACTGCAGTGAATGTCATTCCCTATTTTTTTTAAAGTTTGAATTTTCATAAAGCATCATTCATTTACAAATGATGTCCACTGCCGCAAAAAGAACACCATGGTAAAATGAGGTAGCATAAACAGTGTGCTTTAGATGTCCACATCTATTAAAACACGTAGGGGCCTTTTCAGCACAGTTTTTCATTGTTGTTGATGCTCCTCTTGACAGTTTTTGAGGGGGCTAAGTGCATAAAACTTGACAATAAAAATGATCATTTAAAAAATTAAAAATTAAACCTGCTCAACATCCTGTGTGGGGCCTCAATATTTCTCCAGATACATGTACATATATCTGGAGGTGTACTGCAGATCTAAAATGTACTAAATATACATAGAGGGATTACATCGAAGCATGTGCTACACCTGGGTTGAGACAGGCAATGATGAATGAGATGCCTTGCTAATGGCTGTAACCACTGGTGCAAGATTTAAATCTCTAGCCCTACTACACAAAGAAGTACAATGAAAACAAAACAAAACCCTTACTCAACAGCGTTCCTTTTGACTTCTAGCCTTGCTCCATCTTCGCATCTAGTGCCAGGACTGGCAACTGAAGAGGGATGGGTCCTGGCGCTAACTTCCTCTTTAATACAGGGTTGATGTTGTAGAGTTGATTGTGGCACTACTGCTGCTGTAGGTCTGTTGGAAGGCACGGCATCTGTACTATCCTCTGACACTTTCATCTTAAGATCTTCATTTTGGAATAAAAATTCAGATTCAAAATCTAAATCAATCAACTGGATACAGTTTCAATTTTACTTATGTTCTTATGTTATTTTCAATATATATATCACTTGTCAGACAACATTAAGAGTAAAAAGGACACTGCCAGAATCCTGATAACTATCTTTCTTTTCCTCCTCAAGCAAAACTTTTAGGGAAGTCATGCCCCAGCTTTTGTCAAAGATTTAGCTCACCTCTTTTTTCATCTTTCTTGGGCTGTTCCTCTTGTGTAGGTAATATTACAGCCATCTCCTTTAAATTTAGTCCTGGAGCCCGGTCACTAAAACCGGAATCATTAGTGTCCTCTCCAGATTGATCAACATTTCCTCCTATTTTTAGAATTCAGATTAAGATAATTTAGATTCAAATTGCCTCCAAAAAGGCAATGGCATAACAAAAAATGCACATAATAACAATTAAATACATGTTAGGACTTTTACAAATCTTTCAATGATATTATTTTGATACCTTTCAGTCTCAGTTCACAAAACATTTTCCATGGAAAGGTAGGCCTACAGTACACTCTTTGGCATGGTTGATGCATATACATGTATAAATTAATAGCTTGAAACATCTGTTTATGAAGTATAATAAAGAGGTCATTGTGTCAACAATAATTACAATGAAAGGTAAAACTAGTCAAAAACAAAAAGTGGTAGTACATAATTCCATTTTCTGCATGTTTTTTGCATGTTAGAGGGTTAGTACATTAGAAGGAATATGAAATAGGTAACATTTCACGCACAAATTACGAAATTTTTTCATCAACCATCAACAATGTTACAAATCCCTTTAAAACTAAGTCAGTGTACTGCTGTCTCTTGTTCGTTTCCATTTTGGCAGTATTTTATCTCACTTATTTTTAAATTCTTCTTTTTAAACAAATGGTAATGGTTAGGGTAATGGTTTTATTGAAAATTCATTTGCAGCCAGATTGATAGATGGCTGAATTGCAGAATTGTGTACATTGCGTACAAAAATAAATAATTATGCAAACATAAATAAACTACAATAAAATTATCCAGCAAATTAAGACATACATGTAACACACAGTCATTGAATTTTCTAAATAAATCACATGTACATATAAATCATTAAACCATACCAGTCTGATTTTTGTTGATCTTTGGTCGAAGCATCTCTTGTTTTCCCTTAGGAGATGGGTTGTCCATTTTTAGTTTGTCAAAATCTCTCTCAACAATGGTCACCCTGGATTATGATGAAATTTTGAAGGAAATAAAAAGAGATTTGGTGTCGTTGTCATTGCAATCACATCAATCTTGTGAATTGTCAGTATACATGATGTTGTACAACTTGTATTCCAATGGAAAATTATACAGTCCATCCTCCTTTCTACAGATCTACAACACCTGAAATACCCTGCAACCCTCGCGCTCAGGGAATTAAATTCATGCTCGTTATTTTTATTTGATAATGATCATATTGGCGTTGGGCCGTCTTTCAAATTTTGAACAAAGAATGGATCAGAGATGAGTTAATATACATGACGAATAGTCTAACTTCTTTTTTCAAAGACCATTGTAACATCAACTTGAAGAATTTTAGAGAAATTTTGAAATGGATTTTAAAAACAAACGAGAATCAATTTACATGACAACACCCTGATCTAAAGATCCCCCAATTACCTCAGCTCATGCTGTCTTGTAACATGTATACACATTATTATGCCTTTTATGGGCATAATTAGGGATGTGTGTCTTGCATGCATGCATGCCTCTTTAGTCTTGCATGGTCCTAACTCCAGCGAGCGCCGACGCCAAAGGCATCGGCGTCGGAGCTCCCTGGAGTTAGCATGGTCCCAACATCGCATCCTTCATTTTATCAAATTCAAAGCCAACGCAAAGAAAAGGTAAGATATGTTTGGCCATTTCGTGATTAAGCCACTGCACTGCCAAATTGCAAAGTAAAATATCAATCAGTTGATACCACTTTCTACCCCTGCTTTCTACTCACTATTTTGATTACACCTCAATTTGTAGACAGTCGTGTACGTGTACAGCGAAAATGCATTGATCGCAGCATTTGTTCGCAGGCATCGGTGACGTCAACTACTGAACTTTCTACATGCACAGTAGTTCAGAGTGGGAATTCCCCGGCCGAAAGGTCAAGGGTTAAAAAAATAGTCTTGGCATACAGGCTTCACTTGATCTCTCTGCCAACAAGTAATGACATGTCACACCAGGGATATGCGAGTTAAATTTTGTTTACTTTGCGACCTGTGTGGTTATAAACAAATTCATTTAATCAAGATTTAGATCGAGTTATGCAATGTGACGGGGTGATTTGAAGAAAAAACGGTGCTAGCTGGGTTCAGGAGCTGGGTTTACAAAGGTCTAAGCTCAAGACTACAGACAATCTTCGTTTGGTAATTTGGCCATGACATTTTTATTTAATTTTTATGACAATATAAATCAAAGGATATTTGTTTTTTTCTCCACATATTCATACTTTTTATTATTTTTGTCTTCTCCTAACTGCATATAATATTATATGTACCAGTATGTACAATTGTCTATGGAATTGTCTGTCCCAGCCCCCCCCCCCTTAAACTGTCAACTGGTTCTCACCACTATCATTCATTTACAATTTTTCCTTTCTAGACTCATAACTCCCCCCCCCCCCCCCCAACTACACACACACTCAAAACAAAAAACCTCTCACTAGATCCACCAATCATCTTTATCAGCGTCATGTTTCTCGGACAGAAATCAAAACATACAACCATGTCTGTATTGAAAACAAGTATGTGAGGTGTTTATTCATCACCACATGCGAGAATAAAATGAAAGATAAGACCCCCAAACCACATCCTCCCTCCACAAAAAGAAAATGAAATAAAATGAAACCCATCACAGTTAGTGTCTATAAATTTCTCAAAATCTTTTGCACAATAATAAACCCAAATAAAGCTCTATGGGACTACACAATCAATCATACAGAATAACATGCTTATAAATTTAGAAACAATATTCCTGAACATTGAATGGACAAGCATCATGTCCCCTGTAACAAAAGGGGAGAACTTGGGTACAACACAGTCAGATCAGTATGTGAAGGCAGTATTATCTAACAACTGAACTGAATAAAACAATCCCTTACTGCCAATGCTCTTGCTTATATGACATTGCTACCCATACCTTCAATAAAACTATCAAAACATTTTTACTACCTTGGATTAGGGAGTAGAAAAGTTCAGTCTGAAATGTAGAAATGTGTACTTTTTACAAAAGACAAAGCAAAACATGAACATCTAAAATGAAAAATGAATCAAAATTCTACTCTAGCATTACTTTCCAAGGCACCTACAGTTCAAGCCAATGAAGAACCATGGTTACTTCATAATTTTCTCTTTCGAAGACTGGATTTATGTCCTTTACAATTCAAACTGTGATCTCAATAGCTGAGGATCTTTTTAAGGTGCAACAGAGTTAGTGCCAAGAACTCGCATAAATATGCAAAGAATGAAATAGTAGTAGCAGACATATATTCATCAATTTTCCTTCCTTGAATAAAGTTGAAGAACCAAATTCCAGGTTCGAATAATTATAAATGTATGACAGCAAGTAAGTTCAAATGCATATATTAATACATAATTACAGGAATGATATGAATATTCATATGCTGTGCATCATGTTTAATCATCTCTTAGAAACCCCAGACGGGGGCCTATTCTCTCCCATTTATGCCTCTACGACATTGTACAAATTTACCATCATAAACAAAACAAAACCAAATTTACATGCAGAACAACACCATCAACAGAATAGAAACATACAAATAGGAGTACTGGTAGCAGTGAGGCCCGACAACACTTCATAATCATTATGTGATTGTGTACGACGAGAAAGAAAATCATTATTGATCATGGAACGTCTTAAAAAAACTAAACAAACCTATGAGATGCTGCCAAAGCAACACCATTTTGATTAACCAGTAGGACAGTTCACATATGAAAAGAAAAACGCCTCCTTCCATGTCCTATAGGTAGAATGAAGGACGATAACAATTATGTGAACAGGTTGAAAATGAAAATCAATCCACACAAATTACATATAAAAGTGTGAGAATTCTCTACTCGGACGTGACAACTGGTGTTCCAGAATATGTAGGCATGAAGTACAGCTACGTCTCGCGTTCCTAGACCTTTTTCTTCACCCCTATATATATATATATAAACAAAGTTGACTGGATGTCATTAATGTTACATAGTGATACATTATATATAATCAACTATATCCACGATATAAAGGAGATTAGTATTTGGTGCAATACAAATTTATCAAGAAAAAGAAATACTAAATGCCTTTTTACATGAACACTATTCATCAACTGAATCAGCTTAGAATCCCAACACATGTGAATATATAAAATAGGGATTTAAAGGTGAACAGTGTGAAGACTGCAGAACAAAGACATGAGTGAATGTGGATCAAATAGTACAGGGAAGGCCCCAAACAAAGTTGTATTGGAATAACAGGCCATAGAAAAATAGGGTAGGTAGGTAGGTCGGTTATTATTGTTGTATATTTCTTTTTTTCTCCTGAGAAAAAGGATACTTGTCCCGAGTTTGCAAACGCACAAAACAAAAACACCTATGGCTTAAGTAAGTAAACTGGTGCAAGACAAGAACATCACAATATTGCACTATCGTGATCGCTACAGCAATGATATTTTATCAAAATGTTTAGGGTCAGGGAAATGTTTAGGGTAGGTCGGGTTATGCCAATACAACATTTTGGGGGGTTAGGGGCCTTTGTGAAGTTAGGATTTGTTGCGAGGGAGAATAGTGGACAAAATATCCTTGTTCACAGATGTGTATAGAAAGCAGGAAAATTATCAACAGAAATGGATTAGGGCCAAAATTGACTTTACAAAAATATGAATATCTACCTCTATGACGAGCTGTGCAGCAGAGTGCTCTGTCCGTTTCCACTTCAACCAATCAATATTTTCCTCACAGAATTTGTATTGTTTGTTCTATTTTTGTTCCTTCTTCTTTTTTTCTTTTATAAAAAGGGAAAATTAAGTTCAGAGATAGCAGCAATATATTTAAGATATCAGGTCAAAATAATGTAGCCTTCAAGCACATACTTGCGATGGATTTATCCGTCAATTAGATATAAACTGGTCATTACGTACTTTCTAACCAGCACAATACACTTTCGACAAATAAGAAGATTACATATCACCATTATATGATTTCTCTTTGGCCAATCGAAATTCTAAAATATTTGGCTTCAAATAGACTTGGATAGATCACTGTGCTATTGTTTATTGAGACCCAAAATGGCATTAACCCATAGTGCTTCACTCAAGAGTTAATACCCTTCTAGCTCACTGTAAAACGATATTCTGAAAATATTTCAGTTGATTCTTCCACACTCATTTTTGTGGTTGCATTTTGAGGCAACATTAAAACAAGCTTTACACTTCAGCATTTATAAGGAACACATAGGATACATTGTTTTAATCTCTGAATTAATTATTAAACTATGAAAGTCAAGGAATTAAAAATTATATACCTAAACCATGAACTCCATCAGTAAAAATAGTCTGGCTTCAAGGCAGAAAAAACATATATACTCTTTACATGGCATTATGTAGCATTCTATGTGAAATTTAAAGAAAATAAAATGACTACTAAGTATACTGTGTAAGTTGGGTATAAAACAGTTGATGCTGAACAGGAGCATGGATTTCATCATTGATAATTACAAATGATGCTTAAAAGGCAATCCAACCTGCGAAAATACAGTAATCTGAATAATGATCACAATTGCCATTTTTATATAAAACGTAGGTAATTCTATGAAGATAATGTCTGCTGAGAGCAAGTAGGTTAACAACTGGCTCTCGGCAGACACTTATATGTTCGGTAGACTCTAGCCATACACCAACGAAACAGAATCATCCGCCTTGAAGCCAGACTAGACACACAAGAAAAGGCTGGGAGTGTTGCAGGAGTCCACGGTTAAATAAATTAATGTATAGTCTAAGTATTGTGTTGATGTCAGGTTCAAAGTTCATCCTTCTTCTCCACCTCCACATCTTCATCTGCATCATCATCATCCATGTCAAAGTCACTAAGGTCAATGTCATCTTCCTCCGGCATCTGGTAAGAAAGAGAAATATGTACACAGGTCAGGGTGTGATATACTTTGCTAGAACTTGAAAATGGATGAACATAGAGGTAACAATCGGTGCGCAAAGTGGATATGCGCACTTCTTTTAGATTTGTAAATTTCCTAATAAATCAATACAATTTGAATCGGATATTTTGCTCAGACATTTCCAATACAGGATGCAGTAAGTAAAACAAATATTGACAGCATATTTCTTTAGGTCATGGTTTAAAAAGTATAGCCCCTAAATTTCATCTGGAGCACAGTCCAAGCAATCAATATTTCTATACTCATTAACATTATGTCAATGATGCAAAAGTACCTAGTTTCTTTTAGAATGTGATATGAAACATCCCTGAAAGCTATAAGAAAATAGGACAATGGAGAAGCATACTTCAACTGGGATTGATTTTGTTTTTTGCGGAAAGCAATGAGATTTGGAAGTAAGACAAAAAAATATGGGAAGAGGTAGAAATGGAAGAAATGGTAGAAGTGAGAGAAACTAGATGGAATTCGACTGCGCGCAGTCGAAAATGATGCCTCCGTCATAGAGCAATTTTACAAACCAAAACAGAAGAAATTTTTCAAATTCAAGTTCAATTGTAATCCATTGACAGGTTCTCAGAATATCGTGATTACAAGCAATTTCTCATATACATATATGACCCTTTGATCTTTGACCTCATGACCCTAAAATCTACTCAGTTCATTGGCTCTGCAAGATGTCCCAAGTTAAATAGTAATTCATCTGTCAGTTCTAATGAGAATGCGTTCACAAGCTAATTTTGCATACATAATGAGCCCATGACCTCGGACCTTATGAAACAAGAATCTACTCAGTTCATTGGCTCTGCAAGTAACATACATGACCTAATTTTGGCAGGAATCCATCACTCGGTTCTTAAGATAATGCGATCACGAGCTGTTTTTGCATACATAATGTGCGCTGTGGCCTTTGACCTTTGACCTCATGACCCCTAAATCTAATCAGTTCATCGGCTCTGCAAGTAACACACATGAACTAAGTTTGGCAGCAATCCATCAATCGGTTCTTAAGATAATGCGATCACAAGCTGTTTTTGCATACATAATGTGCACTGTGGCCTTTGACCTCGTGACCCCAAAATCTAATCAGTTCATTGGCTCTGCAAGTAACATACATGACCTAAGTTTGGCAGCAATCCATCAAACGGTTCTTGAGATAACGCGATCACAAGCTGTTTTTGCATACATAATGAGCCCTGTGACCTTTGACCTTTAACCTCGTGACCCCAAAATCTAATCAGTTCATTGGCTCTGCACGATACATTCATGATCAAAGTTTGGCAGGAATCCATCAATCGGTTCATCAGATAACACGATCACGAACTGTTTTTGCATACCTAATGAGCCCTGTGACCTTTGACCTTTGACCTCGTGACCCCAAAATCTAATCAGTTCATTGGCTTTGCAAGATACATACATGACCAAATTTTGGCAGGAATCCATCAATCGGTTCTTCAGATAACGCGATCACAAGAACGGGACGTACGTACGTACAGACGTACGTACAGATGTACGTACGAACGGACGGACAACCCAAAAACATAATGCCTCCGGCTACTTCGTAACGGAGGCATAAAAATAATAACAGGAGTAACTTAAGACACTTTTCTTTTAAAATAAAAGAGGGGGAAAAATCAAAAGGCTAAAATAAAGAAAATATGGAAACAGAACATTAAATGAGGAATAGAAATAATAGTACTTTTGTGAAGACAAACAAACTGTACCTCTGGAGTGGTCTGGTGGATTGGTCCAGCGTAAACCAGTCCAACGAAGTGAGTGAGAATGGGGTCTTATAATGAAATTGTGAGTATAATTGACAAGAAGAAAAGTTAGAAAGAAATAGGCAACTTACCTCTCCATCCTTTCCATCCCAGGGTTCTTTGGTTTCAATACCTGGTAAAGCGTCCCCTCTTATAGATTCTGATGAGCCTCTCCCAACAGAAACAGTGCTAAATTTATAAAAAAAACAACAACAAATAAACAGATATATTTAGTCAGATCCATTATCACAATGTAATTGATATTTCTCTTGCATAACTCGTATGCAGTCTCTACTACAATGAATTTTGAATAAATAAACTGACAGACTTAAACTCATCGTCACTGAATCACAGGACTTCAAAAAAGAATCATCATCATAATGTTCATCATTAATTTTATTGTTATCACCATAAAAATTATGATCATCATTGTTAGTTCAATTGTTATATTTATTATTCTCATCATCATAATTATAATTACCATTATTCTTATTATATACATGTATCATCATTTTTCTTTCTTTTAATATATAATTATAATTGCTGTTATTGTTGTTATTATTATTTGTTTTATCATTATTATTATTATCAACATTATAATCATTATCATAATAATCATCATGATTACTATTACAATTCTGGAATTTGAATTTCATTTCTTACCGCATAAATTCATCGATTCCTTCTTTGCTAAATGACCCTTTGAGGATAGAGAACTTTTGTTTCCTGGTGTTAACAGCTGCCATGGCAGGGTACCCAAAGCCACCAATGCCAAGGGACTCTTCCAACTTGGAGTGCTCTCCTGCAGATGTCCAAACCCATCTGATGGAACAAACATTATAGAGATGGTTTTTTTTATAATGTAATGCTTCCTGGGAGAAATTTCAATTATTTAATTTATTCCAAGATTTTTTCTGACTTGTTTTTCAATACAGATCGATCAATCGATCTTATTTACTGGGTGTAAGCCACAAATATGTTAAAATATAGAGATGATGTTATAGACCTGAGAGTTGAGAACCTGGGGCCTGTTTCATAAAACTTTTTATCTATCACAAATGCTTAATTTCTATGATAAATTTGCTCTCAGCCAATCAGATGCCTTGATTTCAGTAGCTTATAACAGTAGCTTGTAACTTGTTATTGATACCAAGTTTTATTGAAACTGGGCCCTGTGTCCTTTTCTCAAGCATCAAGGGGCAATCCAACCTTTGTTCATAAGTTCATTTGTATGAAAGCAGGAAAATAAGAGAAACACAATGGCTAAGTTTAAAATAAATTGGACAAATAATATGGGTGTTATAAATATTTGAAAAAAGGAGATCACTAAATCTATGCACATCTCAAATTGGCAATTTAGTACATGGATTTTGATGTAGTCGTTGACAACTCTTCCATTTGTTGTGTACGTAAAAAACATGAATTTCTGTTTTTCTGCTAAGTGCTTTTTCACTTGGGGCACTACTCAAATTATAATAGGGGAAAAGACACTCCTGATTAAACAATTTGGGAAAAAATGTATTTTAGTAATTCTATGTGTTGCAACAAATGATAAAGTTGTCCAGCACTGCATCACAGTGACATTACTGATTCAGCCAATTTGATGTTCCCAATTATACAGTGATTACAACTTACAAAAAATTATGATTCACTTTATTTCTTATCTACTTTAGGGATTAATATCCTTTTTGTGAGATTTTGAGAAATTTCTTTTGGTCATCTCCTCTGCATGCCTTAATATTGATATTAGTGATAACCCCATTGAATATAAAGTGACATCACTAGATTTCTGGCTTGATATTTAACAGGTTGCTGTAAAACCAGAAAATTTCACATCAAGCCATTTCTCAGTTTACAAAACATCCATTCTTCACAACAAGAAACTTTAGCAAATTTAAAAAAATTCAGCATTGGTTCAGATATGATTCAATTATTTTGCAGCATGAAACATTCACGAATCTGAACCACCTGCAAAATTGATGCCAGGTAGAAATGCCAGAGGTTGAAATGCCAGAGGTTAAAATGGCAGAGATAAATTGGCAGATAAAAAAAAATGTCAGAGGTAAAACTGCTAGAGGTAGAAATGTCAGTGGCAAAAAGGCAAGAGCTTAAAATGCCAGGGGTAAAATTTTCAGAGGTAAAAATGTCAGAGATAAAAATGTCAGAGGTAAAACTGCTAGAGGTAGAAATGTCAGTGGCAAAAAGGCAAGAGGTTAAAAATGCCAGGGGTAAAAATGTCAGATTTAAAATTGTCAGAGGTAAAAATGCAAGAGGTAAAATTGTCAGAGGTAAAAATGCAAGAGGTAAAATTGTCAGGGATTAATATGCCAATCATAAATAAAATTGCTAACCCTGACACTTTTACCTGGCATTTTCTACACCAAACCTTGAAATTTGCAAACATATCCTGCCTGGATAAAAACCTCTGGTTTACAATTAAAATGAATGTTCAATTTGGGAAAAATTGTCTATAGTACCCAACTTACCCCCAGTCCTTCTTCTTGTATTTCTCTCCCATCCCTTTGAGGATTTGTAAGTATTGCTTCCTACCCACCGCTCCAGAATCCAAAATGTGAGGGAGGACAGAGATGATGCAGAGTGGCTTTACATCGCAAGAATCGGTTAAAACCTTCTGCTCTATGAGCTATCAAATAAACAAAATATCAAAAGACGTTGTACAAATAGAATGTGGAATTTCATGCACATGTTATAACTTTTTCACATTTTGTTTTGTTTTAGTGAGGGATGATGCAGAGTGGCTTTACATCGCAAGAATCTTCTAAAACCTTCTGCTCTATGAGCTATCAAGTAAACAAAAATATATCGAAAGATGTTGTACTTTATATACAAGGAAAATAGAATGTGCAATTTTCATAAACATGTCAAAATAATTTTATGCACACAGACCATAAAAATTACAATCTTGACTAATTACTTCTTATTATCAAGCAATTTCAAGGAAAACTTCAGTGTAACATGAATACATGTTCCTCAAATTATTGCTTCACCTATAAATGAGAGCATTAGCTTCAGGTGTGGTCTAATAATAATAATAGCTAGTTCTTATATAGCGCTTTTCAGGACCGAAGGCCCTCTCAAAGCGCTTTACAGATATATATATTATTACCCCGATAATCGGATTCAGGCTTACCCGCACATAATGTATGCACATTCTCCACCCACTGGGGAGCATTCCAGCAAGGCGTCATTTTTACAAGCGCACACTTGCTAATCTAAGCACATTAGCTTTCGCATCCTACCAGGTACCCGTTTAACACCTGGGTGGAGAGTGGCAAATGTAGATCAATGTCTTGCCAAGTGCAGCGGTGGGACTTGAACCGCGGACCTTGTGATCCACAGTCCGGTGACATATTCACTCGTCCACAACACCTCTACATAATTTTTTTTTGTACACAACAAATATTCCCAAGAAACTGGACTCACCTCCATGACTTCTGGTGGTGGTATATTGGCACTGAATTTGTCCAGAGCCCATGCGACAATGGCTGTTGCTGTTCGGCCACCATCGTACTCCTCAGCACTGTTAGCATCTTTGACACCGGCGGGGAAATACCTTAAGGTGGGGTAGCCTCGAACCTGGGGGTGGGGGGGGGGGGGTAGGGGGAGGGGAAAAAATATATGATGTATGAATGATGATGAGAAATCAAACATTATTTGGGTTGTTTCTGGGTCTGTGTGCAGGCAGGTCAGAATCCGTTGACCGGGGTAATAATGTAAAGTGCTTAGAAACTTGGACGTTCCCGACGTATTAAGCACTATATAAGCGAAAATAGTAGTATTATTTTTTTATATTATGTTAAGATTGTGATCACGATTGCCAACACGACCAAGCAAGACCATGTTTGAGAGGAAAACAATCAGAGAAATTCACAATTTTTAAAGCAAAGTGGAATATGAAGAAAAAAAAGGAATCCACCAATAGATGGTTATGAAAGAACTGTTTAAGAACCAGAACAATCAGGCCTAATAATTTCAAAGATGTATCAAGTATGAAGATTGCCCTTTTGACTTGAATTTAAAGGGATAGTTGAGCTTTGTTGGAGAGGGCGCTACACAAAATAATTTGTTTGTGAGATAATGAAAAAAAAGTGTCTGAGTGTCAAATTTGAAACAACATACAATTAAAATGACAAAATCATCTTTGTTTGGTCAAAATAGGTTCAGATACGGCTGAAATATCCATATATATAACTAGGCTTGTGCTTGTAAAAATAAACTACCATTCATGAGAAGATTGCAAGAACTGAAAGGAGATTTACAACAGAAGAATAGAGATTTGTTTAAAAATCATTTATGTTTAATATACTAACACAGACATAAGCACTGTATGGAAGAGGAGTCAAAATAACTATATGCTTTTAATTAGAATGATAACAAATAATCTCAGTATCAACTTCAACTGATATAATCATACAAAATATTCAGAAATGTCTGGTATCAAGTCTTACATTGTATCGGCTGGCCGTCACAGTATGGACTGTAGCATCTAAGGCTCCAAGTTTCATCTTGCCTTTGAGCTCGGTGGCCGCTTTAGCCCACTCTGGGGCTAGCGACTTGCAGTGACCGCACCATGGAGCAAAGAACTCAACCAAAACACCGTCTTTGCTGTTCAGAACCTCTTTCTCAAAGTTACCATCTGTCAACTCGACGACATCATCTGCCTGTTGATACAAGGAAGAATTATGTCCAGATAAGGCGACTTGAAAAGGCAATAGTTTGAAACTAAATTGATGTCTGATAACAAAGTTACATGGATATCTCAAGTGAAACTGGCTTTAGTAATCCTAACCTACATGTAACGAAGAGCACAAGACCTTTTAAGAGGAGCAAATATAAATTGTTCTAAATGAATTGTGAGAAATCAAATTCACTGAAACATAAAACTCATATCTAGACATCGTTAGATCGTTATTGACCATGTGTCATGCAAACTGTAAATACTGTGATCTCATATTCTTACTTTTCTTGGATCTTTCGTCAACCATAAAGCATTTTCTACAAAACTTGACAAACAGATATCATCTTTATGTAGTCAGTATAAGATTTTTTAGTTAAAAAATAATAGCAATATCCTTGTTGCGTGCAGTTTCATGGTTTAATCCCCTCTGGCCATTCGTTTACAAGTAAAAAAAACAAAAAAAAACACTAACTGCTGCAGCTGCAGTTTAGAGCAGCAACATCCGAGGGTTCAGTGACACAAAGACGTAACTCCATATTTTGCCAAAATGAGTATTTGATAACAAAATGTTCAGAAAACTGTGGGCTTTCCAGGAAACACAAAGACTTAACTCTTCCCAACACCCCATTGAAGTCAATGGCTAGTGAAACATAAACTGAACTCCTTAAGGCACAAGTAGACCTCTATCATTTAAACCACTTTTTCTCAAAATAGCCAAAATGGAGTTACGTCTTCGTGTCACTGACCCCTCGGTAAGTGAACAAAACTGGGGGTAAAACTTGCTTGAAAATCACTTACCTTTCCCCCGCTGCCCCCACTACCGCTGCCCCCGCTACCGCTGCCCCCGCTACCTCTTCCACCACCTCCTCTACCACTGGACCTTGCGTTGACCATGTCCTTGACAGTCTTCAGCCCTGATTCTATGATTCCGGTGGCTGTTCGGGCACCTATGCAGGTCAAAGGTCATGGTCAAGGTCAAAGGTGAAATGGGAATAGGTAAAATAGGAATGACAAGGACAGAATCTTTACATGTGATGGTGTATCTTGGGAAGGGTACTAAAAATAAGGGGGGATTTTATTTGTGGAAGTGTTTCGCACAATTCTGGATATTACCTTTTTTTCTACCTTAAAATTACTCGAGTTGGACAAATTTGACCTTTAATAATTTGGATCACTTTAAAGGTAAAGACCAGTTATGGTCATGCGATTGCATTGTGAAAGAAACGTTGTGGAATCGATCAGAAAAGGTTGATCATCTAGCATATAAGTATTGGTGTGTACTGCAAGGTTCTGGAAGCATCAAAATGATAAGAAATTTGGCCCAGTCTTCGTAAAGTTACAAGCACTGTACACAAAAAGATGTATATGGGACTATACGCACAAGTGCGTTTATCTCTCACAGACCATGTAGATAAACTAATTTACCAAATATATCAATTAGTAGGCGGTTTCCCGGCAAAATTGTTATCATCGTGTAAAGTTGATGTAATTAGTCAAAACATATTCTTTCACATGATTGGTAATAAGAGCTTCCATTTCATTTTTTGAAATTGGGGCGTTTCCAATACTGGTCTTTACCTTTAATTTATTCAGGATCTAATCGCTTGTGTCCTGTATATAGAATGGCTGATAACCCAACACAGATGGCAGCATGATATTCTCACTTTGAATGCTGAATGCAATGGGATTACTCAATCTGAGGGCTTTTTAATGTTCTTTCAGTCTATTCCTCAGTGTTATCCCCATTTTTCCAACATCACAATCAGTGCATTCTATCATGAAGATGATACCCGTTTTCTCTTTTAAAGGCAATCTGTCCTTGTGTGAAAAATCTTCCTAGTGTAATCGATTTGGGCTTCTAAAATCAACACTGCTTTTGAGTTGAAAAAGGAAGAACTGCTCTCTAATCACATTCCTCCTATCCTTTTTTTTTTTTTTTTTTTTTTTTGGGGGGGGGGGGGGGAGGCTTGAGATTCTCTTTAAAGGTCACAAAGAGACCTCAGATTGAGCTGCAGTTGCAGCACACACCCTTCATACTGGACTAACACTGGATGGGATGATGCTCATGTCATTGACTCTGAAACACACTTCTGCATATGAGAGATGAAAGAATCCATCTTGCTCAAAGGAGAAATCCCTCAATGAAGAGAGAATCTGGCTAACCTAATGTAACCAGGGGGGTGTTTCACAAAGACTAAGATCGACATTAAGTTGAACTTAATTATGGCAGGCCGTTCATGCTACTGTTTGCTCTCACCATTATGATCTTTAGATTTTTTCCTTCAATAATGAATTATCAAAAAATGTAAATTCTGTAAATTTGTGACTGTGATTTTTACATTCCTTGAGAGAACAATGCCAGTAAATGGTGAGAGCAAATAGTGGCATGAAAGGCCTGCCATAGTTAAGTCCAGCTTAAAGTCGATCTTAGTCTTTGTGAAAACTCCCCTGGCCTCACTTCAGTGATCTCAATGCAGCTGACAACAAGAAACCATGTAAAATAATAATTGGGCTTGAGAAAGTCAACAAGAGGGGATAAAATCTTACCTATTAATGACCTTAACTTAAAGTCATTCTTGCTCCTTACCATTATAATCTGTAGGGCTGGCCTTGTTGGCACCAAAGACCTTGATGGTGGGGAATCCCCTGACATTGTACGGTGCACCTACTGAACTGTGCACATCCATGTCAACAGCTCCAACTTTCACTACACCCTGCATGGACAAGAATAAGGATAACATGATTAGAAATTCATAAGAGCGGTATATTGATATAGAAGGGGAGGGGTCGTAGGTCTAAAAATGCACAATACAAATTGAAATAGAAATTCAAATAAAACACATGATAGGACTATCATTAAAATAACAACAAAACAAAGCAAAACAAAGTAGAGGTATGCTAGGTAGAAACGAAAACCTTAACAAAACAAAGGGAAATTGTATTTAACAAATACTGTACATATGACCACATTACACTCTACAATAATCAGTGATATCGGTATTACTTATCACGCATGAACAGTCACACACATTGAAGAAAAAAGACAGTTCACTAACTTGGCTGGGGATGGGAGGGCATTTAATACAATACAATTGTACTTTTTCATCGTTAAAGTGTTAGTTTGGTGGGTGCATCCCCCCATCACCCCCCCCCCACGACCTTCACTTACAGTACCTCTACATTTCCTTTGCACACCAGCGAACACTTACTGTAACTATTTCTCGACTCTTGACAAATATGATGACATATATTTGGATGACATCAATCTGAAGAGCCTATTTCCTTTTTTCTACATTAAAGCCCTTCTACATTTCCTACTAGAATTGTAATCTATATCTATGGTACACTGCAATTTATTTGTTCTTACCTTCAAAGCAGTGGCGGCCTTCTTCCATTCTGGAGCTAGATTTTTACAGTGGCCACACCTGTTTGATGAAAGGAAGATCAAATATAGTTTAAAAGTCTTCTCATACTTTAGTATCCCACTACTAGTAAAGTGCTATTAACCCCCAATGTGCCCATTAAGACAGTCATAAGCTGGGTTAATTGGTGGTATCTTGAGTAGTGCATTATTTTATGCAAGCATATTTTAAAGGTACTATGTCCCTTTTGCAGCCAACCTCAAATGCTGTAGAACTTTGCAGGAATTATGAATATGTCATGTATGTCCTATCTGTGAAATTTAAACGTTAGCAGTGTCCTCATATTCAAATTACGCAAGGAAACCCGTTTACTTGCTAGACTTCACTGTCAGACACTATTGAGTGACTGACTGGCTTTTTTTCTTCTTTGGTAATAACATACATGAAAAGAGTTGTAAAGGGTACATGAGCATTTGTCTACATCAATAACCCACTTCTTGTGATGGCCAAGATTAAACTGATTGAATCTTTGCGCAGCATAAAACGTATGACCATTCGGTACAATTGTCTGAAAATCAAGACTATTACTTTTGGGCTCTATAGCCCTAAAGTCGATTTGACAACTAATAGTCGTTATTTTCCCACTTGGAGACATTTTCAAGCCCCACCCTTTTTAGGGAAGTTCTAAATTAGTATTATCTTTCAAATGCAGTTGGAATTTAACTTTTTCATTTTTTGGGCCTGCAAATGGGACATAGTACCTTTAAACACACTCTAACTTCTTTCATTTACCTCCTACAATAAAATATTGCGCAGAACATCTTTAGAATATTCTACAAGCTTTCTAATGATGGTACTTTTTTAGGTAAAGATTGCATTTTTGCTGTGTTTATTAGTTCACTTTACATTAAATAGGTAGGTTATTAGATTTGGCATGTACTAAAAGAATGGGAGAAAAATGACAATTATTGTTGAGACTCCAAAATCATACTGTTACTGTAAATGACGGTAATAAACCAGTTCTGTCATTTCCAGCCAATTCACAACTCAGAATCATGTGCAAGAAACCGCTGCTGATTACCCAACGTTGCGTCCAGTTTCGCTAGTGTTTGGGAATCATCTAGTTTCAGCTAATGATCAACCAAAACAAAATCTACCTGGCCCCTATGGTCAGTTTCACGTCCCCAAATTGTTATGGTTTTATACGGATGTAGAATACGGTAAGGTATGGATCAATTTATTTTAAAACTTGACATGAAATGCCAATGGTCTGAAGAGACTTTGCCCAAGACCATTCTGAAAGTTAATCTGTTTCTTTATACTAAATACGAAGACTATCCTTGAATCAATCCACCTACCATGGAGCATAGAACTCTACGAGCCAAACTTCATCACCGTTGATGACTTTCTGGTTAAAATTGGCAGCTGTGAGTTCCACCACATCGTCACTGGTATCAAAGAGGGCAGATGCAGCCCCAACCGCGATCAAAACTGCATTTCAGAGAAAGAAAACAGGGAATAGGTTATGAATGGTATGGAAACAATTAAACGGACTAATGTGCATTCTTGTTGCATAATAGCATAACAGGTGAATCTCAATTCCATTACATTTACAAGTTTATTAAAAATAGGTAATGGGTCTGTTTCAAAAAGTTGGGTCACAAAACTGTAACATCTTTATCAATCTGTCATTCACCCTGCATATAGTATTTTTTGTAACATGGGTCATGGTGAAGAGAAAGGGGTTGAAATGTTCTGAAGAGTATGAGAAAGTGAAATAAGCTGATTAACTATCTCCCTGAGACGCCAAGGCTTTCTGTCTACTATTGAAAAGAGGAGGAAAGAATGCCAAGCTCCTTGGAGAGTATCATCTACCGTTTAATACTTTAGCTCTTTACTCATAAATGGAGCAGTCTAGGCTAGATACATGTACATCTACGTGCATGGCAGTGCAGACTCAAGATCGAGATTTAGAGTTTGTATCATGAATTTGTTAGCTTTTACGGCATTGTCATTCAGTTTTCCACATGGCAGTCCAGGGGCTGAATTAATGTAACATAAAGGTAAAATGACAAAGGACAAAGGATTTAACAAATTTATAAATATATCATAGTAGTTTTAAAAGTACATCTAATACAATAATATGTAGGAGAGAGAGAGAGAGAGAGAGAGAGAGAGAGAGGGGGGGGGGGGGGGAGAAAGAATAATTGAGAGATGAGAAAAAAAGTCAGAATGCAGAAAAAAGGGCAAAATTAGTCTTGCAATTTCCAGAGTAAATGTAGCAAGCGGCTGCTACTGAAACCGCACCCTCTCGACTTGACACTAAAGTCAAAGAACCTGTAGATTTCCAGATCTAACAACTTAGTTGTAATTTTATCTGTTTATACTAAGTTATACAAATAATCGCTATTATCTCGTATAAGTACAATGTATCTTACGCGCATTGATACTCTTGATACTGCACGTCTTATGAAAGAAAGGCCAATGAATTCACTCTCAGACGCTTTGCAGTTGATGGAAGGTTATTTTATTTTGAAGGCAACAAAACAGCCCCGCCCACACTATATAAAAAAGGCTTGTCTTCAACGTACGCCCTTGTACAATACAGTCTTTGTGGTCATGTAACTCAATTGCCCACTATGCACGTGCACCACTTCTGACTTCTCTGCAGTAATGTCTTCTCCAGTCATGTGAAAGCTGTCACCTCCTGCAACCGAACCCAAGCCCGTATATATTCAATATGAATGAACGCCATAAAACATTTACCAACAACAACAACAACAACCAGGCCTTGTCTAGCGTGCACTCAAGATACTGATGTAAAATGACTATGGTGCTGTGATATGATATCATTTTATATCTACATGTATGTTCAACAAATGACCTATATCATATGCCCATGATTATTGCTACCGCAGATTGTAATGCGGCTTCACATACATCTAATAAATACAACAAGTTGTTCATATTTGAGTTCTACAAAATCCAGCCTCAAGAAGACTCTTATTATAAATCATAATTAGTGTACAACACTTTACATGGTGGCAGCAGTGCCAGGACTTTGCTAGACCATTTTGAGTGCAGGTGGAGCCCGGATTTGGATTTTATGGACAATTTAAGCACCGTTTACCGGCCAGGCCTAGGTTGGGATTTCGTTTACGCGCATCGACCCCCTGTGCAAAATTTGGCTCGTGTGTATATGCGGTATGGAACTGACTAGCACGTACGAAAAATTACGCGCGCTAACCGCGGAGGAATTTTGAACGGAACAGTGTGAGTCGATTGTTTACATTGTGAATGACGGAAACTTCGCAAGTTAGTTTTCCTCTACAACGATTTTGGACTGATATTCCGCTGAGATGAATTTTGAACTGAGAAAGGTGAAGCTCTGAACAGGTCAGCGATATATTTGAGGGACGTTTGAGTACTGCAGAAAACGACACTGATGATTTGGTGAGTCGCAAATATGAGATTTTAAACCCCATACGAACTGAGACCGAGTGAGCCTACCGTCCGATAGCACAGCACTGATCGAGAAGTGATTATTTGCCCTACATTCAGGACCAGCTTGATGCGGAGGCAGAACCAGAGCCTAGAGGCTCGCCAGGAGCAGAGCCTAGAGGCTCGCCAGGAGCAGAGCCTAGAGGCTCGTCAGGAGCAGAGCCTAGAGGCTCGACCGGGACCGGGAACAGTACAGTACAGCTAGGGCTATACTCCCAGCCCTGCATTTTGGTTTGGAACTGAGCCACACGGACTCGGAGCTCATCGGGAGGATCGACGACGTCGCTGGAGCTGGACACCTCGATCGACACCTACATACTATAGACCTATGAGAGTGAAACCTGGGAATACAGATCTCCGTGGAATAAGATATGAACTTGAACTGAGAGACACTAGATTTTAATCAAGATTCAACATTTTGAAATAATGGACGCTTTGCTGAATTCATTATTTGCACATGTTTGAATAGAATGGTAGAATCACCAACCTGACCATGATCATTTAATGTGAGTAAATCCATGGATAGGTATTGAAGGGCCGGCTTATATTTAATAGAGACATGGAAGAGTTGGACTGGCAAAGGAATAAATTGCTTTGGAATTGTATTATTGATGATGTTTGTTGCGATGCATTATAACGAATGCCATAGATATTTTGTCTCATTGCAGTATTGATAACACAGGATAGGGTGTGAATTTTAATGTAACCCTACTCCTATTTGTATATTAGGATAAGGCACACTATATGACCTTACTCCTTTATGTATAAGGCTGAATATGACTAGTAGTAGTTTTTTTTTATGTGACTTAGACTTCTAGGCTATATTAGATTTTATTGGCTGTTACAAAGTCACACACACAAACAAACAACATGGGAGAGATGACAGGAATCAACCCTCCCTGCATGGATTGGGCATCCAAAGATTTGCCGACTGAATTTAGAAATTTTCAATACTATTGTGAGTTGATATTTTCAGGGCCGCTTAACAAGAAGTCTGACCAAGAGAAATGTACATACATCCTGTTGTGGCTGGGTCAAGAGGGTATCAGGATTCACAAATCCTGGGGAAAGGACTTCAAGACCCCAGCTGAGGTCTTCGAAGCTTTCATAAAACATTTCGAACCAAAGACCAATTTCCGTCTGGCAAGATTTCAGCTGCAGAAATTGGCACAGGAACCAGCCGAAGCCATAGACGACTTCATGGCCAGATGCAAAATACAAGCACAAAAATGCAAGTTTGCGGACATTGAACTGGAAGGTCGCCTCATAGAACAGATCGTCATTGGCACCTCAAGCAAGAAGGTACAGCAAACATTGTTGGCCAAGGATGAGAAACTGACGTTAAATACAGCTTTGGACATCGCCAGAACCCAGGAGGCAACTGAGGCGGATATGAGACTCCTTCATGGTCAAGCCGTCAACGTTGATATGACGAAGCAACATATCCAAAGGAAGAAACAGTGCTCATTCTGTGGACTGAACCATCCACCGAGGAAGTGCCCTGCTTATGGCACCAAATGCAGAAACTGTGATAAAATGAATCACTGGGAGAAATGCTGCCGACTGAAGAAACAGGAACAAGAATCTAAACAGCAGTGGCAAAGGAAACAAGAAGCTACAAAGACATATCCGAAAAGGTCGCAAGCACAGAGATCAAAGAGACTCCATGAGATGAAAGAAGAGGAAGAAACAGAAGAAACTGACGACATGCGGTTTGAGACCATCTGTGTAGACCAGATCAGAAAGAACGAAGCCTTCGCTGTGATCGGAGTTGAGATCGGAAGAGGACCAGCGACTCTAAAAGCCAAAGTTGACACAGGATCTGAAGGGAACATTCTTCCATTACGCATTTATCAGAAGATGTACCCTGATCGCGTGGACTCTAATGGGGAACCTATCACAGGAAAGCTAAGAAAGTCACCGATAACGATAACAGGCTATGGTGAAAAGAGTGTTATTCCACAAGTAGGCCTACATACGCTCAGCTGTAACCACCAGGACAGACAAGCAAATGGAGAATTCTTTGTGGTGAAGACTCAAAGACCGGCCATCCTTGGACTTGAGTTGTGCCTGGATCTAGGATTAGTAGTCTTGAATTGCAGTCTGATGGAGAGCCATGATAGTCCCATCAAAGATAGAGAGCATTTGAAGACTTTGTATCCCGATAGATTTGATGGAATCGGAAAATTTGATGGGAAATACCACATCGTGATCGACAAAGATGCGGCTCCTGTGATACATGCAGTTCGACGATGCCCGATAGGCATAAAGGATGACATCAAGAAAGAACTTGATGAGATGGAGAGTCTTGAAGTGATAGAAAGTGTCACTAAGCCAACAGACTGGGTATCAAGCTTGGCATACACCCAGAAGCCCAATGGAAGATGGAGAATTTGCCTTGACCCAAAAGACTTAAATAAGGCAATCAAGAGAAGCCATATGCCGATGCCAACCATTGAAGAAGTCCGACACCAGTTTGAAGGAGCAACAGTGTTCAGTACCCTGGATGCCAGACATGGATATTGGGCTATACAGCTAGATGAAGAATCAAGCCATTTGACGACCTTCAATAGTCCCTTTGGTCGTTACCGTTTCAAAAGACTACTTTTTGGCTTGTGTGTTTCTCAGGACGTGTTCCAGCAACGAATGAATCAAATACTAGAGAAATGTCCTGGAGTCATAGGAATGGCCGATGACATAGCAGTCGTAGGAAAGACGGCAGTGGAACATGACGCCAACTTACACAATCTGATGCGCGTCGCAAAGGAGCATGGACTCGTCCTGAACTGGAACAAATGCCACATCAAGCAAGACCGAGTGAGATTCTATGGCCTTGTCTTCAGCAAAGATGGAGTGCAACCAGACCCACAGAAGACAGCAGCCATATCAGCCCTGAACGCACCACAGAACGTGACAGAACTCCGAGAGTTCCTAGGCATTGTGACCTACATGTCACCATTCATTCCAAGACTTGCCTCACTGACTGCACCACTTCGGGAACTTGTGAAGAAAGATGTGATATATAGCTGGACTGAATCACATCAGAAGGTGTTTGAGACCATCAAAGATATGATCTGCAAGGAGACCACACTTGCTTACTTTGATCCAAAGAAACCTGTTGTCCTAGAAGTAGATGCATCGATGAAAGGCGTTGGAGCAGCCCTCACACAGGAAGGGAGACCAATAGCGTTTGCCTCAAAGTCCCTCACAGACACCGAGCAGCGATACGCTAACATTGAGAGAGAGATGCTAGCAGTTGTCTACGCATGTGAAAAGTTTCACACGTTCGTCTTCGGCAGAAGTTTCACTATCCTCTCAGATCACAAACCACTAGAGATGATCACTCTCAAGAACCTTGGAGCTGCACCCCCAAGACTACAAAGACTACTGCTCAGACTCCAAGGGTATGACATGACAGTGAAATATAAACCTGGAAAGGAGATGCTTCTGTCTGATGCCATGTCAAGACTCAATCCTCTGCCTCCTGAGTCTCCTGAAATGCACATGAAAGTTGACTTTGTAATGTTCTCAGACAAGAAGCTACTGGAGATCCGCACCGCAACATCAGAGGACTGTGAACTTTGCATCCTGAGAGATGTAATCCTAGATGGATGGCCAGAAGAAAGGCGTAAACTTGACAAAAGCCTGATCAAATACTGGCCATACAGGGACGAGATGTCCATTGAAGACGGGATTATCCTGAAAGGTTCAAGAATTGTCATCCCCAAATGCCTGACAAAGGAATACCTGAACAAGCTACATGAGGGACATCAAGGCATCATCAAATGCCAACTGAGAGCAAAGAGCTGTATCTTCTGGAATGGCATAAATCAGGAGATCGAGATGATGGTACGGAAATGTTCTGTATGTCAAGAATATGGGAACTCCCTGCCATCAGAGACTCTGCAGCCACATGAAATTCCTGTCAGACCATGGCAATTTGTCACAACTGACCTCTTCACACTTGATGGAAGAGAGTACCTTCTTGTTGCTGACGTATACTCAAAGTATCCAATTGTAAAGCAGTTACCACAGCAAGCAACAAGTAGTGCTGTCATCAGACTGCTTAAGGAAATCTTCTCTGAACAAGGAACCCCCGAGAGACTAATGAGCGACAATGGACCTCAATACAATAGTGCCATATTCGTAGAGTTTGCCAGAGACTGGAATTTCCAACATGTAACCTCAAGCCCGAGATATCCACAATCCAATGGATTTATAGAGAGGCAAGTACAAACTGTCAAGAACACCATGAAGAAAGCTAAGAGAGATAACATAGGCGTCAACAAGGCATTGCAATGCCTGAGAGCCACTCCATTGGACAGCCATCTACCATCTCCAGCAGAGCTGTTACTGGGGAGGAAGATCCAAACCAACATACCGACCAGAATTCGGAACCAGTCACCCCAAAAGGATGACATCTACCAGAGACTGCAGACCAGGCAGGATGACCAAAAGAAATACTTTGACGACAAGCACGCTACCAACCTTCCCCAACTACACAAAGGACAAGAAGTCAGAATCCAAAATCAAGAGACTGGTAGATGGGACAGAGGAAAGATCACAAACAGGAGACCAGAACCAAGGTCATATGAAGTAGAGACATCATCAGGTTACACTCTGCGACGAAATCGTAGGCACATCAAACCAACCCAAGAGAGGGACAGCATGGAACAAAACCGTCAACATGCTAGTGATAGACATAATGATGTACACGACCAGCAGAATGCACAAACAGAACAAACACAAAGCAAACCAGACACACCATCGAATCACCACCAACCATACACCACCAGATCAGGTCGTACTATTAAGAAACCAGAGAGATACGATATGTAAAATATTGATATGGTTGGAGATAATTCAAATAATTGTTGTCTTTTGCTTTCTTTAACAATGTTTACAAGGTTTTGAGTAGTTAGATTTAAAGAGACATATTGAATATGTCATGTTTTGTTTATTAATTAAGTTTATTGCATTATAAAGCAAGATGATAACTGAAGTCTGATCAAAACATTTTAGATAAATAAGCAAACAATTCGCATTCAAATGGAAAACAAATGTGATAGAATTTTCAAATTGTTTTTGGTGAAAAAAACAACAACAAACAAACAAAGAAAGGGACGAAATTGTAAGTTCATATTAGCACAAGTTTTAATTTCTTAAGCAAAGAATTTTAAAAAGATATTTTAAACAGTATGGATCTAAATATGAAATTAAGTTTTCATTGAGAAGAGGGATTGTGATATGATATCATTTTATATCTACATGTATGTTCAACAAATGACCTATATCATATGCCCATGATTATTGCTACCGCAGATTGTAATGCGGCTTCACATACATCTAATAAATACAACAAGTTGTTCATATTTGAGTTCTACAAAATCCAGCCTCAAGAAGACTCTTATTATAAATCATAATTAGTGTACAACACTTTACAGGTGCAAGACCCGGAAGCTGGGACATCCCCCCCCCCCTTGAAGTTAGACCTGGAAGCTTGGCAGCTGGAGACGGCTTTCTTCCAGAAGCTTTGGTATTCAAGGTATTCAAGCCATTGCTAGAGAGGCCTGAGTGCACACTGAACAATAGCCTGCACCAAACCCAGGTCCAGCCACGGGAGGCAACAATCTCACATTACTACACTTAGTTTTATATACTTCTACACTTCGCTCAGAGTCAGAGACAACTTTCTCGCTCACTGGCCAAGGAGGGGGATTATTTTAATACGAAAACAAAGGGGGTGAATGTTTCACATAAGTTATAGTATACTAACGTAGTAACTTATTCATGTTATTGTTAATCGGCTCTCAGTCTCACACTCACTCACGTACATACAGTCACATCGAAACCGGGCTGACCAGATTAAACTTTAAAAAAAGCAGAAACACAAAGTTGCAAACCATCCAGAGACTCCTAAAAAATTGTGTTACTTTTTAATTAATTATATCATTACAAATCTTTTATCCTCAGTTTTCTTATTTATAACTGATTTTCCTTATAAAATTAAAGATAATTATGGCGTATATATTCAATATTGAATGAACGCCAATAAACAATTACCCAACAACAACAACAACATAGATCTACAGTCACAATCACAACTCTCTTTCCAACTGGATCTTACTTTTCACAATATCTCTCTAACTCTCAGTTTCTCACTTGACCTCCATGTTATAAACATTCCACTATGTGATGCTGCATGCATGATGTCACTGTAAACTAACCAATTCTTTGCATACAAATTTGTATGTCTACCAGTACAGTATTAGTATTACCACTGACCAGTATAGTAGTAGTACCAGGCCAAGCCAGGGCCAGTGGCGCGGCGTGGCAGTGCAGTGGTAAGTTGCAGTTGGCAAGTACCAACACCTGCACCATGTCAACTGCAGTTCTACAATTCCAAACTGGAGGAAGCCAAGCAAAGAAGAAAAAGAAGATACTTACCTATGAACAAACGCATCGTTGCAGTGGTTGTGTTCGATCTGCTTTACAATTTTGTCACAAAACTTGTAAACGCCGAATTTATGAACCTAAAACTCCAGGCGAAGGTAAGAGCTAGTTGCACGTCGAGAGCTAGCAGCTTATGGCATATTAGAACGCATTTAATGTACACGCAAACCCCGTGGCCGGTTTTTATTGGCCGAGTGTTACACGTGTTACTCATTCGCCCCGCCTCTCTTCCCCGGGCCACGAACATCAACAACAAGTCGTCGACATAAGACAACGCCCATCCAGATACACATTTTAGCCCGATCTGACCCCGGTGCGGCGAACCGTAATCAGCGCCTCCTTAGTCAGCGTATGAACTTTAAACCAATGGTGTAGATCATCATGAATATTTTAAAAGATTCTGCCTTGGAAAATGTAACGAAGGGTGAGTTTTATGTTGATGCAAAAGTAAAATCACCGTCCCACATATATAAAGTGGTGTTGGGAATAAATAAAGTCCTGTTCTGTGTTCATATACTAAATTGCACTTGCTACCACACATAGCTGCATTCATTCCTAGCTGTGTAGACTATTAAAAGCTGTGCTATTGATTCTTAACATTTCAAACACTACTGTGCAAAACTCAACTGATTTCACTCAAAATCGGTACTTTTAATAGTGACAATTGATGACATCTAAATAGCAGTAAAATACAATTCTTTCAACTTAGACCTAGATCTACTGATGTTAGAAAGAATAATTTGAAAATTCAAATCGTGAGTCTACTGTCAAACTTGCCAATCAGCCACATATTCATTGTGTGCATTTGTGTGTAATTTGTGTATTGACTATTCATGTGTGCAATTGCTGCTTCATACGCATTAGCATTGACTCTCTTAGACAGAAATAACCGTCTGGTATGGGTCATTCTTTAATAAAAACTGACATTTGTCGACATCTATATATGGAGGTCCAGTGGAGCCAGACGTAGTCTCGGTAGAACAACCAACGAAATAGAGAGACTGAAGCTTATGGTCTATGACTCTCTTTGCTTTACTGGAGTGGCAAAACGGTGGATGCACAATCCACACCGCCATCTCCAGCAACGCCAGTATTTAGTCAATTTTTACATCGTCTGTGGCATTGTTACACGCTATTAAATACAGGGGTTCTCAACTTTTTCCTTGATAGGCCATGTGTGATTTCATTGAAAGCTTGCTAATAAAAAAGTTCCAAAACATAGCTATATATACATATATATATATACGATTATTACTATTCTGGTAGTTTCGATCAGTGGCTATAGCTTTTAACTCTGCTGCACTGGTTGAAAGATGACGACTCGTGAGCTGAAAAATTTGCCTGTCCCTGCTTGCGAGTGGGATTACTGTTAATTGGGAATCCACCCTTTTAAAGCCCCACTGCACTACTTATAGCTACTTGCGCCCTCTATATAGCAAACAATGCCTCATCGGTGCCCGCTGGTATCCCATGATCCCCTTTTTCTTATGTTAATTGAGAGCTGATTTGATATGAGATAACCACCTGTCAGTGACAATGCTGGGTGGTCTAATCCCTACTGACCAAACTAGCGCAGACAGGCTTTGATGCAGAATATTTCTGTCTCTGTGTTAATTGTGTTTACATGGTTCAGTTATGTTTTCACATGTTTTATGTAAGGATTTTGTTACAAATGGACTCTTCTTTCTTTTATAAACTGTGTTAAAATTCATTTTTGATGAAATATATTTATAACTACATTTGTGACTAGCTATAAGCCGTAAGGAGATATGATTTGGTCTAGTGGTGCAGTCACTTGGACAGCTCTTTTGTCTTTGCCTACAAACTGACTCGGGTTCATCCCAGTTCAAACCTGGGTCACGTCTTTTGGACGGCGATGTTCAAAATTTTAAAAATCATTTTGATGTCAAAACTTAATTATACACACAAACACACACAGAAAGATGCATGTCCTTTTTATTTCAAGTGTCAAAGGTCAGATTAGGTTAATTATAAGGGGACATGAGCGAGTAAATCATTTTAATCATTTTTGTACTGTAAACATTGTATCTATGTAACTACATGGAGTGATGATTTGGTAAGGAACAACCAATCACTAATTTGACACCAAAGGTCATGTATGAGTTATTTGAATGGAAATAGCAATCTTGCCAGAAATTTTAAAAAAATGAAAATAAAATGAGGTTTTAAGGGCTGCCGGATCTACTACAAGGAGGAATGGTAATAACTTGCCCAATTTAATATATTTTGGTTAACATTAGAATGCCTTTACCTTTTTTCTCTCTCTTTCTCTCTCTCTCTCTCTTTTTCTTTCTGCTTTTATAGATATTGGTGAAATTTCTTCTAGACTCCTAGACCATAGAGCAGTCTTGCAAGGAGAAATTAAATATTTCATCAAAGAGTTTGAAGTAAGTTCTTGTAAAAATTCAGTGTGTTTCTGTAAAAAAGAAACCTATGTTTGTTTGTTTTTGGTAAGAAATGTGAATATGTCCTGATAGATTTGTATCATCCATTTAAAATGATCCACAAAGAAAAATACCTGTCTGCAAATTCAACCTTCTTATAAACTGTCCATATTTGATAGGAAATGTACCGGTTTACAATGATTTGGGAGCCCCAACATTGCCAAAAATTTGATGGCAAAATTTCACTTAAGTTGTATCATAATGTGAAAGATAATGTCATTTAAGACACACACTTCTGCAAAGGTCCCCCCCCCCCCCCCCAAAAAAAAAAAAAAAAATGTGTTAGAGGACAACTATTGATGAAAGAATACATAATTTGCATTTTATGTTGTACGCAGAAAACCTAAATTTTGTATTCTTTCATTAATATTCGACTTCAAACACATTTGTTTTGAAAATCCGTGCAGATGTGTGTCTTAAATGACATCCTCTTTCACATTTTGATACAATCTAAATGAAATTTTGCCATCAAATTCTTGGGGCTCCAAACACTTTAGATGGGCTTTAAACATCTCATGACCTAATTTACCTGAAGAAAAAAAACTTTTTCAAAAAGTTTGGTCTTCCACCCCTCTCAAAATGGTCTAAAAATTACCATGATGTGATATCAATAAAGAATAGGCCATTTTCGTAATGTAACAAATTTAATTCATACGGCTTTGTGAAGTGCCTCAATTCAAATTATTTCATTTACCTGCTATGAATAAATAATTGAATTTGAATACTAGTAGTCAGAATGCAAGCTGCACATGTTATGTGTTGATAGGTAGGGCAAGCCATAATTGTTTGTCCTACATAGCAACAAATACTGTATGCAATTCACTTTCTGATTATTGGTTATTGAGATTATTGAATTATTTGTAACAGGTAAATGAAATAATTTGTATCGGGGGGGGGGGGGCACTTCAGAAAGACTTATTCATTCAATTGGGGTTACATTATGAAAATGGCCTATTCAGTTCACAAGTAAAGTATATGGAGGGGTCAGGGACACAAAGACGTAACTCCATTTTGGTCATTTTGAGAAAAAGTGGTTTAGGTGTCACTGAGCACTTGGGCCTTAAGGAGTTAAGTCTATGTTTCACTAGCCATTGACTTCAATTGGGTGTTGGGTGGAGTTAAGTCTTTGTTTCCTGAAAAGCCCACATTTTTCTGAACATTTTGATATCAAATACTCATTTTGGCAAAATATGGAGTTACGTATTTGTGTCACTTAACCCTCGATATGACCTTATTCTGTCCTCTTCCAGACGAAGCGGAATGATCGAGAATGCAAGAGATTGGAAGCTGACCAGCAGAAATTAAAAGATTTGAATGAAACTGTTGCCCCAGAGTGCTTGAAGATAATGAAGGAACACATTCCAAACTTCCTCGATCAATGTAAGTCACCAAAACCCACATTTAATATGAACATTACAATATTTGTGTGTTAACAGGGCTTGTGCTAAAATTGGCAAACAAGTTAACTCTTAAAGTGACTCGGTAACATTGTTGAAGGTTGATGAAAAAACTGCATAATTTGTGTATTTAAAGCCAATTCATTGCTTTGTGCAATTTACATTCACCTAAAATGTAATTAAATTGTAGTAAAATAGTTGAGAGAATTATGGAACGATCAGATCAGTTTTTTCCAATTGTTATCATCAATAATGGTCTGTTTTCACTCAAACTTTCAGATTATATTTAATTGTACATCTAGCATTGAAGTCACTACCTTAGCATCATTTTTTTCTCATCTGAACATTGTTACAAACTCCCTTTAATAGATCAATTTCATGATGTAATCAAATAAAAAAATTATTCAATTTATAAATATTTGTGAAGCACCATGTTACAATTATTTCATTCACCTGTTACTCATAATTATATTTCAATAGTCAAAATGTGACTTGCATACATTAATTGTTGCTAGTTGGGACAAACGTTGCTTTTCCTACCTTATAACACAGAATGTATGCAATACGCATTCTGACTATTGAAGTACATCATAACAGGTGAATTTTTATGCCTCCGCCACCGAAGGTGGTGCCGGAGGCATCATGTTTTCGGGTTGTCCGTCCGTACGTCCGTCCGTCCGTACGTCCGTCCGTCCGTCCGTCCCGTTTGACCGTTATCACAATATCTCAAGAACCATTTAAGATTTAAACTTAAGACTCGGGAATAGTATTTATGACCATAGGAAGACGATCTGATTAGATTTTGGAGTACGTAGGTCAAAGGTCACAGGTCACAGAGGTCAACTTATGAAATTCCTTGTATTGAGTTTGTTAGCGCGATATCTCAAGAACCATTTGAGATTTAAACTTCAAACTTAAGGATAGTATGTATCACCATAGGAAGACGATCTGATTAGATTTTGGAGCACGTATGTCAAAGGTCAAGGGTCACAGAGGTCAACTTATGAAATTCCATACATTGAGATTGTTATCATGATATCTCAAGAACCACAGGAGATTTAAACTTCAAACTTAGTGATAGTGTGTATCACTATAGGAAAACAATCTGATTAGATTTTGGAGCACGTATGTCAAAGGTCAAGGGTCACAGAGGTCAACTTATGAAATTCCATACATTGAGATTGTTATCATGATATCTCAAGAACCACTGGAGATTTAAACTTCAAACTTAGTGATAGTGTGTATCACTATAGGAAAACAATCTGATTAGATTTTGGAGCACGTATGTCAAAGGTCAAGGGTCACAGAGGTCAACTTATGAAATTCCATACATTGAGATTGTTATCATGATATCTCAAGAACCACTGGAGATTTAAACTTCAAACTTAGTGATAGTGTGTATCACTATAGGAAAACAATCTGATTAGATTTTGGAGCACGTAGGTCAAAGGTCAAGGGTCACAGAGGTCAACTTATGAAATTCCATACATTGAGATTGTTATCATGATATCTCAAGAACCATTTGAGATTTAAACTTCAAACTTAAGGATAGTATGTATCACCATAGGAAGACGATCTGATTAGATTTTGGAGCACGTAGGTCAAAGGTCAAGGGTCACAGAGGTCAACTTATGAAATTCTATACATTGAGATCGTTATTGCGATATCTCAAGAACCACTGGAGAATTTTCACTTCAAACTTAATGATAGTATGTATCACCATATCATAATATCTCAAGAACCACTGGAGATTTAAACTTCAAACTTAATGATAGTGTGTATCACCATAGGAAGACAATCTGATTAGATTTTGGAGCACGTAGGTCAAAGGTCAAGGGTCACAGAGGTCAACTTACGAAATGCCATACATTGAGATTGTTATCATGATATCTCAAGAACCACTGGAGATTTAAACTCCAAACTTGCTTAAATTGCTCTATGGCGGAGGCATCATTTTCGACTGCGCGCAGTCAAAATTCCATCTAGTTTTCATTGCTGTCATAACATAATCAGGCAATAACCTTTTTCTTTTCAAATGATAATGATTAGTTTTATTTTTCAACCTCTTTATTCTTTGTTTCTTCTGCAGTGGAGGCAGCAAACAAAATATGTTCTAATCTGCAGAGCAAAGAAGAAAAACATATGGAGGTGAGTTGATGCTTAAAGGGATCGTTTAACAATGTTAAATCTGAGATGCACGGCCCTGCGTGTTACCAGTGTCTGTGATATGGTGTTATATTTATTGAAGCCCTGAAAAAATTGCGCTTCAAAATGATCAAGAAGTGCCTCAAAAAAAGTTAAAACCTTTAAGTGACCATTTTTACCATACTCGTTTTCCCCAATAGACTGTAGTGTTATGAAAAACATTAGGAAAACGCAAAATTTGATTTTGATTTCCAATCATAAATATTTTGATAATCAGACAGGCTTGTAAAAGTCATAGGGTTCCTGACTGACCTAAAGGTTTATAATTATCATTGCAGCATGAGCTAATCCAGGATTTTGTTTCAGAATCTGAGACAAAGTTACACAATCCCTTTAAACCTGACCAATACTTGGTAATTTTCACAACTCTTGGTGATTGGCGATTTCACTCAAGCAGATTGTAAGCCCGTGGAATTTAACATTAAGAACTTCAGCACTTAAGTTGTACGCTCTTTCCTCAAACCAGAGCTCCGCACTAATTTTTTTCGAAGGGGGTCCCTGTCTGGCTTGAACTTTTTAGAGTCTACAAACATGAGCCCTCAGTTTTAAAAAAAATCTTTGGGGGTCCATACTTATTTTTTGAGGCCCATGTTTCCAGGGCACCTGTTATCAATGAGTCCTATTTACAGATACTTATTGCATCCCAAAGAAATTGTACATTTCAATTACTGATATAAAAAACTCTGATTTACTTCATTTTTTCTCTCTAAATTTGGATCATCTTCCTCTTGTGCAGATCAAAACCCTTGATGAGCAACGTAAGAAGAGAGAGGAGAACTGGTCCTACTTCCTGGAGGAGTTATCCAAGGAGAGAGACAGGGAAGATGTGCAGCACGCCAACGAGATAAAAGAGATCGATGACCACTTTGCAAAGCTGGAGGAAACGCTGGTCACATCTGCTCCATGATCGAGACACATCCATGGAAGAATATGGAATCTATTTACTAGCTGAGAGCAGTAATTCCTGCATATGCAATTAGGTTTCCACACTTACTTTTGTTGTATGGAAGCCAGCACGAAATGTTAAGGTTCTGTATGAATGACTTCCTGTTGAAATATTGAAACTGTAGGGGTCTTGACTCTTGAGATGTTTGCTTAAAGGTCTGGAATTAAATTGTAGGATCTGTATGCATCGTATGCATGACCCATGGAATTACAGATGTGTGGAGATTGTCCCAAAGATCTAGTAATGCGGAGCCCAGTTGTATTGTAGTGCAAAGTGAAGGCAGTTGATGGAGTGATGATGGAACTTGTTTTAAATGATACCACAATCAACCTTATGATGTGATGAAGGAAAGAAATGTGTATCAAAACACAAAAAGAAATATCAGGAATTTGGTACTGAAACCAGGATACAGTGTGCTTCCAATCGATTCATTTGTGTGGACTGAGGAAATAAAATCCAAAAATAAACCCCTTTAAAAAAGTTTGGAAACTCCAGTTGGATTAAATGAAGCTCTCTTATCATGGCATAATCATCGCTTTGATTATTATCTTTAGGAAGTGGGTTTATTCCTCTTTAGAATGATACCATATTTGTTATGATTTTGCAGCCATGGAGTGAGCAGTACGTGAGAATAAGGGACAGGGTCAAAAGTGAAAATATTGGTATTGAAATGCAGAGCAATCTCCTTTCTTTCATTTAATAAGAGTGTTATTTTTTATAAATGACAATGGGGCAATTGTTCCCAACTGGTCATCCATGAATGCCAAATTCTAAAGAATATGAAATTGAAATTGATGTACTATGGTGACATGTCAGGCAAGATTCGCATCAATTTTTTTTGAAGCATCATGTCTGGGTGAACAACTGTTGAAAAGGCCCAGGCAGTATGGTAATTTGAATTCATAGTCGAACAAGAGCAGTGCATTTTGCATCTTTTCACTTTTTACCTTGCCCCTTATTTTGATCTACTGCACATTCCATGATTGAAAAAGCATAACAAACTGGGTATCATTTAAAAAGGAATAAACACACTTTCTAATGTTTTAGTCAATAAGTAGCAAGATTTGAAAATTAATTATTTCTTCACAATCAGTAGAAAAATTACCTGTTTCGGTATATGCTATATATTATATGCTTGTATGTAAACAACCAGAGGACCAATGGCTTTAAGTCTACTCTACTTCTGTATTTATAAGTGCCTGATATCCTAGTTAAGCTTCAGTCTGTTGCAATCTCCTAAAAGCTATCACTAGTTACCATAGTAATAGACAAAGGTTTCCGTAAATGCCGATATGACCTGATAGGTGTCTACTCAACTATACAGAGAGAATTATTTTATTTGGTTTAGTAACTTTTGTTTCGTTGTTTTGTTTATTTTGAGTATGAAAAGTTCAATAACGTTTGCAGAATTATCATACAGGAGCATTATTGTGATCATTGACTGTTTTGTGGTGGGACTACCCTGTAACTAAATTTTTGTACCATGTAGTGCAGAAATCTTACTATGCCTTGTCATTGTCAACAGTGCTGACATAATTGTTATTCGTTAAATGCCAGAAATCTTAATTATGGAAACAGTTTATGTATAAAAAACGAACTATTTTTAAATTTAAATTTGTGTAAAGAAAAAATAAGAATGTTGCAAATTGTATACATACTTCAGTGCTTCAGCATGCAAAGTCTGAAGTCTGAATTAATTTTCGCCATTGACCTGTTCAGTTGCTATTCAAAGGTGCAATAAAATCAGTTTATCTAAAAAAAAAAATGGTTGTTTTTTCACACACAAATAAATATGTTATGAACAAATTTTATGTGTGTGCGTGCGCGTGTGCGTGTGTGTGTGTGTGTGTGTGTGTGTGAGAGAGAGAGAGAGAGAGAGAGAGAGAGAGAGAGGGGTGGGAAAGATGTGGAGAAAGGGGGAGAGAGAAGTGAGATATATGGGACAGCTAGAGAAAAGCAAACGCAGAGAGAGAGAGGGGGGGGGGAGTGGGAAATAGAGAGATAGGGAGAGAAAGAGAGTGGGAGAAGTTTAGAAACAAAGAGAGCTTGAGTGAAATAAAGAGAGAAGAAGAAGAAAGTAATGGCAGAGTAAATCAATTATAGTATTAATGGAACATTACCCCTCAAAGATAGTCCATCCATTTTGGCACTATTCATTATTTGCTATTCACTGCCTCCCCTAGTTTTTCTTTTACTGCCGAAAATGGAATGAGTGATGGGGCTATTCTCTAGACGGGGATTGAGTGGATCTATTTACAACACTTCCCTTTGTGAATTATTGAGTACACTCGAGGGAAAGAATAAGTAATCAGCAGCAGTATCAAATATGGAGCATATATTGTGGGCGGGATTTTAGAATTAACGAGTGTGTTTTCAAGTCAGATTTTTAAAAGATGATTTTAGAATGAACACACTTGTCTACCGCGCATAATTATGTTCTGTAGAAATCACACCTATAAAGCTGGTAGATATTGCATTAATTGTGTTATTGTTGACTTACACATAATTATTCCAAAGAGAGATACTGGTATCTCTTTGATTATACACACACGCACCGTACCCACACCCCCCCCCCTCTCTCTCTCTCTCTCTCTCTCTCTCTCTCCCTCTCTCTCCCTCTCTCTCTCCCTCTCTCTCCCTCCCTCTCTCTCCCTCTCTCTCCCTCTCCCCCTCTCTCTCTCTCTCTCTCTCTCCCTCTCTCCCCCTCTCTCTCTCTCTCTCTTTATCTCCCTCTCTCTCTCTCTCTCTCTCTCTACCCCTCTCCCTCAGCCTCTTTCTCCTTTGCATCACATTACCCTCTGTCTCTCATTCTCTTGTTATATTTAATTATTTAAATTGTATTAATTCGTATTTAATTTACAAGTACATACACTTCAATTACAATAACATATTTACGAGTGCAAAGGGCAGAAAGACAACAAAACAAAAAATAAACACGTTGGTAATAACAGTTCACCTTACAAAACCCCTCCCGCCTACATATACCAAATCCCATCAGATGGGCCCAATCCAATACAATATTGTAGAGGCTCTCGTTATTGTTGTTGTTGTTGTTGTTATTGCGGGGCATGGGCTGGATTGTGCTTCATATAATCTGTCATTGCATATTTATGGTCAATGCAAATCAATACAAATTCGTGTTATGTCTTCAAGTTACAGCATTTATATTATTCACATTGTATAGGAGCATTCATCCAAAAGACAAAAATTGCATATTCAACTAAAAACAGAAATACTATATGATCGTATTTAGAAATGATATTGAAGTAAAATTTCAGGTTTACTAGTACATCACTATAAAATCGTACATTTCAGATTCTTCAGACCTTATTTGTTACAATATTCTATTGCTTAATACATTTTATCTGTATGTGTTAATGTTGCAATACACATTCAATATGTTGTAAAGCTGTTGCATAATTGTACCATAAAGTTCGTACTAAATTGTAATTCTTGTTATTATTATTAATATTAACATGATTATTAAAATTACTATTATTACATTTTGAAATGATATGATAATATATGTATTTTAACTTTCGTTAATATTACATTATGTACCTAGTTTGTATACGTTTGTATATTACTTTTTATTAAGTTGAAAAATTCTGAAATATAATCTAACAAACAAACCAACAATTATCATCATCATCTTCATTATCTTCATCATCACCATCCACATCACTCCGATTCTTACTATTATTATTATTATTATTATTATTATTATTATTATTATTATATTATCATTATTATCATTATCATTATTATTATTATTATAACTATATTATCATTATTATCATTACTATCATTATCATTGTTATTATTATTATAACAATATTATCATTATTATCATTACTGTCATTATTATCATTGTTATTATTGTTAGGTGCTAAAACTTTCCGTTGTCTCGAACAACTGCCATTGCCATGTAGCAGTTGATGAGGATGCCAATAGTTAGAGAAAAACGGCGCAGAAATTCGATGACTGGTTGACCTTCCATCCGGTTTGACACAGCATGGATGATACGACAGGCAAGGTATATTCTGATCATTCGAGCTGCTTGGTTCAGATAAGGTTGAGTGCCTACGTAGAATAATCCAAGCACGATGAAGCAGACGCTATTTACCAGTTCTTCTACATCAATTCTGTGGGGGGGGGGGGGGGGGGGGGTGGGGTGTACAATATAGGGAAGAGTTGGAGATCGGGTTGGAGAAGAGGGAAAAGGAATTAGAAAAGTTTGAATATTGTGCTTGCCTTCAGAATATTCAAAGCCGTATATTCAACGTATAAAGTGGAGTTAGTGTATGATCCCACCATGCAAAAACGCTATTTACATAACATAGGTAGACAAAAAATTAATGATTCATTAATTATTGCATGTTCTACATGTTAATGTATCTATTTGTTTTCTCTCTTTCTTTGTTTCAGAAACAAAGAAAAGAGAGAAAACAAATTGATGTTTCAGAAACAAAGAAAAGAGAGAAAACAAATAGATACATTAACATGTAGGAACATGCAATAAATAAATTTAATGTTTACAAACGATAACAATGAAGAAAATACATTACATTGTTCTTATCGATGATTCTTGGAATCGCATCGTGAGTAAAACAAATGCGATTTTGTATTTTGAAATTTGAACTCATCATAATCAGCACTTAGCCTAATTGCCAAAGTCTAATTGCGTTCGGTATGGGGTGTGCCAATTTCCACCGTACAACTTCTGTTCTCAATTACTGGTGCCATGCAGACCCGTAGCCACGGGGGGGGGGGGGGGGGGGGGGGGGCACGTGCCTCCCAATTTTTTTTCCAAGATCGGTTGAGTTTTTTGAGACCCCTCCCCAGGACGTCGATCAATTACATGTATGTGCCCCCCCCCCCCCACCAACATCAAACTCTGGCTACGGCCCTGCTGCCATGGCCTGTTGGCTTGCACGAGAAAGATCTGCATAATTAGAAATGAGACATTGGGGAAGTGACAATGGACCAGAAGGGGTCCAGAGGTGTGTAGGCTATATATCCAGGCATATCCAGACTCGGTATGGGATACCCTATCCCCTTTACTAGCTTATCAGAGATGTTAAGATGTACACCAACATCAACATCAACATCACAACATTCTAATAACCCCTTTTTTGTTATATTTCTATTTGCTTATCAGATTTGGTGGGAAGGGACCCCACCCCTCTTTTAACGAAACATTGGATCCGCCCCCACCAGACATTTGTTCAAACGTCGATCAATTCCTGCATCGCACAAAGATTTACATGAATTTATTTTTAATTATATCCTGCTGCAGGCAGATCTCAAATACTGGCACTTCAAACAAAACAAAATCTTTACTCAACTAGTCCTTATCAACATTAAAATATTTCAAAACCTAAATCCTCGCTGATATTAAAGGTCATGAGGTTTTAATTTTGGCACACCGGGACCATGTTAATCAAAAGTTTATCAATAATATTCAGGAAGAAAAAAATGTTCCATGATGTCTCTAAGTAAGATTAAGTTCAAATCATCGCAACTCTATCAAATGAAAATTATCGAAGAAACAGGCAGTTTACTTACATGCCTTATCAAATATCAATTATCAACAAGATGAATTTTTTTCTCCAAATTTAGGCGAGGCATAAATCAACAATTGCCACTACGCCTGGCAATAAACTGATATACTAACATATTCAAATTTATTGATGTTTCTTTCATTGGGACCTACAGTGACGAGTTATTCCATTAGCCTCTTATTAATGAATTAATTACAATACTTGGAAACCAGTCTGCAAACATTATTCGTTGCTATGTCGGGTAAGCCTCAGGCAAGCTTTTAGTTTGTCAACCTGTCTTTAAAGCCCCTCTAAAGTATTGGGAGCCCTAAATTTAATGGCAAAATTTCACTTAAATTGTATCTCTCTGTTTTGTCCCTCCGATTTTCGGACATCAGCGAGTTCATCGCAGTCGCAGTGGTAGGCTGTGTTGTAAATATGCTTTATAGTCCTTAGTTGGTGGATGTGGAGTGCAAGCGATGGGCCTGAATTTTGATAATGACGTGTAATTTTCAAAATAGAATCATTGACAGTGTAGGGAAAGGATGGATCATATCGTAATGTGAAAGAGAGTGTAATTTAAGACAAAAATTGATAAAAGAATACATAATTTCGGTTTTCTGTTGTACGCAGAAGACCTAAATTCTGCATTCTTTCATCAAAATTCGACTTCAAACACATTTAAAAAAAAATCTTAGCAGAAGTGACATCCTCTTTCACATTATGATACATTTAAAGTGAAAAATTTTCCATCAAATTTTTGGGGCTCCCGACACTTTAAGAGGGGGCTATAAAAAGTTTGCATAAAATTTGACTATGTCAATAAAAAATTATTGGTCTATTGCTGGGGTAACAATAATTGCAGGAAGAACATCATTGCTGCTGATGAGGCTTCCCTGGGTAAACAAAATCATTATTATCATAAATTCTTACCTATGAGGATGATTTATATCTCGCATCGATCCAACGACGACGGAAATTAAATTCAGCATCATCGATACGATCAGAAGGGTGGAGTAAGTAGCGAATATATGAAATACATCATTGTCAAAAGAATATACTGGAGTAGTAGACGACATCTTTTTTTTTCCTTTATGAGTATCTTCTGCAATGTTATAGATACAGTGATTCAAATTGGATTAGAGAGCAACAATGACATTTCCGACAAAGCTACAACGCTTTTGCCAAACAACTACCACTATTTACATAATATAAATCTATTGTTTTCGTTTATTTTGTAGTTCAAAGTTTTAGAAACGAAGGCATGTATCGACTTGAATAAAATCTTATAATTATTATTAAAAATGTTCTATGTGACAGAGAGCAATGTGTTCATTGAACTCGATCATGTTAGTAAACAAATAATATCGAATGATAGCAGTGGCAACATGTTCCCCTTTGGTCTCCTTATAGATCAAGATTAAATCTTGATCTTCGGAGTAGTTGCTACAACCGACCGTGTCAGACACGTTGCCGCGGGGTGCGAGATAGGACTTTAGTAGCATGCCATGCCCCCATTTAAAACAATTATACAATAACAATTAACGTTAGATTTAATTATTAAAAGTATGGAACTATTAAAATTACTCTCATGTTACGGGAAAAGAATATCTTTTCCCGTAACATGAGAGTAATTTTAATAGTTCCATACTTTTAATAATTAAATCTTTTAATAATAATTAAATCTAACGTTAATTGTTATATGTATTATCAGGCACGTAGCCAGAGTTTGATGTTTTTTTTTTTTTTTTTTTTTTTTTTTGGGGGGGGGGGGGGCACATTCATGTAAGCGATCGAGGTAAAAAAGAGGGGTCTAAAAAAGTTCAACCCCCCCCCCCCCCGTGGCTACGTGCCTGTGTATTATGAATCAATTGATTTGGTCGATCCAGTTCGATGGCACAAACACGGCACTACAGAGATCCTAATAATTACAGAGCTTGGTCTTGTTGCTCTGTTCGCCAGCAAGAATATGGAATCCCGCGGCACATTAGTCACAAGAGTTCTAACAAACCAAGCTTATACAGAGCCTTTAATAAGTAATGTTGTGCATGTACGGTGTACCACCCACCCGATCGATCAAAAACTCAAAACTCAGAACTGAATGAAATTTTTAAAAACACGAAATGGTAACCATCTAAAATTTCATAATTGTGATTATCTATAAAGATTTATCAAGCAACAAAAATAAAAATCATCGTTAACATGCTTGTTTATGATACGGGAATGGATGTGAACAACAAAAAAGTCAACGAAAAGTTCTTTTTGCTTTGATAAAATATAAAATATTGTTCCGTTTTTTCAAATTTGCTCTTAATAATCATTAATGTGTAAGAATTAGGTACTTACTAATGATAATGATATCAGGGGTTACCATCGTAAATCTTGATTACTGTTAAAGTCCCGCTTCACTACTTTTAGCTACTTGCGCCCTCTATATAGCAAACAATGCCTAATCGGTGACCATTGGTCCTCCATGGTCCCCTTTTTCTTACGTTAATTGAGAGCTGCTTTGATGAGATAACCACCTGTCAGTGACCATGCAGGGAGGTCTAATCCCTCCTGGCCAAACTAGTGCAGAGGTGCTTTAAGTGATTCTTCGGCGGAAAGGGACTACATGGGACGTATATACGCAGACGCCAGTGCTAAAGCAGCCCATAATAATGATTGGAGGTGGTCTATAGTGCCTCGTGCGAAGGAAAAGGGGGAGGGGAAGGGGGAGAACGCAACATAATTATGGACGTTACCATGGTTACAGCGAAAACCAACAAAATATGATTTTCCGAAAACGCTTTAAACAACAGTATTGCTTATGCTACGGTCACAAAAGTTCGTACTAACAATAATTTCGTACGAATCTCCCTGTTTTTCCATTGTCTTCCCGAATTTCCATTGTCTGAAAATCGTTCGTACGGCATTCGTAGCAGTTCGTAATGGACCGAGGCTTTAGCTACGGAGGCACGGATGAAACATGTACCGCGGGCTATCGAATACACGCCCCCCCCCCCCACACACACACAACAAAAAGTGGGGAGGAGCAAAAGATAAAAAGAAGGACAAGGAATATAATGGAGAAATGAAGATGAAGAAAAGGACCAATGATGACTCCCTTCCACACCTTGACTCCTTATAAGGATAGGCCTATGACTTTGTTAAATCGTTTTGATAGGGTTTGACCATTTAAATGTTTTTGATGTTTAAGTCTTTAATAATTCAAAAGTTTCTCTCATATTCTGTTTTTATTTTCAATCATATCATATCTGCTCTGAAATTTATAGCAACAACGCTTATTGCTGTAATATAATTTGTGTTTGATTTGTTCGGGAGTTGTCTGTTCCGTTTTGTTTCTTTCGAAAAATCAACCTAACGCAATTTCTTGATGGCCTTTTGCGTCGAACATTGAAATGTGCAAACATGACAATAATTTGAACATGAGTCTTATGGGACATACAATAAGGTACGTTGGCTCAGTCAGTAGAGCGTCCGCCTCACAACCGAGAGGTGGTGGGTTTCGAATCCCGGCCGCGTCATACCCAAAGACGTTAAAAGATGGGAGTTGTTGTTACCTTGTCGAGCAACGTCGACCTGGCGCTGCTCAGTGGCTGCCGGGCTCAATATCCGTTTCGGTTTAATAAAATTTGGAGTGGACTATTAGGCTATTATTATATTTTTATTATTATTATTGGAATTGCACTTGATTTAATTTTTCAAACATACCGGTATAGTTGCGATCGGGTTGATATCACTTTTGTTAAATGCGATGTAATAGTTTTATTTTCATATATCTGCCTTTCTTTCTATTTAACATATAGGCCCTATAGTCCTATTTCGTGTTGCTCCGTTTAATTATTTGTTTGTTTTTATGATAATTCTATTATTTCATGATTCGATTTCCAATACATTATTTGAATTTGAATTCGCATTTGAATGTGCTCCTGGTAAGGTGCTTGCCCCCCCCCTAAAGCTCCACAACATAATAATACCAATGCCCTCTCCATGTCTGGGTCCACACTATATCACTGGTAGTTTTATATCGAAGCAAAGAAGAGAGGCACAACTGAAATGACGAGGGAGATGGGGGTCAAATCAAATTCAAGAAAAAATAAATAAAGACAAATATAAATATATTTGCCAATGACATATTTCGAGTATTATGCACTGTCATTATAATTAGCAATGTTGGTTTGTTGTTTATGTTGCTGTTGTGTGATAGTCAAAGATTGTTAAGCCTTTTCCCTCACTTAAGAAATATAACGGCGCCACATTACACCTGTCATCATGCGGACCCCATTTTACTGGCCGCTGCCTGAAGTGGCGCTTTACAATAAATACCTAAAATGAAACTCCAAAGCTCTCTACGACGGTTTTACGGTAATACTCGTTCAGCGATCACAATGAGAGTGCGGATCGAAGAAGTCACTCTCCGTAGACTGTAAACTTCTTGGTATACTCGTAGTTAAAACAATCCTGTCTACAAACATTGTACGGAAAACAAAAACATAGAGAGTGAGATAGAAAGACCAGTGTCATCGAAATACACAATCAGCAGGAATTAAATGCACTTGCTTTAAAGTTATACTACGTTGCGTTGATTATGTGAACAAGTGAACGATGCAGCTACCGTCTTCAAGAACTCGTCGAGTGCAGCGGCAGTGATTTTGGAGAAATTAGCCCCCGCTGCCAAGTATGTGTACGGACAGATTCATTTTATGACAACAACCCGATGGAAAAGTGAAGTTTTTGGAAGAAAGTTGAAATCGGATGGTGGGAGTAGCGATGAATTTATCCGGTTCTGATAACAGTTTAGATTCCATCGGCAGTCCTGATGGATCTTTCGCGAAACTCTGGGGAACAGAATCGGCTTTGATGCGAGGATTAAAAGACGGTAAGTTTACAAGAAAGGTCGAAAGTTTACATTGGTTACGGGTAGATTCTATACATCTCTATTCATTATCAATAGTATACCACGATCTCAATACACGTACACGTACCGATGTAGCCTACTGTAAAGCTGTGTAGTGTTCTGCGGCCTGTGCTGTGCAATACATGATGTAGACCTACATGAACATTTGAAATCCATGCATATTTTTTCTGTTTTGTCAATGCATCTGTCATTTCATTTGTATTTGTTTGGTCTTTGTGAAGAGTTTATTAGATTGTACCAATCAGATGTCATGATCATAGATCTACCTACCTTTGAAAGAAAATAAAATATGTTAACATTTAGAATAAAATGAATATATTTCTGTTGTGCAATGCTATTTGAATTGTTATCATTGGCTGTTTTCAACCATCACACTCCACTGTTTAAATTATCTCTATTATTAGTATCATGATCATCAACTTTTCATCAATTATCATAATTATCAATAAACATAATACATATCAGCTAGTTTTTCATTCACTATTTCACTTAAAGGTAATACAAAGTTTTGGGAATTTTGAAAATTGGGTGGATAGTGAATCTTTACAATTTTGTTATATTTAGATGCCCCTGTGGATGTATTATAAGCACTAAAAAAATTAACCTCTAAAACTCTTCTTTTTTCGAGAAAACTTGAATATAAAAATTTAGCGGTGCTCCCGGTAAATTTTGATCAAAACTTCAAATAGCGCCTACGGCCGTACAATGGTAGCTGCGACCATGAAAATCTCAGAATATGTAGTTGTGATATATAATTTCCAAACGGAAATAGCTAATCGGTCGATTTTAGTCAAGAAACATTGTTTCATAGCTAAATTAATATCTTGACCTTGAGAGGGAGCTATACAACATAAAGAGTTTATTATTTATAATTTCATAACTTTAGACTCGATTTCAACCGGGACAATGATCAATGAATATTGTAGAAACGCATATGCTTCCAATATGTTAATTTGAACCAAATTCATGACCCCATACCAAAACTTTGTAATACCTTTAAGATTCAATACCATTTTTGTTTTAATCAGAACAATCATAAGAAGGTAATGGATGTTTGAAAGTATGAAATCACCACATCTGTTCAAATCTTAAATTTGCAATTATGTCAGTTTCAAACTTTTGCCATTCTGTTTCTGTTATTTTTCTGCTTTCATACAAATCCACTTACTACAAGGGTTGGAAAGCCTAGTGCCTATAGGGTTTTAGATAATTCAACAGTCATCGGGTCAAATGTTCAGAAAAAGTTATTTTAGAACATGTCATCAATCAAACACAAAGTGACAAGATGCCAACTTTGGTTTCCTTACATACATGTATGAGCAACTCTGGGCATGTATTGAGAATGATGAAAAATATCCCTTTGCTTGTACCAGTATTTATTTTTTGATGAAAGACTCAGTAGATCTTTTTTTTACAGGGATAGTTAAAAATAATATATCCAGTCCATATGTGTTATAATTTGTAGGTTTATTTGCACTTTTTTGTTTTGTTTAATATGTAATTGTTTATCAGTCTATTTTGTTTGTTATAGCGCTTAGAGACTTCGGTAGTAAGCGCTTTATAAGTAACGTTTTTATTTATTTATTAATGATATCTAGGGGATATATACATACACTTGTACATGTAGGTGTGATAAAATACTTCATTAAAAGGTGGACAAATTTGGTAGTGTTCTATTGAAGATTGAAGAGCTGCTCACAAGGATGATCACAGAATGACCAATATCGTCCCTATTTTCACGAAGTGACGGTAATGAGGAAAATCGTTGGCAAATTATATGCGATTTTCCTCATTACCGTCGACCTTTCTTTGATTTGTTTTTCTCATTTTAATGTTTTGAATATGAACAGTTTAATGTCAGTGTGGGTGAACATCCCATTTAACTTTCAGAAGAAAGAGCTGCATATGTATTAGAGTGTTTTGTACTGCTTTCCTCCTCAGATATGGGCCGTGTGTTCTAAAGCTTGTATTATTTATAATGGTAACTGTCTGATATTAAATACTGTAACATGTTACCAATTTTCATGGAGTAATATATCATTTCTATTGATATTTAGTCTGATTCAAGCTATAGTAAATATTGTTAGTAACTTACATGTAATACAATCATCAGGTTTACTGAATTGTTTAATATTTGGTAAAGTAACGTATGAGCTAAATACATTAGGCCTGATAAAAAAAATTGTGAAATAGGGTTCTGGTCTGAACAGCAATGTACTTCTTGACCTTGCTTTATGTATATAAATAGAGGTACAATACAAAGAGATTAAAAACCAAATTTAATGACTAGGATTACATGCGGGATGCGGACTGCCATACTACAATACAATCCTCACTTCCTTGTCTATTTTGCTCCTGCGGCTTTCATGAAGCTGTTATTTTTGGAATAATCTCTTCAAGTAGTTTTGTAGGGGTCTAGGTTGTTGTAGATTGTACAAATGCATGTCATTCCCATTCCCTCTTCAGTGACTCTCCTAGCTTCCTCGTTCTTTATAATTATCTCTTACAAGATTTAAGACCTTTCATTTTGATTTTGACAGTCATCTTCTTTCCTTGTATCTCTTCTAGCTTCTTTTCTAGCTTCTTTTCATGTTTATTCATTGAGTGACTAAGGTACTACATGGATTAAATCCACCACTTTTTTTGTCATAGTGATAAACAGTACTGTAGTAGTAGTAGTAGTAGTAGTAGTAGTAGTAGTACAAGTAGTTAACAGTAGAAAAACAAATTACCCATGCCCTAAAAAACTATTGAAAAACATATTTGATATAAGGCCTATTTACATGTACACATCCCAAACACCATTTTGAAAAATCTTTTTTTCTTTTTTTTTTACTACTAACTACTGGAAAAACTCATTAAAAAAACCATCAAAGATTGCTCATACTGATTTTGGGGTTAGTAGTGAGCACACGCCACTTGTCGGTGTAAGCATAGTACCACGTGATCAAAAATCGGTATCTTACCAAAGTTTGCATTTACACAGCAAAAATTGGTGAAACTTCAGTAGGCATTTAAAAAAAAACACTCTTGAGATTTTAAAATTTTATTTCAATATTTCATTGCGTTTGGCGCTAGTTGCTATGCTATGCAACCACCGGCGAAACACAGTTTTTGGTTTCAGTGTGAATGCAGGTAGTCTTGATTTGAGGTATTTATTGCTTATTTATTCATAAGCTGTCAATTTCAACACTTCACTTCAGATTGCTATTATGAGTTTCCAATTAATGAGTGAAATTAGTCTTTGAAAATTTCTTCATTCCTTCTCTGGCATCTTGATATTCATCTATGCCCGTCTCTAACTCTTATCTCTTCTTGCTGTACAGTAGCTCCCTACTCTTCCCAATTTTTCTTTTTTATTTGTACCTCATCTTTTGTTTCCATCGAGTACAACTGTTCCAACATTCATACAATTGTTTTGTTTGTACAGTAGCTCTATCTAAATTATCTCCCAAACATCCTTCATATGCCTTTCACTTTAGCATCTATAGTGAACACCTGAAGGACACCATAAATCTTTCGTTTTTATTCTGCACGGTCACAAGGGCGCATGCACCTACTTCTTATTGTTACCTATTTGAGATGAAGCATGTAGTAGCCTGTTTAGTGTTCAGACTACACTAAATTTATATGAATCTCGTATAAAGAAACGCCATGTTAAAGGTATAGACCAGTTATGGAAACGCTCCCCCTCTCAAAAAATGAAACGGAAGCTCTTATTACCAATCATGTTAAAGAATATTATGTTTTGACTAATACGCGATGACACAAATTTTGCTGGGAAACCGCCTACTAATTGATATATTTGGTAAATTATCATATCGATCCGGCCTGGATAGATTTCGCGAATGCACTTCAACATTAAACATTTGGGCATGTATTTCTGCTTTTTAGCAAATTTAGGTTGAAGTATTGCCATCTAAACCTCTGAAGGCAATATTTAAACAATATTGAATGGATATTTTGCACCCAAAACCCTTGAAGCGCAATTTTACCACTACTGGTCTTTACCTTTAAGAATCATCATATAACGAAAGGAGCATACAGACTGAAAAACAACAAAGGGAACTTGTTTTGAAGAGTTCGGTTGACATGACAACTGGCCAGTCATCAGTAAGTGCTCACAATATAAGCCCCTCCCAGTCATACGATTTTCATATGATATGATGCATGTTTATTTTCAGTCAAGAGCGGGCCCCCCCGATTCGCTATTAAATTTCATTTGAAACAATGCTCACACATGCAGTACGTTAAACGGCGTTCAGACTAACGGTAGAAAAACGTAATTACTTATGGTAAGTTATACAATGAATGTCCACAGTCAGACAGCAGGGTGGGTCTTCTGTCACCCGGACTATACATTCTAATTATGACATGATAATAGATCTCCAAGGCAGGAATGACCCGCTAAAAAAGAAATGGAAGTTACTTTAAAGAGAGACAGAAGAAAGAGGGTTACATCAAAGTGAGGAGACATTATTGGGAGCGCCAAAATAACCTGGAGATGCACAATAAAAACATTCAAAGCTCCAAGGAGCTGGAAGGGAAAAGGAAGAAGATTTCTTTAGTGTTCGCAATTTTATCCCTCGGCAAGGAAAGATGTTTTTGTATGCCTCTCTGTTGCTTCTTTTTCTACACCTATGCTCTATTCAGTGGTGTATTATTCTCCGTCCTACATGTATCTCTGAAGACTGATGATTGAATGGATCAACTAAGCCTGGAGAAAAGAAAAAGATTTGGCTTAGTTCAGTCAAAGGACCTTAAAGCCGAGGGGGGAATTAAATCCATGCCGTGACTGCCTTCTGTGTGATTTTTACAGCAGGATTAGCCTTTCATGGCAGACAAATAAAAAAGGGCAAAAATAGAATTGGTTAGAGTGAAAAACGCATATAGCGTAGCTAGGTTTTTACAGAAGATCCTTTCGTCTTTGATAAGCTCCAAGTCTTTGCTTGGAGCCCTGGACCTACAAAGTATGCTTTATATGTGATACATGGTGATAAATATAATATTTGATGAACAAGATAGGAAAGATTTTTGTGGATGCCTTTATCATTCCTGGAACATGGAAGTCTGCTATCAGAAATACCCCCCCCCCTGCTATTAAAATATGAAATTGTATCAACTGAACTTCAAACAATGTGTCACTTGGACATTCATGTATGCAAATTTATGTTATGGAAACTCTTCTAAACTTAGGGGGCATCTTTGGCACTTTAACCTTGATCTATTTTACTGCCTCCCTCATCATATATGTCTTGCTCCCATCTCTTTCTCTCTCTCAATCTCTCTCTCTCTTTTTCTCTACATGTACATGTATGTAGTTTCCATTATGTGTGTTTACATGTACCTCCCTCCCTCCCTACCTCCCTCCCTCCTTCCCTCCCTCCCTCCCTCCCTCCCTCCCTCCCTCCCTCCCTCCTTCACTCCCTCCTTCCCTCCTTCCCTCCTTCCCTCCTTTCATTCCTTCTGTGTCAGTCACCCTATTTATGATTTAAATTTTAATCCTTTTTTAGTAGGTGAAATTTCTGAGGAAGAGGTGCAGTACCAAATTGTAGATCAATTTTATACCACTCTCGTATTTGGTTTGGTCCAGAATGTGTCCCAGTGAGTCTATTCAAAGGGTTAGTAAGTCAGGTTGGGCGCTCTGCCACATTTTTACCACAGTAGGGGGTGTTGGTGTGCCCTCCTTTTATAAAGGACCTTCTTGTTTGAGGTTAATAAAGCCAGAGTCTGTCTGCCAATACCATATTTCTTTCAGAAATGGGTAGAAAATTGGCGATCTTTAGCAATGAATGCTGGCTCTGAGGAAAAATATTAATCTCATTTCTGACCACTATTGTTGTAATATGTCTGATTATGTCATATGTAGAGAGCTAATTTCGTTATTGAAGAGTCCTTCATATCAGATTGACAGACTTATTAAGTTTTTGAACAGATTCATGTTGATATATATTATAAGTATTCCTAGATCATAACTTGAAGGTCATAAATCAAGCTAATCAAAGGGTGGAAGCCAATTTGTATAATTTCCGAAGTCCTGACACGATATACCTGTACATGTAGATGTAGATCCATGAAAATTAGTACGGAAACTTGATTTCAAAGTTGAACTTGGATTAAATTCTAGGATGTTCAATGATGTCATTTAAAATTCAGTTTTTATTCAACATTTCAAACATTCATTCAAATTTTTAGTTAAAGTCCTCTCACAGTGTAAATCCACTTACAATCTTCTATTATTGATTAGATAAACATGGTGTTTGTCTTATTCTGTGGAGAGCAAGAAGGACTTTTTGAGACGTGCTCTCGTCTGGCTCACATGATTTTAACTACTTTAAAGGTAAAGACCAGTATTGGAAACAAAAAAAATGAAATGGAAGCTCTCATTACCAATCATGTGAAAGAATATGTTTTGACTAATACATGATGATAAAAAATTTGCCGGGAAACCGCCTACTAATTCATATATTTGGTAAATTTGTTTCTCTCATGGTCTGTGAGAGATATAGGGTAGTCCCATATACATCTTTCTGTGTATAGTGCTTGTAACTTTACGAAGAATGGGCCAAATTTCTTATCATTTTGATGATTCCAGAACCTTGCAGATGCTAGATGCTAGATGATCAACCTTTTCTGATCGATTCCACAACGTTTCTTTCACAATGCAATCGCATGACCATAACTGGTCTTTACCTTTAAATGCCACGTTCCAGAATTGCAACAGAGTGGTGATGTCATCAAAAATCTATTTATGGAATTTCTCAATTTTTCTTCATTTTCCGAAAGAGCATTAAAAATAATGTCCAAATGTCGAAAACCAATTGAATACCAGGTAGGTTATGTGTGTAAGTATTGGCTGAGATATGGCCATCGCTGAGATATGGCCATCTGAATAAATAGCTTTCCTATGGGAACTCAGTGTTATATTGCACTGGTTCATAACATTACGAGCCAGAGCGATATAACACTGAGGTCCTATAGGAAATTTATATATTCAGATGGTCATACATGTACATGTATCTCAGCCAATACTAAACATATTCAATTGGTTTTCGACATTTGGACATTATTTTTGATGGTCTTTCTGAAAATCAAGAATAATTGAGAAACTCCAAAAATAGATTTGTATGGTGTCACAGCTTTGGTATAAAATCTTGCTTTCCTGAAAGAAAGTCCTATCCATTGGCACTCTAATAAGTTCATGTGTTTCTGGGACACAGGGGACAGAGGGGGGGGGGGGGGGGGGGGGGGGGATTGGGGTAATAGAATTTCCCCTGAATAAAAAACATCACTGGGTTTCAGATTCAGAGATTTCGTCGGGCGGCTGGCAGAAGGGCGTTAGCGTGCGAGCTTCACTGAAAACTACTTTTCTAATTACCAAGATTTGTTTTATATTTAAACTGCTTTCCGTCCCAAAAATTGGTTTAAAACTTAAAGGCTAATAGAAATGTTATAGTAGAACACGGCCACAATTTTTTAAAGGAAAAAAGTCGGTTTATAAATAAAAGTTCAAGGCGATTTAGTGCTAACACCCTTCTGCTTTAAAACGCTTCATTTTTTACCTGAAATTCGAACTAACGCCCTTCTGCCAGCCAGGCGATGATTTTTCACTGTTCAGATAATGTATGTGGTGGAAACCGCTGCATTTTCTTTATAAACACCTGGGGGATGTTTCACAAAGATCCTAAGTAAAACTTAAATCTAAGTTGGACTTAAAAATTATGGACAGCCATTGGAGTCTTAAAATGAAATATATTCAAAAGCAGAAATTCAAGTATTTTACACTTTTTATGAATTCCACATCCAGAACATGAAATCTCCTTGATGATAGAAAATATGAATGATTTGATTAAACAATTAATGCCTTTCTAAATAACTTTTACAAAATATTTTCAAAGATGCTAATGGCTTTCCATATTTTTTAAGTCCAACTTAGAGATAAGTTCAACTTAGGGTCTTTGTGAAACACCCCCCTGTACTTACACAAGTGTATTTAAATACGCTTCACATTTCTAATATCTTTAACAAATGCTACTTTCTATTGGCAGTTTATCATCATATCTGAACATGCCTTTGCACTGTTTTTCTTTAAAATGATCTCTAAACTCATTGGGGTTTCTGAATTACCCAGCTTTTATACTCAAATCAATGTAAACGTTGAGTATTTTGCCCTTAATCTGTGCACCGTAGGCCGGGCTACAAGTTGCCCCTGTTGTGTATCTACAGTGACGAGTCGCAGCATTTGTAGGAATCAATTTGACATTGTACATGTACGAGTTATCAGTTTGCAGCTGTTGGACCACCCTCGTCTGTAATCACTGTTGTGTCTGTCATTTATCATTCACTGAGAGATGTTACTATGTTCACATTCATGAACCATACACCACCCCCCCCCTCCCCCACACCCCGAAAGTCCACTTGACACTGCGTCCTGCCCTAAAATTGCAGTTGATATTCACTGAAACTGCCTCAAGAAATCCAACATAAACTCTGATTATATTGACCCAAAATTGCAGTTTAAAAAGTACTCTTTTAGTACTGTTTATATGGTATTACGAAAGTAGTGTTTCACCACTGTTTGGGTTGGATGAGCAAAACATAAATACTTGCTTTTTAATCCGCAAACCTTTTGGTCACCTACTCTGTAGGTGATTAAAATGTTGGCCAGGTTTCCTAGTAGGCCTAAGGTTGGCCAAAGGTTGATGGCACAGTGGTAGATCATTTGTATCATTCATAACTTGGAAGTCTTACATTTCAAGTATAAAGCATCCTTTTGTTAGGACCTGAAGCCATGATTCCCCTGATTGCTTTTAGAAGCCAAGCATATAATACTGTATTGTCTTTTTTACCAGTCAAGTAAAGTAAATGATCATACAATGTACAACATCCCATCAGAAATGTATCACTCTGTTTTGTTTTTGTTTTTTGTAATACATGTAAGTCTTCAAGTCATACTGAATAGTTCCCTATATATACTTTCTTGTGTCACAGATTCTGTAGTTTACTTTGCATTCTTCGCATTCTTGTGAATACCTAAAAATTATATATAAACATCTTCCTCTTCTCTTTGATGACAGGTTCTCTAGCTGGTTTGTCTGATCTGGTCCATGACAAAGATGTCGCAGCTAAGGCAGTAGCCTTTGTCGTCAACAGCAGTCGAAGAGGGATAGTTCCTTTATGCGCTGATGTGGCTGCTGTTTTAAGAAACAAACTCAAGTAAGATTTGTTAACATATCCTCTACACAGAGCCAGAGAGGCATTAATACACAAGATATATTAATGATTCTTCAATAGATATGTCTTCATCAGCTCGAGATTGCCAAATAGCCCGCTATTTCTGAGTTGGGAAATAAGCCCAAAGTTACAAATCGCGTCTTAATCAGCTCAAGACTCAAACTCGAAACTCAAGAAATTAGCTCGAGATATTTTGCTCAGTGTTCGCGTATAGTGCGAGTCTTCAGGCTGGTGAAGACGCACCGAAAAAATAGCGGGATATTTTGCAAACTAGCCCAAGATATCTTGGGATAATTATCTTGACCAAATATCCCGCTAATTGCAACCAGCAGGTTGATGAAGACGCAAATTAGCTGGATAATTTGCGATCGGGATAGTTAAAAAAGCGGGGTATTGGGCAATCTTAAGCTGATGAAAACAGGACTAATGAATGGGGAGAGGGGGGGGGGGCATAAGTTAACAAAATATCTTTAACAGGTATCCAAAACAGATAATATTTTCAGGTGCCTTGCTCTTGTAGGGGCAAGGGTTAATTGTACCCACATTGAATCTGTGCCTCTTACCCTTTATCTTTTAACTATTCTGGTCTCAACAGAATGGCATACATGTGCATTTCCAACTAACTGAAGCTTCATAACTGTTATAAATCATTTTCTGAATCATTGAAATAGTGTAATGATATTCTCAGCTTTAAGATATCTTGGAACAAGCTCTTCTAAGTTTTAATGTCTCTCAATTTGTTTTAATGAGCATAGTATAGCGATATCCGACAGAGCTTTAAGAAAATGTGCATCATATTACTGTATTTAGTGCATGTTGGATGATCTCTGGTAAGTTGCGCTACTGAGATTGTGAGTCAGTCAGATGGGCATCTTCTGAATCTTTGTTTGTCAAGCCTCCTTCTCTACATTCCTGCATGGGCATTGAATTGAAATGAACCAACTGACAATGCCTGACCACCCTTAGCGGGCTTGTAAGGGCACCCTATTCATTGTCCAACGTTTCTATGGTCGGCCACTTTTCACCCCCTCTCTAGAATTCAAGCGTAGCCAAGCTGCGCTGGAGATTGAATCCTGGGATTAACACCAGGCCTTCCGTATTGTAGGCAGACTTTGTATCATGTATGCACATTCCATATGATTTTGGGGCTTGTGGGAGGAAAAGGGTTAATGTATAGCTGGACAAGGGAAGGATACAAAGAAATCAGGGGACTGGAGACATTGCTGAAACCCTCCCAACAAGGAACTACATGTCGATTCTTGATACTATTTCTGTAATAAAGCCTCGTTAAAATATGCCATGGTAAGCTACCGTGGTAAACGACCATGGTAAACGGCCATGGTAAACGACCATGGTAAACGGCCATGGTAATGGTAAACCACCATGGTAAACGTCCATGGTAAAATTGTCTGGCCCAACTAAGTGTAGTGGGCTTCACATTTATGTATCTCATCTCATAACATACAAAATATGTTGCTATTCAATACCAGGTTGAGTGTGAACGAAACTTGACTCATCAGAAGGATGGTCATCAATCAATTATATTTTCCAAAGTCAGAGGCCCTTTTCCAAAACTGTCACAACAATGCTTGCATTCTTTTGACTTGGAATGAAAAAGGACTATCAAATCGCTTTTTTATGAAATTGAATTAATGTTCATGTATGACCAATTACACTACCCTTTTTCAAGAAGAAAGTCCTAAGGCATTCCATATAGAAAATAAAATCTCAAGAATAACTTTTTTTTGTAAGAACAAAATGAAGCAAGATATATGCCAGGCAGATCAGAAGAGAGGGATAAAGAGGGTATTCAGAGAAAGAGGAAGATTAAAGCTTAATGAATAGCTCAGAAACTAGGGGCACAGAACCAAGAGGTAGCTAGGAAAGAAACAGTTTCCTTAGCCTCTATGGGCTGTAGATGATACAGACTATTATCTACAGTCTTGAGTAATATCATGTCCATTAAGAATAATATTCTTAAGCTTTTCAAATTTTAAAATGACTTTTGAATTGTTGTATTGAACGAAAGTTGTAATATCAACTTTATGGATTTAAAAAAAATTGATATTTCGAAAACGTATTTATGACAGTTTGTATTAAAGTGAATGACTGAAATTACTTTCTTAATGAAGAAAATTCTAGTAACTACAGGTACATGTAGTATGGGTCTGTCCCTGAGATAAAGGACCAAGACTTTCACCCTTCCTACAAGAAACCTTTAGCATCAGCCAAAACATAGACTAATAGGCCTACATTCGACTTAATTTTATACCTAACGCTGGGCTTAAGCATTTTTTTCAAACTCTGGTTTAACAAAGGAAGTTAGTATGAGGTCTAAATTTACCTTTGTTACATGAGATTTTAGGCCTGGCTTCAGGCTGTTCTGAATATGGACCCATGAGTTCTAAATTTACATCGTCCAGTACCCACTTATGTGAAGAGGTACATGTTTTGTAGACAGTCTACATGTACTAACGCTTTCACCACCTCATTCAGCGCATTTGTTGGGACTCCCAAGACAAGTAGGATTTTGATGCAGTGCCAGCGCAAGAAAGGCGGTAGTGAAGAATAGAAGAAAGTCTCATCAATTATTATTTGCTCTTGGGCTTAACACGGCCTACTCTGTGGGTCTGGAGTGAGGAAAACAAACAAACACAACAGGCAAGCGTACAGATATTTGGAAGAGTTATGGTACATATCTGTTTATGCCTTCAAAAAAATGTAACCCATAGCAGCACAGTGTCTCCTTTTAGTGATTCTTTTGCATTATCTTTTGATCAGGGGAAAAATATGGGGGCTTAGGGCGAATGCCAAAAAGAGCCCCCCAAAAGTCATGAAGAGCCCCAAAAAATTGCATAGAGCTCAATGCAAAACAAATTAAAGAGTGTTATTTTCATGCAAGCAAGCTTGAAAAGTAGCCCCCAAAATTTTGAAATTTTTCTTTCTGCTTTTGATCCAAGATGCTAGAAAGTAGAAATGATATGAGTAGAAAGAAAAACAATCATAGATAATTTTGTCCCAATGCAATATATGTTGTGCTGTTCTTGAATAAAGGTGATTTAATTGTAACTAATCATTAAATTTTCTAAGATGGAAAAGCGGTGCAAGTACAAAATAACTTTTGTCGTAATTTTTGGGTTAAAGTTTGCCATTTCCTATCACATTGATTATTTAATTTTTTTTTTAAACTATGAAGGAGTTATGGGGATTTTTTTTTTTTTTTTTTTGGAGGGGGGGGGGGGTTGATGGTTTACTGTGTCATGTCTTAACAAGCCTATATGGAGTAATCAGAATAAACATAGAATTTTGTAATACCATACTTTATGTCCCTTTGAAAAAAAATTGTTCTAAAAAGTCCTAGATTTGTTGAGATTTGCCATTCGTCCATGAAAAAAACTCAATCCAACATAAAGATCTATCAGCCATTCAGCCTCAATTTCCCTGCCCCAATCTGCTCCATTCTTATTCTTTCTCAATATCTCACATCTGTATCCATAAAACTCTAGAAGTCTTCCAAGTTACACAATTCAGAGTCTCATACTGATCACAAATATCACATGTTTTATAATTCAATTACCAGTAGCCAGCTTTGTTGAAAGCAATATCCCACCGCTGCCACCAGAGTAAGGATGGTTAATTTGGGTGATTTTTTTTCTTTCTTCAAGGGATTATACTCTGTTGGGACTGTAACAAAAATACCTCGATCTATGTCAAATTCAATAGGGAGTGTAAATAACACATGATTTGAATATTAATTGGTCCAAACAATGGATTTGACTTAAGGAAAATTAGACTTGTGCGACTCCAAGTTATGCAGAGGTAAATTTAGTAGCACCTGCCTGATGCAGAAAAATGAATTTGACTGGCTTTGGTCTGTATGAATTAGCCCCCTAATAGAATTATGGGGGCCGGGGGTCCAGATCAAGTCAGAAATTGGGGGCCCCATGTTTCTTGGTCACTTGTCAGAATTAAAGATAAAGTTGAGTTCTAATCAAGAGATTGCATTGTGAAAGAAACGTTGTGGAATCATTCAGAAAAGGTTGATCATCTAGCATATAAGTATTGCATGGCAAGGTTCTGGAATCATCAAAATGATCAGAAATGTGCCATGTCTTGGCAAAGTTACGAGCACTGTACACAGAAAGATGTATATGGGACTACACGAATATGTGGCGTAAAAGTCTGTCCCGATTTTTATGATGTTACATTCCATATTTAGAATACTAAGGCATTTGAAGAGCCATGCTTTTCGGGGAACATTTTTTCTCTGATGTTCTTCCACACTTGCATAATACAATGATAACGCTCACAATTTTTTTTTGGACTCTTCCCAGAACTCAACCTTCTCTTGAAGCCCCGGGTACTTGTTTGACAGTGGTCCAATCTCAACAATTACCTATGTGTCAATTAGAATAGTATACCTCTTTGAGAGTCCAACAGCTAGACTGCATGCATGGAGATGAATAAATTAGCACTACCATGCAGAAGTTGCAGTAAAGCCTAATAAAAGATTTATGTCCAGATGAACACTTTGTCCTGCTCTTAGTACCATTGTCAGTTCGAGTGATCAAACATTACCCTGATAGTTGCAAGGATTGCCATTTATTAAGACTCTTAGCACATTCAGTATTTACAAATAAAGCATGTTGTATGCACATGTCGTTCATGAAGATGTGAAAATGTCTTTACATCAGTGTAAAGAGGCATTGATTTTCCATACATTTGATGAAAAGGAAATTAATTTATGTAAATATAACTTGGTTTATGATTTCAACTATGGTACCCCCTCTTGTAACGACTCCAAACAAAACAAAAAAAGAGCATTTTAGTGATCATTTTAGCAATTACTGCCCCAAATAAATATGATGAACAGGTGGCCTTACATTCTTGCCATGCAATCAGAAGTCTGATTCTGTCTTCTTGATTTGAATAAGCCTGTGAAAATGTATACATTTCCAAGAAACCTTACAGTTACATACGAAAAACAGCAAAAAGCATGTACTACATTAAACACTTTATGTGGGATTAGAACTTATTTAGAATGGAAAAGATTGACGGTTGATCGAAATTGTGTTCTAGAAAGTGAAGTAATGAATTGAAATACTGCATGCAATGAGGGATCCAGCGTTGGTTGATGGTTGATCAAAATTGGGTTCTTTTTATGATGAAAGAGAAGTAATAAATTTTAAAAGGTACATTCTAATTGGGGACACATAGATGTACCTGTATGTCAAAATATGTGACGAGCCAGAATAAAACTATTGATAACCTTTATTTTCCAAATGATCTAAGGTTTTTTAAAACATAGTTTATTGTTGAATGAATGGCACATACATGCAAAGGAAGTCTATGCCCTATATCAGGTCACTTGCTTACTTAATGTTAAGGCCTAGCAAGCAAACATACATCTCCTTTTATCATCTTCGTTTAGCATCTGTTTTTTCCATGCTGTGGGTTGGATGTTGCATGTCCCCTATGGCCCTTCTCCAAGCTTTGGACAGTTTTTAGCATCAGTGAGACACAATAGCTCGGTGGTAGAGCAGTGGTCTCGTATAACCAAGAGGTCCTGCGGGTTCGAAACCAATTCGATGTGCTAGTGCCCTTTGGTAAGGCATTAATCCTCGCTAACAAGTCCTTTGGTAAGGACTTAAAGCAGTTGGTCCCCTGGTTGCTTACTTACACGTTGCAACAAGCATACACATGTTTTCTTAGCAGTCAGGTAAAACAAACAAAACTAACCTACCTACCTGGGTGAAGCCAGATACTCTCATATCTTCTCCTAGTATCTCCTTCCATGTTTAGATGCATCTGTCAAAAAATATGTGACAATCCAGAAGAACCTCTTATGCATCTCCCTTTAAATCTGAGCTTTTCTGAAGCTTCTTTACTGTAATCATTGACAAATTTTCCCTTGTATTGATCCTCAGGTTGGAACGTACGATTGAGAAGCAGCGAACAGAGATTCAGAGACTGAAGAACAGTGGCTTGAACAGTGGGGCAAGCCTCAGTGGCAGGACAAGTAGGTCTACTAGCCCCACTCATCCTCACATCGATAGGCAGCTGTTACCAAGGCAACCAAGTGCTAGATTAAAGGTAACACAATAGATTAAAGGAAAGTTGTAGACATGGTTTATCATGGATATATAGTCTGCTTAAAGCCAGAAGGGCGTTAACTCGTTTTCTTTGCCGGAGAATTAATGCCCTTATAACTCTCAGCAGTTGACACGAAGTACAAGGTCTCAACTTCATTTGTAATTTGATATGAATTTTCAAAATCTTTTTGATGAAAAAAATTCTTATAAACGAAATAGTTATTAAATTGATAAAAGAGTTGTACTTTGTTTCACAGTGTCTGTGAAAAAGAACAAGAAGTATTGGATTTTCAGTTGTTCATATTTTTCTATAATGATGAAAATCCTGTCTTAGGTAATGCATGCTGATATGTGGTTAAATGTCAATCTTTGAATGTGTTTTGTCTGTGACATGCAGACATTCTAGCCTGTTTATTTTGTATTGTTTGATTTTTGTTGGTTTTGTTTTTGTCTTTGTTTTTTCTTGCAGTGCCTGATGAAAAAGTTTCTTTTTAAATTATCGATCTCGACCCCCAACAAAATTGTACTCAATTTATTTTTCTGACAGAAATCATCAGAGTCGCCCCTGCTTAGTTCTCCATGCAGTCCATGTTCCTCGCCCCGCTCCCCTTCATCACCCCTCCCCAACTCCTTAGAGCTCTCGAGTGCTTCATGCGGGTCTCTGGCCGACGCCCCCTCCCCCATGCTTCACCCCCGATCATCTCGGCTGGAGGATGGGCCGGAGCCCCACCCCTCATCACCTCTCTTGCCCAACCAACATCTTGTTCTGGCTGAAGTTCACAGAGTGCCAAGTGTCGCCAGCATACAGGTAAGTCCAATCCCAATTTTAATTGACTTGAATTCATTGGTTTGTCAGTCAATTTAAAAGAATTTTATTTATCATTGGTAAATTATAATAAAGATCATGTCACAATAATATATACATAATAAAGAAAGTGTACAATGACAAATATATATATTATATGATTTAAAAAAAAGAGATGAGTAGGCTCAGTCGGTAAAGCTTTTCCTTTCCAGAGTCCAGACACAGGTGACGCTAATACATAATAATAAATAAAACAGAAGAAATACATGAGAGGATGTAAGGAGGTTACAAGGCCAATGTGTGTCAGAAAATGTAATACTGGAAAAGGATTTTCATCTTATTAACTCGTCTTAACACCCTCTTATAATGTGTAAATAAACAGAATTTATCTTTGATTCAGATCACGCTCTCCTACCCCCCCCCCCCAAAAAAAAATACTAGCACCTCACTGTAGAACTGTTGAATAGGTGTAGAACATTGGGTACACAAGAAAGCCTAATTCTCACCTGGTGCTGTATGGTGCACATGAATGTAATCCAGTTGTGTTAAAAGTAAATCTGTCATTCAAAGACTGACTTTTTGATCATCCGCTCTTCTCACCAAGATGTTATTGTTGGGAGGAGCAGATCACTGTTACCGTGTTGTGCTCTTTTCCTAGAACGTTTAAACTTCATTTTGTCATCTTGTGACGGATTACCATACACACATTAGCTTGATATGTATAGTTTTGAGACCCAGACGAAAGGCGGAAAAACACAAACAGTAGTCAAGTTTAATCAATGCCATGATAGAAAGAATGAAGTTATCAGATGCATATTGGTGTTGTGATTCAAGTAACCCTTTTTTCTTCTTTAAAAAAACAAACATAATTAACTCAGAACAATCTATTTAGGACTTTTTATGAATATAACATTGATACTTCCTTGAAGTACTTGTATTCTAGCTACAGTTGGAATAATTATATTACAAAAAGAAAATATGAATTTCAAGAGTATGTTTTAGAGCTTTCTGTGAGGGATAAGAGATCAGATACTGGATATTCTAAGGTTTTCAGCATCAAAGTGTACCATTCAATAAACAATACTTTGTTCTGTATGTCAGGGGTTCAATGTGGCTGTAGTATATTCAAAATAGGAGCTTCAAATATTACTTGATGAAGAGGTACTGCAAGTGTATCTATACACTCTCAGTTAACAATAAAAGCAACTTGTGAGTTGACGCACTCGTAAGCGATGTTTGTTTGTTTCGTGCACAAGATTTATGTTATTGTATTCCCGATATTCCTCAGACTCCTTATCCGTTGGTCGATAGAATGCTGTGTAGAGTTTTTCTAGGTCAATATCCTACTATATTAGGTGATTGGTACACTTTAAAGTGTTCTGTCTGTGATCATGTTTCCAGGGTGATGTTCGGTTACACAAGTTGCCTGCCTCCGCGTCAGAAAGACGGTCAATCGAGATTCAGTGCTCGCCTTTAGAAGAGCCAGAAGGGCATACGTCTCTTCAGCAGCAGTTCCAAGAAGGTAAGAAACAGAAGGTCCTTAGGATAAACTCATTCAGGGTGTTAGTAAGATGCTTTTTCATATTTTTTACTTTGTAGTCAATGTACAAATGTTTGTCGATACAGTCAAACCTGTCTCTAAAGACTACCCAAGGGAAACAGAAAAAGGGTCCACTGTAGACAGGTGGCCTTTGTAGACAGGTTCTACAATACACATTTCTCTCTCATGGGAGACAAAATGCATGGGCACTATAGACATTTGTTCTTTATAGAGAGATGGTCTATAATACAGGTTTGACTGTATTATGATTTGGCAATGTTGGTGATACATCCAGGGTTACGCATTACCTGAATATTTGGCAACAGGTTCAAATAAATATATATTCTACGAACAATATTATTTCATTAGATATTTCTTTTGATTGTGGTTAATTTTGTTGTTTTTGTCTTTGTTGTTATTGTTGTCATTGTTGTTTGTGATCATCATGATAAAAACATGGAATCAATCTTCTCTTTGCATAAGCCCGTTTATGAATTTCAAAAAGCAAGGCAAACTATTTTTGTCCACATAATACATGACATAATGTGTGATTTTGGCCTCTCATGATAATTTTCTTCTCTCTGTCCTTTCATCATTTCATTATTGTTTGTATATTATGTATTATACCTTACATTTATATGTTCTTTGTTATTCAGTTATATTATTTTTGGAAAAATGCAGAAATAAAATAAAATCAAAAATCAAAATCATTGCCTATTGGAATGTTTATCATAGTTTTTAGGGAAAGATTTTATGTTCCCTAATGAAATACAGTTTAGTTGGGTGATTGATTGGTTCCCCTTTAACATCAGTATAGAGATTAAAAGTCACATGAAAGTCATGATTTGAACTCTCGCTTTCTGGGTCAGAGCTATGAAAACTGTTTATATCCATTTTTCCTTTGGGAGTCATTAAGTGCAATCAAATCTATGTGTCTAGACTAGTAATTTTATGTTTTTGATGCTTTCATACAATTATTATTTATTATCTGATCTTAATTGGTTCATTATGAGATTTTTTTTTCTTGAAAACAATTTTTTTCAATTCATTTTATTTGTAGTAAATCATAAATAATGTAAATGGTGTCGCAGAGCTTTTGCTAATTTGCAGGTCGTAATATAAGTGGTGTGATACTTTCAGTGAATGGCCTTGTTTTATTGATGAACCTTGAAGATAACTTTTGTTACTGTTTTGTGTGTAAAAATATTGACAAAATGTTTTGTTGTTGTTATGAACTATGATAGCAATTTAAACAAATCTACTTTAAAGTATGACCAAAATTTGACTCCTACCCTAAAGCAATTGTATTGTTTGTCCAACAGGCAAATGGAAAATAGAAAGTCAGACAAAGATCATGTGATTCCTTCTTCCCAGGTTCATACATGCACATATATAGGCCCCGGCTTGTGTGTCTGGCACTATGATGCTAAGGATGTCACCCCATATTCCTTAAAGGGATTCGGTAACTTTGTCTCAGATTCTGAAACAAAATCCTGGATTAAGCTCATGCTACAACGATGATTATAAACCTTTAGGTCAGTCAGAAACCCTATGACTTTTACAAGCCATGTCTGATTATCAAGATATTTATGATTGGAAATCAATTTCAAAAAAACGTTTTAATTCCCAACCATTTTTATAACACCACAGTCTATTGGGAAAAATGAGTATGGTAAAACCGGTCACTCAAAGTTTTTACTTTTTTGAGGCACTACATGATGATTTTGAAGCGCAACTTTTTTTAAGGGCTCCAATATTACACCATATCACAGACACTGATAACACCTAGGCCGGGCCATCTCAGATTTAAAATTGTTAAACGATGCCTTTAATGCTGCAAGAATTGCCAATGTATATGCAAACATGTGGAAAATAATTGTGATATGAATTCAATTTGACAGCGTGCCAAGCGAGGGCTGCTCTGGAGAATGAACTCATGAGAGTCAGAACCGAACTGGAGGAGGTCAGACTGGGGTCAAAGGTGAAAGAGTGGTCACCAGGAGACAGAGAGGTAGGGCAGAACACACCATATACAGCCAATAGTATTGTATTAAATTAAAACATGGCACTGGATTTAAGTATTAAGTCAAGTTTTTATTAAAAAATGCTTTATTCAACATGGCTTAGTCCCGACATAGGTACATTTATTGGCCATGTGTATAGTTGTGATTCTTGAGTTGTTATATAATCAAAGACCATATGATTAATCAGTTGCAAACGTTTTAAAGCCCCTTTATAGTGCTTCCAACACTGTAGAAGGGCTTTAATCATTTGAATGGTAATAATTACATCGTATTTAGATTCTTTGTTGTGACAGTGATTCCCTTTTAAAAATTATCCTTTGCTGTCTGCGTCCAATTAAGTGTTCTGCAGTAGATTTCAAGTAAACTGCTTTTATATTTTGTGAATATTATATTTTGGAGAATAGAGATATCTTCCATGATACTTTATCTCTTTCCACTACTGAACAAGACCTTTGAGCCATGATAAGTATGTTCCACATAATGAATAAAGATAAAATTGTTTTGTTGTTGTAGCACATGTGAGTCAACTTAACAATAAAATAAAACAATATCATTTTGACACCTGAAAATAGGTTGCTTGACCAGACAAGAGCCTTGATAATTGTTCGAAAAAGTTGATAATATTTAGCTGCATATCATGTGAAAAACAACTTTCTTCCTCACATTAGATTAGAACTTAGCCCTCTGGAATCTTATCTTGGAGACCGGATATTGAAATAACCTTTCACAACCCATCACCAAGATAAATCTCAAATGAATATGTGTAGAAACACAGTGAGACAAAATATAGAACACCTGTTAATAGCAAAGTGAATAAAGAATAAGTAAGAGGGAGAGAGGAGAACAGGTATGTTTACATTCATTGTCATGTACCTGTTATGACACTGGAGCTTAAAATGTTTCGATATATCTTCCAGTGGACACACATGTGTGAATGTACATGGTGCATAAGTTTATCATGCATCTAGCATTTCATTTTCAACAAGTTTGAACTTCTTAGCAGGCATTTTTAAAATGAAACTGCTATCAACCACGATTACAAGTTTCTTAATGGAAAGCAGAAAGGATAGAAATATAGTTTTGAAAGTTTTAACAATCAGGAAATTTATTAAAAAGTTTGAAACTTGAGATCACTAAATGGATGGGAATTTCAAATTGCAGAATTGGGGGAAATTAAATCTCCAATACGATGTACACTAAATGATCATTAATTGCCTATTTCTCATTAGTACCTATTATCTTGGCAATATACTCAAGTTTAGATTGGAAACGTTGTTGTTATTGGTCTTTTAATATGTGATGACATTTTGACAAATGATATTGTCTTGTGAGAAAAAGGGGTGTTGCAACAACATTAGATTTACTAATTTGAAATCCCCATATCTAAAGACATTTCAACTCCCAAAATACATGAATTTCCTTTTACTGCTTTCAATTTTTCACCAATCGGTTTCTCTAATCTTTCTGCTTTCCTTCCAGGGAACTAAACTGTGGGGGTTGCATTACCATTTGAAATGATAGTGTGGTAATCCTTTAAAACTGATACTTCTTATTTCACATCTCTCTTTAAAACAATCTATAATACCAGTTGTCATTTTTTTATATAACCATTTCAGGCACCAGAAATGTGTGAGTTGCTGATTGAAAACGAGACATTCCCTGTGCCACTCTTGAAGAGGGTTCGGAGTCATAGTATCCAAGGCGTGTCAGAAGTACCACACCCTCCTACGTCACCGAGCCATCATGAGAAACATAGTCCGGGGTAAGATTATATAATAGTAATATTCCGTCCTTGTAGAGCTCATAACACATTATGATATAATGTCTGTATATGCGCTTCCAAATTCCAATGAAAATTATTACCTTAGCTTTAGCTCCGGGCGCCATTCCATTTACCTCACGTGGGTGGAGTGTAAAGGTAGATTAACGTCTTGTCAAAGGATGTTAGTGTTGTGGCAGGGATTTGAACCCGTACCTTGTGGTTCACAGTCTGGAGCCTTATCCACTGGACCACCTCTACATTCATTTGTTGAGAGGCAGAAGGATATTAAACATGTATAAAATATTGTAGTTAATGCCCTTTGGCTCTAAAAGAGATGAATTGATGAGATGTTCAGAATATTCAAAACATCAAACTACAGTGCCACTTTGTTGTGAAATTCAATTAATTGTATAACAAATCTATGATTATTTCAACTACATCTGATGCATAAGCAGAAAAGAGTGGAAATAAATATCATTCACAAAAATAGATCGATTTCTGTTTCAGTACCTAAAACTGCTCCTCAATTTGAATACTGAAATCAAATTTACAATATCTAAATTGGGGGGGGGGGGGCGCAGTGGAATGCGAAATCACTACCAACCTTCACATTTCTAGAAAGAACTCTTGAAATTTTAGGAAGACAAAACAAGCTTTTCCTCTTCGAAAGAATGTTAAATAAATTACTAATATCAGGCAGCTTTAGATGTCTTGTGCATTAAATTGTTAATCAATGTTACTCTATCTTGTACATTTTTTGTGTAAACTTTGTTTTTTAAATGGCTTGCTTTTCATTTTCAATCATGTCATGCAGGTTACCTCCCATTCCAAGCCCTCAGATCAGCCCCAGAAATTCAGACCTTAGTTCCAGCTACAGCGGGGATGGCTTTAGCAAGAGATCCAACAACAAAACTGAGAGCAGCCATAACAAGTAAACCCCTCGCCATTTTTTGTTGTTTTTAGTTCGAGGAATTTTTGCGTTTGTCAGAACCTTGTCAAATTGAAGAATATCTTTGAGCAAGATGTACTAAAACTTTACCCAGTACTGAGTGTTGGCCTTCATGATGCATAACTTTAGTATGACTTAATTTAAAGGTATTTTGCCATTTTGTAAGACTAATTATGAAAAATGCAAGCTAATGAACATAGAAATATATAGTGTATGGAACTGTTTAATGAGGGTGTTGCGCTATCCATCAGTGATTGTTAGAGAAGATGATTTTTATCATGGATTCATGGTCCTTTTGTTATTCTTTCTTAATAGAAAGTGTTCCAGATAATCAAGGGAATTTTGAACTTCAAGGAGAATGAGACATTTTTCTTAGTCCAAAGTGATTACATACAGCTCTGTATATAAGGATTAAATCTGTAGTTGTGAACATCATGTCATGATCATCTAATAATAAATGATAGTTTACAAAAATCAAAAGTGTAATGTTTCTTTTGGGTCAGGAAAATTAAAGGGATTGTATATTCAATGTCAACCAAAGCATTAATGAAGTATATTCTGCAGTGTCTATTTTCATGATTACTTTATGCATCAAAAGTTGATTACCAGTATATCTGAAAGTCTATTGAAGGTTCATTATCCATGTCAAACGAATCCTGTAATTTGCTCTCTACAAGTCAGATGTCTTTCTCTTAGTAAACAATATAAAAGAGAGTATGAAGTTGTCACAGGAAAACAAAAATGACAATTGATATCTTTGTGCTTCTTTGATGACAGCCTGACAGTGAGACTGGAAGACCACGTCTTGATTAAAGGAGAGCGAACAGGCTTTGTCAGGTTTATCGGTCATCTAGAAAAGAGTTCGCTACCCAATACGGTATACGTGGGACTACATCTAGATGTTCCAGGTAAGGATAAGCCGGGGGTAATGATATGATAGCAGGGCGGTCCTCAGGGAGAACAGTACTGATGAGGCTTCCCTGGGTACATAAACAAGATATAAACAAGACATATTATTATTATTATATATTCATGTTAAACTAATTCATTGCCATATATAAGTAGCAAAAGAACTTGTACAGTTGCTAGATTACAAAACTTGATATAATTGAAAAATATTAAACAGAAAATGAGTTACAATAGTTGTGAAATGTACATGATAAAAATTGAAGTTTTTTTGTGTAAAACTACATTCATGTATTTATTTCAAATTATTACGCAAGGCCCCTGAATTTTTCTGTACATTTTATAGACATACTGACACATGAAATGCAAAAGAAGGGGATATATATTTCCTTTGATTGATTCTTACATTATGTGTTCACAAAGTTCATTGGTTAGACAATCAATTTCCAGAATTTGTGGCCATCTTAACAAAAAAAGCAATATGTGGGTAACGTTTTCTGGTAGAATAATTATGAACTAGAAACTCATGAGCAAGTAATAGAGGAGCAAGGTTGCAGGACTCAAAAAGTTTTCTGCAGTGACGTGTATGGCATATCTGCCATGGTTTTGAACATTCTTGAACTACTCAGGCCTGATAATTACCCAATTTAAATCGGTTTCCCAATTATTTTTCTTGGATTAGTCTTCCCGATTTTTTCCTGATTTTTTTTTTTTTTTCTTCCCGATTTTATCCTGATTTTCCTTTATTTTCCCAATTTTTCCTAAATTTTCTTTCTCAAAAGGTGCCATTTTTTTTTCCTGAATCCTTTTTTTTTTTTTTACTCAAGGGGGGATGGTTGAAGAATTTTTTATTTTTTATTTTGTTAGTGCTCACTATCGCCCCTGACTACTTTTTTTTTTTTTTTTTTCTTCAGTTGGTAAGAATGATGGGATGGTCCATGGCATCCGATACTTCTGGTGCCCTAGGAATCATGGCATCTTTGTTCCTGTGAATGACGTCTTAGCAGTCATCAACAGAAAGGTAAGACGGTGATGACTTCTGCCATTGTCCTGCACCAATATGTTATTTAGTGTATAGTGTTGTGGTGGCTATTTTACCTGACTGCTAAGAAAGCATAAATGCAACCAGAGGACCAGCGGCTTTAGGTCCTCTCCGAGAGACCGGGTAATGAGGATTAATGCCGTACCAAAGGGCACTAGCGCATCGCCTAATAGTTTTAAACCCGGGTGGCCGGATTATGAGACCACTACTCTACCAACTGAGCTATAATTGTTAAGGTTTAGCGCCACCTCCTGTTGTCTGCTTTGCTATAAATTGTGTGGCTTTGCGCAGCTCTGTGCTCTAGCACCTGGGTTCTGGTTATGTCTGAAGAAAGAGCTTAAGTCGACTCGGATCCAACCTCAAGTTTCTAATTGTGTTGCGTGTGAGTGATGCAAACTATGGTAGGATTACTCTTGGGGGTGGAGAAGGTGACCATCCAATGACCAGGGGGGTGTTTCACAAAGATCCTAAGTCAAACTTAACTCTAAGTAGGACTTAAAAATTATGGACAGCCATTGCAGCCTTAAAATGAAATATATTCAAAAGCAAAAATTCAAGTATTTTAGACCTTTTTTTATAAATTCCACATCAAGAACATGAAATCTCCTTGATGATAAAAAATATGAAAGATTTGAATCAACATTTTATGCCTTTCAAAATTACTTTTACAAAATATTTTCAAAGATGCTAACGGCTTTCCATAACTTTTAAGCCCAACTTAGAGATAAGTTCAACTTAGAATCTTTGTGAAACACCCCCCCCCCCAGGGCTAAATGTGATGAACAGTTCATTAAAGTACTCCTGGACTGTGCTCAGTACATTGAATGGAAAAATGACTGATTCTCAGGTAGCCAAAAGTATGAAGACATCTTGCCAGTACATTACAATCATGTAATTTATTTGTAATCTTGAACATTCAGTGTACGTTTTCTGTTGGGTTTTGTGAGAAATTATTTTCTATATTTACCATAACTCAAGTTTATTTTTAACCCCATTCTTCATCTGTTAAATCTAAACGTCATGCATATCAATTCATTTGAAATCAAGAGTTTATCATTTAATTTCATCTCATCTTTGTTTCACAGCCACTTAAGAGATTGAAAACCGCAGACACAAGACGTAAAGCCTCCTCCCATGGGGGCATGGGAGGGGGAGGAGGAGGAGGAGGAGGGGTGTATCCTACCGGTGGGTATGAGAGAGGGGAGATGAAGAGAACGAGGCCAGGCCAAGCCAGGAGGCTAATATCGGCAGACAGCTCAATGCTTCCAACAACTCATAAAAACAGGTGATTACTTGATATTCAGTTATGATTGTCTTCTGTCGATCACATTGTCAAAGGTTTGTGATTTAAAGTTTATTGGAGACAGTTAAATTATGTATTTCAAAACTACTTATAAGAACACCCACTATATATTGCTTCTTGAACAAGCATAAGCTATTTGATTTTAATTTTTATCAGAAAATAAGAATACTCTAATATGTAATTGTTTATTAGGGAGGCTCTCTAGTATTCTTAAAAGAGTGCCTAAGGGAAGACCAGATTAACCTGACATAATAAGACTTACTTACTTGGCAGATTATCCCTGTTTTCCTAAGGGAAGGGCTCTCAATTGACTCTTAAAAGTTGCCACTGTAGATGCAGACACTACTTTTTTTGGTAGATTATTCCGAGGTTGGACGACAAAAGACTGAAGGAATAAATGAAGAAAGGAGACATTTGTTAGTTTTAATGTAGCTACCTACAATTTATATTTCTCTGAGTAATCTAAATTAGATGTAAAGCAGAGTTCGATTCCAGGAAAAAGTTAACTCATTTTAGCTTTTGTCACAAAATGATTTGATAGAACATAGATATTTCATAGGTTTTATGAAAAGAAAACTTCTGTTCCGGATGTTATATCAACATGAATTGCTTCCACATGTCGAAGGTTATTCTGAAAAGGAATTTGCACTAAAAACTTCTCTCTCTTTTTTTGTTTTGTCTTCTAGAGATCATGCTGGATCTACATCATGATGGTATATATATCTCCATAGCACCAGCGTCATCTCCTCCATAGCTTTTCTCTTCACTGTGAGACCAACATCCATTCCCATGGCAACACAGCATCATCTGTTGCCAGTGGTATAGCTACAGGGGGCGGGGCATAATAAACACATCCCCCCCTCTCCTCCCCCATTGAGTGGTGGAAGAAATACAAAGGAAGAAATAGCAAAACAAGAGAGAAAGGGAAAAGGAGAAACAGATGATGAAAAAAGACACCTTGTGGGTGTTTCACAAAGATTGTAAGTTCAACTTATCTCTAAGTTGGACTTAGCAACTATGGAAAGCAGTTAGCATCTATGAAAATATATTGTAAGAGTTATTCTAAAAAGCATAAAATGTTGATTCAAATCATTCATATTTTCTGTTATCAAGGAGATTTCATGTTCGTGATGTAGAATTTATGAAAAGTCAAAATACTTGAATTATTGGTTTTGAATACATTTTATTTTAATGCTACAACTGGCTCTCCATAATGTTTAAGTCCAACTTAGAGTTAGGTTCGATTTAGGGTCTTTGTGAAACACCCCTGGACTGCTCCTTTCCCCTCATTGGTGACCTTGTCAATTAGCATTTCATTTTCTGAGAAGGACTGGTTCCCCCAATGGTTCCAGTGCCCCCTGAGTGGATGTGCCCATGCTGGCTACGCCATTATCCATAGCAGTAACATAATCTCTTCACAGAGCAGTCATTTCTAGAAGTATTTTGGGATGCTAAAAGTATCGTAAGCTCTTCTGAAAAAGCTTCTTTTGGAGTGATATGTGAGTTTAATGAGACAATTCGTCCTTGTTTTCACGAAGTGACGGTAGTGAGGAAATTCGTCACGCAAAGTGAATGCAATTTTTTTTCACTACCGTCACTTCGTGAAAACAGCGACGAATTATAGGTATACAGTAGAAAGCCATGTTCTTAATGGCATTATAACCCTTCCATTGATGCAGTTGAGCTCATGTGAGTAAATGATTTAAAGTATGTCATTTCAAGCACCATTTCAATGTACATTACTGACTACTGACAGCATTTGTATCATAGATTGTACACATATGCAAAGAGGCCTGTCTATTTCATTATCATGTCATTTAATGAAAAAGCAATAACATTGACTTAAAGGAGAATCTTTGAGATAAAATGTCTAATGTAGGCAATTTTCTCTTCATCTAAAACAAATAATAAGTGTGTTGTGTGCATATAATGCAAGAGTACTAAACATCTGAAATGTTCATATTTCCTTGAGTCTTTCGTACCTCCAGCTTTTGATGACTATCTGTAAATATGTAATTGTGTATATGAAGGTCACCGTTCATAAGAGTAAATTAAGAATCATGTCATGGTTTTATTTTATTTCCATATAAAAATGGAATCCATTAGATATTGAGGTACTCAACTCTGCAAGAGTAACTATATTATAATTAAATGAGTATGAGTAGCTAAACGTAGAACTGTTGTCATACATACTGCTATCATCAGAGGGTCAAAGAGTCAATTGACTTGTCATGAGCAAGAGAACATTGTTTTCATTTTCATTTTCATTTCATGTTAAGACATAGCTTTGAAAGAGGTAAATTTTGGTTCATATCACTTTTGGGAAAAAATCTTAAGAAAATATTTTTCTTCTATTTTTCTTCTTTCATCAGACTACTCTTATATTACATTTTCTTAAGAGATCATCCGGCAGAGATGATTTATGTGATGTTCTTAATATTCACTTCAACTTTTGATTCTGTGAAAAATTATTATTATTACCCAAACTCAAGATGAATAAGTTTTCAAATGGGGGTAAGGCTAACTCGTCACTAGAGCTAACTTGGTCTCGCTTGGCGATAAGGTATCAAGAGCACAAATGCAAACTACACTCCTGGGACCCATTTCACAAAGGCTCTTTTCAATGACAAATGCCAAAAATCAATGACATATCTGCTGATAACAAATCAGAAGCAAGGATTTCACTAGCTTAAAACAAAAACTGTCGTTTGTCACTGATGACAAGTTTTGTGAAATAGGACCCTCACCTGTAAATATGTCATAAATTTCATGTATTGGGAATTTCATCCATTTAAGTTTTCAACATTTCCTTTTTAGGTGACTATTCCTCTCATATAATCTTGAATATTGGTTTGAGAAGATATGATTAATACACAAAAGTCTCCAAATTATTTGCATTCTGTTCAGTTCTCTTGCATAAGCTCAGCTCCATTTTCGACGAGTCCGAGTGGACCCTAGTACTGTACCGAGTTAGCCTGGATCAATGAGATGTTGTACCAGAGTACTTGTCATCATGTAGATCAATGCCATTCACCGTTAGCTGATCTTTGTTCCTGTCTTTGTTTCTTTTTATGTCTGTTTATACTTTGTTTTTATGATCTTGACTACCAGACTTGTTAGTAGATAACAGTCTTCTGTTAGAAGCACCTTTATGTTCAGTCTTCCTGTGTTCTAAGTACAAGCCAACTTGCTATTTGACTTCGACCTGTAAACTCCTTTTGATTTTTCCTTGTTTGTGTTGGCTCAATCGTGTGCAGTATCTTGCTGAAAATATGTTGTCAAATGTGTTCCTTTTTTCTGTATTTCTATGTCTTTGTACGATGACAAAGATTTTCACCAAAAAATCTATTATGAATTTAAGGCAATTCAATAGCCTATTCCTTCACCTTTGGATTTTAGGTTAGATTAAGGGTTAGGGTTAAGTTTTAGTAAAGTGCTGGTTCCATGAGTTAGGAAGCAGATTAATCTGGGAAATAGGGTGATCCGACATTTGATCTGGCAACAATCGCTCCAAGTGTCCCTTTCAATATGTGATTGCTATCTTTTGATACTCAATAGAAACTATTTTTCTTTCTTTATTAAAAGTAATAGCTCTTAATTGTGTTTCTGTTCCTACATATCAATGGGGAATGCTTATTATGGGATAACCACGTGTTGTGATGATGGTTGATACGTGTACTAGCTTCAAATTACCATAAACAGGAAACAAACATCTGGTTTTATATACTCTCTATAAATGCCACTTCAGGAAATATTCGGTGACTATGGCTCGTCTACCACTCGTGATGTTCAGGGACAGATCAAGTATTATTTAAGAAGGGGGGGGGGGGGGCAGCACAATGCTGAAAAATATCTGTCAAACATTTAAATAATATTATCACAATTCTCTCATGCATGTTTGGTGTAAGATTTGAAAGGTGGGCATGATATTGTGTACTAAATATATGCAAGATTGGGTCCCTGATGTCAGGTGAAGCAAAGTGAAAGGGGGCGTGGGACGGTTGTGCCCCCTCCCCCTCCCCCCCCTCCCCTAATTTGAAGCCTGATTATGATGTGCATGCAAAGGAAGTGTAGACTCCCTTGGATATGACTTTCCATAAAACCATGCCAATACCTTATTATTTCCTGCTTGAATCAAGTGGCCTTCAGGTTTTATTTCTCTCATTGTTTTTTACTTTTTTTCTTTCTTCCTAGCAAAACAACATTCCTCTACTAATTGATCTGCATGTTCCTTCTGGTTATAGGGTAATTCCAGGTGGGATAAATCTGCCCAAATATCTGTAAAGTTGATTTAGCTCATATAAATCTTACTGTGCAACAACTATCTTCACCACAAAGTAAAGAACACAAAATTCCGATAACTGCATCATTTGAAAATATGTGAAATGATGAAGAAGGTATTTTCACAACTTTCACAACCGGGACAGTACCACCTATGTGAATTCGCCCAATAATATGTATTCATCATTTAGTTTTTTCCCTACTGATTATTGTCTAAATGTGATTGTTTATTGTCTTAATGTGACTGGTGGCCGTGTTGGGTAAACCTTCTCGGCTACAACTTGAGTTTTTCAACTTTAATATATTTTCCTGTTTTGTTCTTCAATATACTGCTTTGTATTATTATAGCACCAATCTGCACCTTATACTATACTATACTGCAATTCTCTGAGCTTTCTCTGTATGCCACTATGCACTTCATTTTTACTTGCTATGACAATGTGTTAGAAGTAGATTCTAAAATTATTTATTTATATATCTATTAATATGTAGCATAATTATGTTTACCTTATCTCTCTGCTTGCTCTGTTTTGAAAACAAAACGCAACAGATTTCTTATTCTAGGCCACCTGGAATATTATAGATTGCATTGGTTTAATAAAGAGATTTGTTTTGTTTTTTGCCAATAATAATCTTTAAAAAAAAAACGTTACCCCGGTATATGTCATTATGCGCTATGGTCACTTTTATACACTCATCAAATTGTTAGATACAGTGCTCTAACTCTAAACCTAAAGCTCAAACTCAATCACAAGCTTCTCCCCAACCCGAAGTGTGACGTCATCAAAAATCTACTTTTAGAATTTTTCAATTTTTTCTTAATTTTCCAAAAGAGCATCAAAAATAACCATTTGGAGCCAGAGCAAATAACACTGAGTTCCCATAGGCAATCTTTTTATTCAGATGGTCATATCTCAGTCAATACTTAACATATTCAATTGGTTTTCGATATTTGGACATGATTTTTGATGCTCTTTCGGAAAATGAAGAAAACATGAAGAAATTCTAAAAATAGATTTTTATGATGTCACAGCTTCGGTACTTTGTACATGTAGTAGAAATGCAAGTATGCAAGCACAGACTCTAATTTGACACTTTACTGCAATACACTGGTTTACTAATAGATTCAAATTTATGGATGTTTCTTTTTCCCGGGGACCAATTGACAAGTTATTCCATTAACCTTTTAGTAATGAATGAACTACAATACTTGGCATCCAGTCTGCATACATTACTTGTTGCTAAGCTGGGCAAGCCTCAGGCAAGCTTTCAGGTTGTCAAGAATAACCTTTGTTTAAAAAGTATACATACAATTTGAATAGGTTAGTGAAGCGGTCTATTCCCAAAGCCTTGAGCCGTGAGAACCTAGATAGACTGTCAGTTTCTGGCTGTGTCAAATAAGGTTCTGGACAGATTCTCAAGAACTGCTTCTGCCTAACAAGCACATATTGTGTTTATAGTTTGCTTGTTGTACAGACCCTTGTCAGGAGCAGGGAATAGAAAAGAGCCTATATGTAGTCTCATATTGCAGACACTGTTACGTACAACGCTTGACAAGGGTCTTTCCCTGCAAACTATTGAAATGCCCAGAGTTATTGTCGATAGAGTATTTGTTAGATCACCAGGGCAGCGTCTCACAAAACCGTCATAAGTACAAGTTCACCAAAATCCCATTGAAACGGGTGTTAAACTTCATACACGCATTTCAATGGCATGTCGGTGAACTTGTACTTATTCAATAATTAATTATATAGTTGATAAAGTATTTCCTCCTTGTAATCTATTTCTAAATGTACTTTCATTTTTGCCCTGTCAGTATGTGTTGTATTGATGTCAGAACATACCCATTACTATGTTGATACTGCCAACTATCTTTTATTCAACTATCTTGAGCTCAAGTACCTCATGAAGCAAGAATCTTGCTATGAAGAATGAAACCAAATCTATAAGCTTTATCGAATGTACATGTAACATACATAAATATGTCAAGTAAAGCAGTGTGTTTACGATGGCATTAATGATACCAAATAAATTCACATTTTCAAAGTTATTTGTGAATAATTCATGCTGTGTGTCTACGGAGTTGGGCTAACTTGCCCCACGGGACATCTCGCCCCAGCCTCAAAGACTGGGGCGAGATGTCCCGACATGATTCATCGATCGAGAGATACCAATGTGTATATGTTTGTGCTCATTGTGACTTAATAATTCCAATCTGTAATGGAGAAGTTATAGATTAAAGAGAAGTTCCATTACGGTGAATCATGACAGGACTTCTCGCCCCACTCTTTGAGGCTGGGGCGAGATGTCCTGTGGGGCGAGTTAGCCCGGATTTGTGACTACATATCATTTTAAAACCATGTCCCACATTTTGATAAAATATTGAAAAGTGTGAAACCATGGTTGTACTCAGATGTGTATATATTTTATCTATGTTAAATTATGCAAAGCATTTTTTTTGTATGTACAAATTTGAGGACGTTTATGTTGTGTGGATGATGTAAAATTGTATGTTACTTAACAAAGTACTAACCTATTGGTGGATGGGGTATGGAACGGACCAGATTCCCTGGGTTAGGGCGGGGTCAGGGTGAGGGGTATACAGCTAATTGGGGGTGGGACCTTGGTACCTACTACAGTGAAACCTGTCTGTAAAGACCATCCAAGGGAGACAAGAAAAATGGTCTTTGTAGACAGGTGGTCACTAAAGCAGGTTAGACTGTATTTAGGTGGTATATTTTGATTACTTCATGATATTATATCAAAATAATACAGCACCGGTCTGACCAGTTACTATTATATAGGCATCGGGATGTACACTTGCAATGGGTAATTGTATATGCCATTTGGGAAACTTTTCACTATTATATATCAATTTGCCACAGTATTCCTAGAAGATTTAAGAAATATACTCACTTCTTATTTTGTAAAATTGTTAATTTTTGTGTGGAACACAGGACAGGAATTCATATTTGCCGTTACTGTATCTTTGTTTTAATCAATCAATGTATTTATGATTAAAATTGTTATGTACCATTCAAACATTTATTCTGAGTCTTGTATTTGTATTTTCGATTAGCTTTGTCACATACTTATAAAACACTACATATGCAACCTCCATTATTTTCTAGATGATTCGGTGGATTGGGGGATCAAGGAAACCTATTATATGCTAGTAAGCATTTTTTTTTTTTGGGGGGGGGGGATTTAAACGAAAACAAACAAATATCTTAGAGTCCCATATAATTTATGATGGGGATCTTTTTAAATCTTTATGCTTATTATACTGATCCTATTTGATATAAATAACTTAAAGAAGAAGAATAATCGAGTATCTTTTTTTACACAATTATCGATAGTGATATTTTGCCTTCTTAGAAGAATATGAATATGGTAAAGATAACGAGATTACATAACCACTGTAACAGGGATATTTACGAACCATACACAGTTCCCTTTCAAATATTCTATTTTCCTTCCGTACTTACTTGACGACCCATGTTCGACCTTTCTTGATTTGTAAATAGTGACATTTCCTCACGAGAAATTGGGCAGCTGGATAATGTTCTTGTTGTTTAAGGCCTGGTCACAACGAACCCACGACTGACTTGCGACACACCCACGACATAACCACGACTTCTTTATCTTCTGACGTGTTCCTATCGCCAACTATCTTTAATGTGTCGTAGCCCTTGTGACCACTCGAAATATATTTCGGGCATGTTGTCACTATTTACAAATCAAGAAAGGGGGAACATTATATTTGATGTCGAATATAACATTTCACTTGATCCGTTCCAGTCAAGCACTTCTACAGGGGTGTTTTAGGTACTTTTATGTATCTCGTTATGTTTTTTTAGGCACTTTTTAGGTACTCTTTATGTACCCTTTAAAAAAAATATATAATCTGGCAAACCTCCGCCGTCCTATTTCTCCAACCGTGAAATGTGGTTCTGAAATACATGGGTCACCAATAAGCACGGATAAGGAGTAATTGTCCGAAGGGGAGAGTGCACTTTTTTATGAAGGAAATATTAGATTTGGAAGGGAATTTTTCACATTTAAAAAGGGGAACTTTTTAGGAATGAATAAGGGCACTATCAGATAAGATAGAAGGGCATTTAACGGAAAACAAAATGGGTGTAAAATAGAACAATTTTACGATTTTGTTGAGGTACCTTTGGGGTACTGCACCCTCCACCCCACGAGCTTCTAACGGAATGTGTAGTTATTTTGCAAATAATATCAAAGGTGTCTGGGGGTCCCCCTCCCCCCCCTTCCCCTGTAGAAGTGCTTGACTGGAACGGATCAAGTGACCTTTTATTTTCGGCATCAAATATCTACACTCTTTTTCAAATCCCTTTATGGTTTCTATCTCGTGCACAGCCGTGGTTTTATAAGGACATTGAGAGTAATGTATAGGCCTAATAAAGTAATATCAAATTCAGACCAAACCATGAATATTCTAAAGGAGACTATAAGGAAAGGCACATTTTCAAAGGAAAAAGGAAAGGAACAATTTAGAGGAATGTTTTGAAAAGGAAAGAGGGAAGTGAACGGTATAAAGGGAAAGAAAATGATTTAAAAAAATAATAATATGGGGAATTGAAACACTTTCTCATGTTTGGCAGACCTAAATGAAAGTAAATAACTTGAGACAAAAATAAGCTAAAATATAAAATAAATCCAATAGAGAAAAAAAATTACGAACTTTTGAAAGGCAATTTGTTTTTGATATGTGATGCCATTTGCATTTAGAGTATAGCGAATTACTTAATTCCTTGTGTATTTTTAAAAACTCATATATTATGTATGACATAAGTTTTATAATCTAATATTCTCCCGCTATCTCAGTCTTCCCATTCCCACCCCTCCCCCTCTCTCTCTCTCTCTCTCTCTCTCTCTCTCACTCTCTCTCTCTTTCTCTCCCTCTCTCTCTCTTTCTCTCCCTCTCTCTCTCTTTCTTACTTTCTCTCTCTCTCTCTGCCTCTGTCTATCTCTCTTTCTCTCTCCCGCCCACTCACTAACTCTTTCTCTTTCCCTGCCTATCTTTCTCTCTCTCTCTCTCTCTCTCTCTCTTTCTCTCTCTACCTCTCTTCCGGTCACGCGCTGTTAATACAAAAGTGTAATATTATACGATAATACGACAGTTATTGTAAAGCTATTGTAAACCGGGGGGGGGGGGGGGGGGGGGGGGGTAGTGAGCACTTTTTTTTTTTTGGCCCTCGAAAATTTGAAAATTTGCACCCCCCCCCCTTTAGCGCCAGGGGGGGGGGGGGGCATCCCCCAAAAAGCTAAAAAATCACGTGTTTTTACAAGGTTTTTTCCCCAGGGTGGGGGTGGGGGGGGCGGGCCGGGGGGCCTAGATACGCCACTGTTGTGCAATATGAATCTGATGTGCAATAAGGTAACACTACTCTAGATTGAACTCACCAACCAACATTACCCATGCACCTTGGACTCGGAATTACCCAGACATACTAGTATATAGCCGCGGATTTTAATTTTAAATTCATTATTGGTTGGATGCAAGTCCCAACTGGACTTCAAAACATTGGTACCTTTTCACTGACCCGGGGTTTTCGAGGCAAGAGTTACAGTATTTTGTTTAATTCACAGTGCTTGATCTTTACTGGTAAGTATATACAAGTACATAACCGTATCAAGGTAGGTTTCCATTATTTGTAAACTACTTATACAGGCAATAATAGGCTGATTATCTTTTCCCGCGTGACTACCCTTATAAAATGACAAATAAGCGGCGATGTTACACACTGCTTTTAACACCGGGCTCTCTGGTGTACTTCTGAACAGCAATCACACGCTAGTATATACCCAGCCACAGTTAACAGAATACATTGTATTAAGCACTAAACTCTAGAGTTTAGTGGTATTGAGTCAGACCAAGTTTACTTTAAGATTGACCCATCCCAATAAACAGAACACTAAAAAATAATCCTTTTTGGGGGTGTATTTTAAGTGATTTTAAAGTATGGTGCCTTTTGAACTAGAATTAAACGTTTTCGACACGTGCCTTCATTTTTGTTAAAAAGGTACTCCTGTTCACGTTTTCATCGCACCTAAAAACCACCAATTTATCACGCGACTGGAGTAACGTGATTCCACTTACCTCTGTAAATCAAGTGTTTACATGATGACCAAATAACCACTTGACCAAGCAACGAGTTTTTTGTCCGTTAATCGATGGTGGTGATTAATAAGTAATTATTTGGTCTTTTAAGCACCTTTATCGATTGGTTTCACAGGTTATCCAAGGTTGATGGTAATAATCACGTTACTTACACCGGCTAATCGTCTTATTGTTCTGTCCGTGAATCTCTGGTTATATTAAATTAATAATTCTTATTATAGGTGTCTTACAACACCTTTTTAAATGGTTTCAAAGTTAGCATAACTTTATTGGTGATGATCACGTGGCTCAAGCTGATTACTAATCTAAGCAGTGAATCCGTGATATTTAGGTGTGAAAAATTAGTAATTATTAGGTGTTTTAAAACACCTTTTTTAAATGGTAGTCTAGGTTGCCATAAGTTCCGCGGTATTGATCTCGTGACTCAAACGGATTATTAATCTAAGCTGGGCATCCGTGATTTTTAGGTGTGAACATTAGTAATTCTTAGGTATCTTAAAACACCTTTTTAAATGGTTTCAAAGTTACCATAACTTTCCTTGTGATGATCACGTGCCTAAAACTTATTACTAATCTAAGCTGTGAATCCGTGATATTTAGGTGTGAAAAAATTAGTAATTATTAGGTGTCTTAACACACCTTTTTAAATGGTAGTCAAAGTTGCCATAAGTTCCGCGGTAATGATCTCGTGTCTCAAACGGATTATTAATATAAGCTGGGCATCCGTGATTTCCAGGTGTAATTCTTAAGTGTCTGAAAACACCCTTTTAAATGGTTTTAAAGTTACCATAACTTTCTTGGTGATGATCACGTGGCTAAAATTGATTACTAATCTAAGCTGTGAATCCGTGATATTTAGGTGTGAAAAATGAGTAATTATTAGGTGTCTTAAAACACCTTTTTAAATGGTAGTCAAAGTTGCCATAAGTTCCGCGGTGATGATCTCGTGACTCAAACTGAATCTTAATCTTAGGTGTGAATTTGTGATTTTTTAGGTGTGAACAATGAGTTATTCTTGGGTATTCCATTTAAGTTCCGTGGTGATAATCCCGTGACTGTTGGCATATTTCTATTTGCACCAGTTGATAACTGACTGTTGGCATATTTTCATTGCACCAGTTGATAACTGATCTGTGTGCATATTTCCAGTTACACCAGTTGATGACTGACTGATGGCATATATCCAGTTGAACCAGCTGACACCAATTAATTTGCATATTGAATATAGGGTGCGTGCAGATCTATGTTTTTTAAACAATTTATTTGAATTTACAGCATATTTCTTAATTACTGATGATTTAGTTATATGCAAGTCATTTCGAAAATTCTACAAATATAAATTACCAGTTATTAGGAAATTTCGCTACTTCGTATAAATTACATTTAATTAAACATGAATAAGGGAAACATTAACAATGAACTAAAATAATTTCAATAAAATACAAGTATATGAAGAAATTTCGATTAATTAAATTATGTAAGTCTACTTATTACCAATGCCTTTACATTAAAAATACAGACGTACCAGTATTGAAGTGTTGTTGCCGTTCAACTGGTTGGAAGTTTTATCAAATGGTTCTAATGGCTCATTTGGCCCATTTCAATTTCCAGGGTTACCAGTTGGCATTAACTGGTTCATCAACTGGACCAGTTGCAACTAGCTTTTTCTTCTGGGATGTTTGCACCCACGACCCCCCCCCCCCCACCCAACCCCTCTAATCCCAAACTGCTTCCGGCGCGCCTGGACGTAATTCATATGGAAGATCCAAAACACGATGTTCAGAAACGGGATGAGAACGTAATTATTTTGGTTCATTTATTGTGTAACATTTGCGTTATTATTGGGTTGAACGCGGGTTACAGTAACATATTTCCTCTTCGACGTAAATTTCACGTGAATGAAGAACATGATTCATTTCAAGTCAGCCTCTTAATATTCACGTGAATTTCACGCATATATTTTAACTAAAACTATCACTAACGCTTCACGTGTTTCTGTGACGCGATTCTAAAACTTCTAAATAAGGCCGCCTCCTATTTTTTTTTTTTTTTTTTTTTTGAGATTTAAATTTTTTTTTTTAAAGAAAAAAAACATGAAAAACACTGCTAAAATGGATCTATTTCTGATTAAAAAAAAAAAAAAAAAAAAAAAGTTGGCCGCCATCTTGAAAAATAGCCCGAATGTCAGGGGAAATGTACCGAGCAGCCATTTTGAGCGACCATTTTGAAAGTAAAAAAAAAAAAAAAAAGGGTCTCCTCCTTCCTATTTTTCGAAAAAACAGGACGCTAAATATGTTTTTTTTTATTTTTTTTATTTGGCCTAATGTGATAATTTCGTTTATGAAGATGTAATTTCATAACCAAACAAAAACGGGAGTATTAGGTTTACAAACCACGGTCTCCAAGGTAGGGATAATCACGTTATTATTATGGTCATATTGCAGGTACAATTGCGTGATTTAGTGTACGTGTGCTTTAAGTGACCTAGTGCAATAAACGTAATAACACATTTACGTAAATGTCAGGTGTTTGAAGAACGTAAATCTCCTCAAGTCGATACCTTGATATTGACGTGATTTTCACGTGATTTTGTTTATTGGGATGCAATCTAGTCTCGAATAGCTCAGACCTCATTTTTTTTTATGACTGCATACATGGGAAGAGTATTGTCCGTAGCTGGAGATCGCGGTTCATTATATTTCATGCTGTTTTAGCTTGTACGACGTATATCTGATTACGACTAACTAGGTTTTACAAAAACAAAAACAACACAATAACAACAACAAAGAATATTGTGAGGCATTCATGATAGGAAGTCTTACGTACATAATACGCATGATGTGTAATGTGCTATTTAAACATTCTAATATTCTATTCCACTTCTTAAGTTTTAAGTTGAGTATAATGTTTTTTTCTTTCGTTCATAATATATACTCTCCTGCGCATAATATCTTAACCGCCTATAGAAAGATATAATGTCAGGTGTGACAGACATAACTTTGCACTGCAATATAAATTGTATACCCAACAATGTGATAATATTACCGTTTTTAGTATCCACTGTATTATCAGGGATTACATCAACTGTAACTTCCTGTAGTGTTGTATTTTGTGGAAAGTTGAGTGTTACCTTCCAAATCCATGGTATAGCATTATATAATGTTTATAAATGTTATAAATGTTTGAGTAACTTCACTATAATCGTTCATGTTTAGGAACGGATCAAAACTTCGAAATGGGCATCTACACGATATTCCTCTACTTGTCACCAATACTGGCGGTGACCGTTGCCTATAACAACCCAGGCCCAGGGACCACGCACAACATTACTGACATCTTGATCGGTAGATGCGAGGAATACCGGAAGTGCCTCCTGGGGGAGCCATGTCTCCCGTCCTAGTAAGTTTAAATTGTCTTCCTAGCCTTTTCTCATCTTTAATTTGTTTTGGTATAGTAATGTTCATCTCAATTGGAAATTCTTCGTGAAACCATTGGACTAATAAGGTGAAACCTTTCTCTTCTCATGTAGACTACTCTAGCTCACCTGTTTTCTCTCACCTTTTCCTTTCCACCTTTACTCTGTCTCATCACTCCCATCCATCCCTCCCTCCCCTCCCTCCCCCTCCCTCCCCTTTCTCTCTCCCCCTCTCTCTCTCCCTCTCCCTCTCTCCCCTCTCTCTCCCCCTTTCTTCCCCCTCTCTCTCCCCCTCTTCCTCACCCCCTCTCCACCCCTCACCCTCTCCCCTCACCCTCTCCCCTCTCTCTCAACCCCTTTATCCCCCACTCTCTCTCATAGTCGTAATGTCAACTGTCTTGCAGCAGTGGAGTCGTTTTTAGGAGGCATTCGCAATGTGGATCCATGTTCTACCCCAGACAACGCATATGATGAATTCTTCAAAATGGTCCCGCCCACCACAGTTCCTAACACGGTAAGTTTCATGCCTAATTAAGAAATACTTACCGAAAATGAACAGGGGCAGATCCAGGATTTTGTAAAACAGAAGGCACAATATTCTTAATTCTATTTGATAAACAAATGAAAAAGGTTATCATCAAAGGGGCATATTCTTAGAGTACTACTAAGTTACTATTACTACTACTGGGGTATATATGCCACTTGGATTTCGACAAAGGGGGGGGGGGGGCTGATCGGATGTACCTTCCCTTTCTCTTGTCCATTTCATTTAATCGTCCTTATTTTCCGTTATTTAGCCCCCACCCCTTTAAGTGCCGAATTTGGCACGTGCCACTTCCGCGTCCACCCCAAGATAGCACTTTATAAAAAAAATAATGTTATACACAAAATTATTAAAATCTAACTTATCGTATGCGTTCGTAGCACTCACCTAACAATTGGCTTTTAAAACGAGTACATAATTCACTTGATTAGATCAGAATAAATGTGTGCAAGGATTTAGACATGCATAGAACAGGAAACATAAACAAGGATGTTATTGGAACAAAGGAAGGAAGAGTGTATACAATTCTCCAATTTGTGGCTAGGAGAATTAAATAATCTACACGTACATGTACATACCACATGTCCTATATTCAAGCACAGAGTCAACAAGGAACTGTGTAATTTAATTGTCCCACTTTTATAATTCGATCTATCCATGTATTAGGCCTACTTGCTTGGAAAGAAGTGATATATATATCTCTGTTATTAAATACGTGTGATGGTAGAGAGTACAATAGTAAAAGTCTGTTCATTAATTTCAAATTAAAACTACAATATTACATAGCAAATAAACAAAGTTTTTTATTGACGAAACGCAAAGAAATTGTTCAAGAAATGTTAAGGTTATAACTATTTATTCAATAACTTGTGTCTGTTTTTATTATGTTAAAATGTAAATTGATGTAAATATATATGAAATGTGAAATATGTGAAATAAAACACCTCGGTAAGAGGACAAGATAAAAACAATCTCTGTTATTAAATATAGGCTAGCAAACTGGTCGCAATGGTTATAATACTCCGAATTGGAAGGAAAGCAACCAGTGTCGTAGCTACACGGGGCACGGGCCCGGGGTCATATGTGCAATTTAAAAAAAATAGAGAGAGAAAATAGAGAAAATAGAGAAAAATTGAAATGAATATATTATGCTTAAAGATGAGGTATACACCACTCTATTTCATATTTTGTATTACAATCTTTCTTGTAGGGATCATGTATTTTAAATGTGTATTTACGCTGAAAATCAAGCTCTATATATTCCGCTTATACATGCAGTGGCGTAGCGCGATCCAGTTGAGGGGCCGGGGGCACTCACTGACATCATGACTTTGTGGGTAGCGGTCTAGTCGGAAAATCAAATAGGAATTTATAAGGCCACTGACTTGGGGATAGGGTCCTTTCCTCGTCTTTACCCCGACCATTTTCACCTTCAATCTTTCCCTTTCTCTTTTTTCTTTTTTACGTGTTATTTGTTCACCATTCGAATGGGGGAGGGGGTTGTTCTCCTGTGCATTTATAGCTACGTCACTGAATCAGGCACGTAGCCACATGTACGTGCCCCCCCCCCAAAAAAAACCATGAAACTCTGGCTACGTGCCTGCACTGAATACATGCATATGGACCAGCATATATTTGAAGATGGCACTTAAAACCCTAATAAGGCCGGGGGGCATTATGGCCCCCCCCCCCCCTCCACGATTTTTTTTTCGATCGCTCGGGAACGCATATGGTGGCGCCCCGCCGCTCGCTGACTTTTTTCTTTCGAGCCTTGCGCAACTTTTAAAAGAATTTTTTTGAAAATCGGAAGTACGGTTACAAGGGTTACGTGACCTTTTGTCTTTGCATGTCAGCCCGAAAATCGCTCATTTTCGTGATTTGTGTACAAAACATATGGAAAAGTCATTTTTCCTAAAAACAGATCAATCATGGGTTATTAAGTATTGAGTATCAAGTATCAAGTTTATTTGTCTTCCAGAAAACACATGTGACAAAATATAATAGAGTATAATCATAATAGAACAATGTAGAATAGAGAAAGACGAGGAGACCTTGGTTGAAGCACAGCTTGTTAAGTTAAGGCCCCCTCATATGATGTGACAAAGATAACTGATTCATGAATACAACAACAAATATGGAATACATAAAACTATTTACAAAATACTCTCACTCTCAGAGAACAACTACCCAGCGATGCATCGACCACAGCATGGATGACTACAACAAGTATACCTGAAGATGCACACATCCCCATCACACCGGGTGAGCTAACAAACTCACCGTGTGTGTGAAAAAAAAGTATCATATGAGCAAAAATCAACCCACCCATGAGAGGGCGATCTAATATGGACAAACCCAAGCTGACACCAAATCGAGACATTAATGAGTTATTGCTCTCTGAGTGCAGAGGTCAAGAACGACAAGTAGGAATTTATGGTATATGTACAGATGAGAAAGAAGAAGAAAGAAAAGGGATAAAGGGGATTATGTCAAAGTCAAAAAATAACAAAAAATAGATCGAGAGTAGAGTTAAATATGCTACAGTACACAAAAAATAAAGCTTGATAACACATTCATGTGTCATACTTGTGAAGTAAATATGACTTAAGTCTACGTTTAAAAGCTGAGATACTTGAAGCATTTGTTATAGTAGTATCAAGTGAATTCCAGAACCTGGGGCCAGTGGACATTAGTGTATTCAAAGTGAAGGTTGTCCTTGCATATGGTAAATGGAGAGCAGAAGCCTGAATTTGGTTATTTCTTCTAAAGATTTGAGCAAGGGCAGGAGGGCGGGCAGGAGGGAGGTCCCCAGAGTGAATGCTAAACATGAGCATTCCAAGTTGCATTGAATAGAGATCTCCTAGTTTTAGAATACCATTTTCATAAAAAAGTAGATTTGTATGTGCACGATAATTCGCTTTACAAATTATTCTAATAACCCGCTTCTGCACAAAAAAAAGCCTGTGGATTTGAGTTTGGGATGATTTGCCCCATGCCATCAGACCATAATTAATATATGATTAAATAAGAGTAGAGTACAAAATGAACAATACTTCTTGCGGTATACATGATCTCAACTTATAAATAACACCAGTATTTTTTGACACCACTTTACTTAATTTGTCCACATGAGTTTTCCAATTCAGTTTCTCATCTATGTGTATCCCAAGAAATTTTGTTGAAGTTACTCTTTCAATTGGGCTATCATTAAATACCACTTCGCCTGGCAAAACATTAACTGAATTACTGGACAGTATATAATTTGTTTTCTGAAGATTCAAGGATAAATTATTAGCATTAATCCACTTCATTACTTTTCGAAACTCTTCATTAACAGTTTTCAACAATATTTATGGACATTTATGAGAAAAAAATACACTTGAGTCATCAGCAAAAAATATAAATGATAATACACTTGATGAGCGTTGAAAATCAATAATATACAAGATGAATAAAAGTGGTCCCAAAATGGAGCCCTGGGGAACGCCACATGTTACTTTTTGGGGGCAAGAGTCAATTCCATTTAAGGACACATATTGCTTTCTATCAGTAAGATAACTTCTAAACCAATCCAAGGCGACTCCCCTGACACCATAATGACATAGTGTACTTAAGAGAATTTCATGGTCTACAGTATCAAAGGCCTTGGAAAAGTCTAAAAATGTGCCGATGGTGTGTAAGCGACTATCTAAGGCAGAAGCAAGTTTATCTATAAGGTGTAAAATTGCATGTGTTGTTGTATGCTTCTCCCGAAAACCAAACTGATAATTACTGAAGACACATGTTTCGTTTAAAAATGTTATAGTTCTTACATAAATAACTTTTTCCAGAATTTTTGAAAAACACGTTAACAAAGAAATTGGACGATAATTTGTCAGTAATTGAGAGTCACCTTCTTTAAGAATTGGTACAACTTTTGCGATCTTCATGTTTATCGGTACAACTCCGCTTGACATAGACAAATTAAAAATATGAACTAGTGGTTGAAGGATACCGACAATAACTTGCTTAATAAGTTCGTTCCCAATATGATCATACCCAGGACTTTTCTTGTTCTTGAGGGCTTTAACAATACCAAGCAATTCTTCGTCATTTGTGGGCACCAGAAATAAACTTTGCATGTTATGTTCTCCTAAGTAATCAGGAAAATCAGTTTGACTGTTTGGAATATTTTTTTTCAGATTCGGACCAATATTACAAAAATATTCATTAAACTTTTCCACTTTAATATTCTTATCTTCAACCATTTGGTCATCTATATTCATTTGTATTATACTTGTTACTTTAGATGTTTTTTGAAATACCTTTCTTATCACCTTCCACGTGCCCTTGATATTATTGTAAGTTGCTTGAAACTGTGCAAAATAGTATTGTTTTTTGGCTGCACGCATCTGAGAAGTCAGAGTATTTCTGTAAACGGAATATTTCCTTTTTAGAGCTTCCGTCCCTGCTTTCCTATACTTATAAAACAGCTCATTTTTCTTATTTATTGATTTCAGCATAGCATTGGTGACCCACGGCAAACTTGGAGTTTTTCTACGGTTGTTTTTACTCTTTACTACTGGAATATTAGCATCATACAACGAATAAAACCTATTCATGAAAATATCGAAGGCACTCTCATCACACTGATTCAAAAGAACATCACTCCAGTTTGTCGCCAATAATGCGTCTCTAAACTGATTAATATTTTCTGTGGTGTTTCTTCTAACATAAATATTCTTTTGGGTGACTACGGGGTTTTTTCCCAAAGGAATTTTAGTATACACAGGAAAATGGTCAGACAAGTCTGACACAATAATAGTAGATAAAGGAAAAGGTTGCAAGTTACTAAAGATATTGTCAATTAGAGTAGCAGAGGATTCAGTTACTCTTGTTGGTTTTGTTATCAAGGGCAACAAGGAAAACGACAACAAATTCAGGAAATCATCAAAATGAGCATCAACATTATGCTGTAAAAGGTTTATATTATAATCTCCAACCAAAAATAAGGATTTACCATTAAGTGACTGGCTTTCCAAAGCTCTCTGCATTTCGTCAAAAAAAAGTTCAAAATACCATTGGGAGGTCTGTACACGACTCCAATTACGATATTTTTTTCACCAGAAATAAACACTTCAACAAATAAAGCTTCTATATTTTCAGTCATGACATTAAGTTTGTGACATACTCGATAATCGAGCCCAGACGGAACATAAAGGGCAACACCACCACCACGTCTGTCTACTCTACTATTGCTTAACAAGTTATAACCTGGAATAACAAACAAACTTGCAACATTTTCATTGGTGAACCAAGTTTCAGTGACACCAATGGCAGTTAAGCCTGAGCTGATTTTGTTCACAAATGATGTCACATGTTCAAAATTTCTACTCATGCTGCGGATATTAAAATTAAGAAGGGAAAGCTCTTTATATGTGGCATTTTTAACTGACTCAAAGAACTGTTATTCTGTAGAATAATTACATCTTAAAGAAATATTTTCAATGCTGTCACTGATATCACTCAAGCTAGCTTCAAGAAAATTGCAAAAATTTTGGTCATCTATTTGAGCCATGATCGGTCAAGATAGGTGACAGGATAAACACGAGTACTGATAACATGGTTATTAGGTCTTGTTTAAAGTTTAAGTGGTTGTTATGGGAGTCAAAATAGTTGAATTGTAGTAAGAAATGAAATAAAACAACAAAAACAATGAAATTCATAAGTTAAAAAACAATGAAATACATAAGAAATTATCAAAACAAGAAATAACATAAGGAATAAGCTGGCTTTTCCAATTTGTTTTGTTGTATTATTATTCAGAATGGTCTAATGAATATATGTAGTGAAAAAGAATGCTCAAATATGAATAATATATGATTTATAGGTAAAAATATGATTTTTAAGACATTATTTGTATAAGTTACCATAAATATGCAAGTGAGTGAATTTTTCAAAAAATTGAAATCATCATATTATTCTATACACTTCACTTGACATGCGTGCAAATTTTCGCGGCGATTGGCCGCTTCGCGGCCGAGATCTTAAGAGGGGGCATAATGCCCCCCCCCCCGCCGTACTAAGACCTCAAATAGCCCGGCCTTTTTAGGGTTAAACTCAAATGATGGTTGATTGCGGCGTTTGAAGGGGCACTCATCATTTATATCCTTATAGTTCAGAAAACATTCGATATGTTACTGAAGGCCATTGTATTCCTCTCAACGCTGTTCCAATTATCATTAAATTTCATGCAAGTACTGTACTTTATTATAATCATCGAACTATGTTAACAATCTCAATCATTAAACATATGCCCCTCCCCCGCTCTTTCTCTTTCTCTCTAACTCTCTCTCGCTCTCTCTCTCTCTCTCTCTCTATTTCTCTTCCACTCATTCTCATTCTCTCGACCTGTTTCTGTGGCGTTTTAGCGTTTGTTAGTAGTTTCTTATCATTGTTATCATTCTACCCTTTCCTTATGATTTTTTTTTAATGAAAAAAAATGATATTCACATTTTCCTTTAGTCTATGCCATTAGTGTTTCAGTATTTTCAGTCACATTCACAAGCTAAGATTAGGCGTATGTGGAGCAAAATGAAGACCATGCACCCAAATAATTTCGATGATCATCCTATAGTTTACCTTCCCCCACCCCCTTCATTAATCTTTTGATTTTCACTATTTTTTTTTCCTTTCTGTTTTTCTATACTTTTCTATACAGACAATGTTTTGGTCGGGTGTTATCGGCACCAACGTACCACAGGACGTTGCTCAGGTCACCCCTAACTTCAACGTGCTCGATGAGACATTCCCGGGTTACATGACCGGTAACCTAACCTGGTGTGGCGCTACGGACGGTGATGACACGGGACTTGGACTCAACTTCACTGTCTGTCCTGAATGGAAAAGTGAAACATGTCCCAATAATACCAAAGTGATATTCTGGTCTAAGGCATCCAATATGGTGAGTCTTCGCCGCGCTTTATGGGGAACAACCGGCCCCTGCTCCCTTTTAAATCATAAAGTGTCCCTATAATTCCAAGACAGTCTTCTTGAACAGCGCCTCGAAGATGTTGAGTCTGGGCACTCGGGACTTATATCGGGCACAACCGGCCCGAGCCCCCTCATTAAATCATAAAGTGTCCCAATAATTCCAAGACAGCCTTCTGTAACAGCGTCTCGAAGATGTTGAGTCTGTGCACTCGCGACCTATATCGGGCACAACCGACCCTTGCTCTTTTTTAAAAACTCTTTAGTGTATGTCTACAGCTGTGCTTTGTGCACTCCGTCAGCTTTATTCAATTCAATTCAATTCAATTCAATTTTAATTACAGATAAAAATAATCAACAAATTTTTGAGTAACCTTGAGATACAACATCCAGATGCAACAATAATTAGATTATTTCCTTCACAAAGTGTTAGAGCCTAATGTACATGCGTACAATTGGACTTTTACAGATTACATAACTGATTATCAATCAGTTATGATTACATATACGCCTTGATGTAACTCGGTTTCGAACCGGGATCCGTCAGAGCATGGACCTATTACAGATGAACATTCGATTAGATTCTTTCTTTGATCTAATGATAGTCACCGTCTTCTGATTACGTTCATCTAATGCTACGGTCACAAAGGTTCGTACGAACGAATATTTCGTACGAATCTCCCTGTTTTTCCATTGTCTTCCCGAATTTCCATTGTCTGAAAAATGTTCGTACGGCCTTCGTAGCAGTTCGTAATGGCATTTGTGACCGAGGCATTAATCAGAACATTACAGCTGTTTTAACAATAACGACTGCGTAAGGAGCAGTTTCCCTCTCTTGGGTATTGTTTGGATTGTGTGCTCTGTAAGAGTGTGTCTTATGCCTCGGTCGCAAATGCCATTACGAACTGCTGCGAACGCCGTACGAACGATTTTCAGACAATGGACATTCGGGAAAACAATGGAAAACAGGGAGATTCGTACGAATTTATCGTTCGTACGAACTTTTGTGACCGTAGCATTAAATAAAAACATCCCCAGAGCGTGATTTGATTATGAATACAATCATTGTATTTGAATAAATACAATTATTATGCATATATAATGTAAACGCTCTGATGATAATGTTTTTTTCCGGGTACAGCTAGCAACGCAAGCTGTTGGTGACGTCTATGTTGTTTTGAATGCGCAAAAACCTGGCGGGGCTTTCAGCAATTATAGGTAAGGAAATATCATGTAACTCGTTTACCTCAACCCCACAGCGGCGATAAGGGACTTTTAGATTTGCACGTCGACATAGTGGACTGCTACGTGTTACGTCACATGTAGCAGTCCACTATGTCGACGTGTAAATCTAAAAGTCCGTATAGTTTTTTAGAGAACCACTAACATAGAGTCCCATGTCTGTCAGTGGCAGAGCCAGGATTATCTGATGTGGGGAGAGTTACATGTCCGAATGTTCTTTGACTAGCAAACAGAGCGATGGGCGGGGGGGGGGGGGGGGGAGGGGTCATCAGTCCATGATTCTTGTTTTATTATTTCCCGTGCCCCCCTCCCCACCACCCCTTCCGGATCCACCACTATAATGACGATTGCAACACCTTGATGACATTTTTGATAGTTGGCGTGCCAAATAATCTCATCAAAATTTAACCAACAACCATGGGCATTGTAAATTTTAACCACACACACGACAAAAAGACAGCCGTGGCATTTTGCCATTAAAATTGATATTCTTTTTTTCTGCGAACCAATCATTAAAGTAGCCACACGAAGAATCAAAAGTGTTTTGAATTGATGCAAAACTCAAATCATTACGAAGGGGAAGCCTTGCCGATCAAATACAACAACTCTTCTCTTCAAAATATGTTTGGGGCCCGCAGTAATCAACTCTCAAAAATATGAGTTTTGAGATCCAGATTTTTTGCCTTCAGCGGTCCTTTGTAGAGCGTCAATATTTGTGACGTCACATACGGGACACGGCTGGCAAGCTGCATACTGCTACACGGCACTGAGCTGTTCGTCCAGTGTGTGACGTCACAATTCAGAGCTCGCTACGCTTGTGTGTTTGACTTACGTCCAGGGGCGTTCGGGGGTCTATTAAGGAGGGTCTTGAAAAATTGCATTTTACGCCTTTCCATGATATCCATGTAAAGGATGAAATGATAACCAGCGCAGCTGAATATATTTTGTATAAAAGCTGCGCTATATAAATCTATTATTATTATTATTATTATTATGATTTCTCAGCAAATTGTTCGTGTTTTTCAAGAGAAAATCTTTCCATCCATATGTAATTTGTTCTAATTATGAGTTGTTAGTGAACTTTCTTTGTGAAGCTCCTTTAAAGCACAAAGTTTGCGTTTTGGGGCATGAAAAATGTAGTTGCGAGGAAATGACAGTTGTAATTTCCCCATCAATTGTTTTAAGGTTGGGGAAATACGCCCCCCCCCCTCCCCCCGACCTGGCGAATGGAATTTTTGATTTTTTGAAAATCAAAATACATGTACAAGCATGTGTCAGGGCTATCCAAGGCTGAAAGGGGGGAAGTAGTAGTGATCGTCTGTCCATCTTCAAAGCTAAGAGAATGAGATAATCGAATTTAAGTCGAATAAACCTTACCTAATATCAGGGGCGTAAATCCGTACCGAGGAGTGGGGGGGGGGGGGGGAAGATCGGCGATAGCCATCACATACTAGCACGAGCACACGCCCACACTAATTTAAGCAAGCGCGCGCGTTCGCGCACGCACAAACACATAACACACAACACACACACTCTCACACACACAAACACACACATACAAACGCACACACACATGCAGACACACAAACGAACAAACAACAAACACACACATACCCAAACACATGTACATAAATTTATACATGCGCACATACACAGATCCAGGATTTCTTAGGGGGGGGGGGCCCAAATTTGAAATTATGCGAGCCAAATATTGGTACTTAATGGTGACGATTTGTTGTACCGTTCTCGAAAATAATCCTCGTCTGAATTCAGCCCCCCCCCCCCTTCCGCGCGAAGCGCGGAAGCTTTTACGTTTCATTAAATCATTAGAGAAAGAAGACGATTCGTTGCACCGTTCTCGAAAATAATCCTCATCTGAATTCAGTTTTTCCCTTCGTCATCTCCCGCGCGAAGTGCTGAAGCGTTTTGACGTTTCATTAAATCATTAGAGAAAGAAGACGATTCGTTGTACCGTTCTTGACTTTTAATCCTCATCTGAATTCAGTTTTTCCCTTCCCTCCTCCCGCGAGAAGCGCGGAAGCTTTTACGTTTCGTTAAATCATTAGTAAAAGAAGACGATTCGTTGTACCGTTCTCGACTTTTAATCCTCATCTGAATTCAGTTTTTCCCTTCCCCCCTCCCGCGCAAAGCGCGGAAGCTTTTACGTTTCATTAAATCATTAGAGAAAGAAGACGATTCGCTGTACCGTTCTCGACTTTTAATTCTCATCTGAATTCAGTTTTTCCCTTCTCCCCCTCTCGCGCGAAGCGCGGAAGCTTTTACGTTTCATTAAATCATTAGAGAAAGAAGACGATTCGTTGTACCGTTCTCGACTCTTAGTTTCTTTAAAAAGGGGGTGGGTTTTTTTCCTCTCTCTCTTTGGAATCCTGAGAAATGTAAAAAGGAGGTTATAAAATATTTTGAATTTCATAGAAAAATTGATCAAATCCCGGGATCAAATTCCTGAAATTCCTGCTAGCTTTGAAAGCTCATTCAGGATTATTTAATTTTAAAAAGTAAAAACATCGGCCCGCAGTCCCCCTCGATCGACTAGAGCTCACCTGATTTTTTTTTTGATTTTTTGATTTTTTTATTTATTTATTTTATTTATTTATTTTTTTTTTTTGGGGGGGGGGATGTGGTACATTTAACAGTGTTCCGGATTCGGGGGGGGGGGTGGGTCTCCAAGGCAGGAAAAGCCAGCGAAAAGCCGGCGAAAGGGGGATTCAAAGATGTTGGCAGTCCTGAGATAGGGTGGGGGGGGGGTGCTCTCAAAGGTAGGGAACGAGCATACACGTACCCTAAATAACACTTAATGGGGGGGGGGGGGGGGGTGAGCCGGGCATCTACTCTACATGATTGCACTTTACGTCTGGGCTATAATAATACCTTTCAAAATAACGACAAATTATTCTGAAGTTTATGAAGTGCTTGTTCGCGCACGTCGCGCAACTACTTTTAATGATCGTGACATACTGTATACGTGTAGGCCATACAGTTATACATACATTTTAAAAAATAACACATTTCTCATGCATTATGCTGAAACTGAAACAATCACTTTTTTTTTTTCTTCTTCTTCCTTTTTTTTTTTTTTTTTGTAATCTCAGGGGGGATGATAGTACAGGCCATCCCCCTTACTTCAAGCCAGGGGGGAAGCAGCCCCCCCATCCCCCCGGGATTTACGCCCCTGCCTAATATACCTATGCTTATTTGTGTTGTTTTGTCATTTCTTAGTTTCTTCGCCACGGAAGAAGCACCTAATCTCAACCCGGACGTAGTCACAAATGTCACCATCTATCTCATCCCAAACTTCACTCTTCCGATTCCGAATGAAATGTAAGAACAAATTAAGGAAACTAGTATTGTTTTTTCTTTCTTCATTTTTATTTTCTGGGAGATTAATTGCTAAAATTTGCTAAATTGCTAAAAGTAGTTGAGTTCTGTTGCAGAGGGCGCTACACGTCCTGAAAAGGACTGTTTGGTATAGTCTTGAAAAAGAATGTTGGTTATCTTTCTTAGCTTGCTTATAGTTCTGAGGACAACTATAGCGCTTGGAGAAGATGAGTGGCGGGACTGATTCCCGGGGTAAAAAAAAAGTTGGGGCGCCAGGGCCTGGCTTATAAAACTTTGTATCAATAACAAATGCCAAATGTCTGTGACAAATTTGCTCTCCGCCAAACAGATACCACAATTACAGCAACTTATAACAGTTAATGTAACCTGTTAATGATATAAAACAGGGCCTGCAGGAGCATCACGGTGTGACGGACATGAGCGCTTTTACAAGAAGCTGCACCATTTATATTAATATGGGTTTATAGATTAGATTCAGGATTATTCAATTTTTGATTTTGATTTTTATCATCCAAGGTATGCAGAGACGTGCACCAATGGAAGCGTTTTGTACTTGCGGAATTACTTGATGAACAGGAATTTTAATGTGAAATGTGAGGAGAACCCTAAGTAAGTTAAGATCCTGGAAATAGGGACTTTCAGATTTACACGACGAGAGCGTGGACTGCTGCGTGTGACATTGTGTGAAGGCACTGGGCCGTGCCCGGCAGTGTCTTAAAAGGACGTCACACGTGGCGGTCCACGTTCTCGTCGTGTAAATCTAAAAGTCCCTAATGTAAATAGACCGGTTTACTAACATATTCTAATTTATGGATGTTTCTTTCATGGGGGACCTAGTGACGATTTTTTTCATTAATGATTAAACTACAATAGTTGAAATCCAGTCTGCATACATTACCTGTTGTTTTGTCTGGTAAGCGTTAGGCAGGCGCGGATCCAGGATTTCTTAGGGGTGATGCCCATTTTATTTTTTTGGCCCTCGAAAATTTGAAAAATCGCACCCACCTTGAACGCCAGGGGGTGGGGCCCATCTAAAAAAAAAAGGATAAAATTAACGTGTTTTTTCCCAGGGGCGGGGGCCGGGCCTCCCCCTCCACCAGGGATCCGCCACTGGCGTTGGGCAAGCTTACAGGTTGTCAAGAAGAACCTTTGTTTAAAAAACATGCATAATAATGCACATTTTTTAATGCACATTTTTTGTTAGTAAGCCGGTCTGTTAAATATGATCGCAAGGAGTTTCTGAAACTCAACCTCAAGCACTTGCAATAATCCCACCACCGATTGATAAGTGCGAACACCATAGGCCTACTGATGATGATTACGTAATCTGAACAAGATTCCAATGGAATAAACAATATATGGTATTGAAATTAGTTGATTTCTTGAAAGTCCTCGCGATTGTGTTAACAATGTATTGCGACAGAGGCAGTAATATTTGAACAAAATGAAATGATTAGTTGTATGCATGCATTTTTATTTTCACTCTCTCTCTCTCTCTCTCTCCCTCTCTTTCTCTCACTCACATTAAATTATTTTTTCCAATAACTTCCCCTTTTTTTTTTACAGACTTCCAATTACTACCACACTTATTTACACTTGTCTGTAATGTTTCTTGTTTTGTATTTTACCAGGGAAATCATGTGGCTCCAGTGTGCTCGGTTTGCAGATAGTCCATACTGTGGGCCATACGCCAAAGGTACCCCGGTAGTGGCCGCATCAATAGTGGTTATACTGCTTCAAGTCGTTTTCGCTATGTCTCTCAGTGGTTGGAATACAATATCTACTACCCTATAGAGATTGGGATGGTTCTTCGCGAAATCCTAGTTTGCTTGCTTCGAATAAAATCAGAAAATTATGTTTAAAAGTAATTAGCGATTGTTAACGAAATGGAAACAAAGGAACGGGAAATTACGAAATGTTAACAATCGCTGACATTATTTTTTTGATTCTACATGTATTTGTTTTAAATGATAGTTTAGAGAGATTTGTGTAAATTTATAGAGACAGTATATACATTAGAAATCGCTAATCTGCTATTGGTCACAAATATTGATAAGAGGGTGATGTTATCAAATGATTCCTCTTTAGTCGTTAGTGTATGAGAACTAATATTTTTTTTATTTTTAAAGTTCTAAGAATAAACTAAATCAAATGAATAGTGTTGTTAATTCTTGGTTTCATGTTGTAAACATTAGTCCACGCCCTTTAATCAAAACTAAATTCTAAACACTAAAATAAGCCGGGTAAAATGTTACCCATCAGTTATTGGGTAAACTTTACCAAACTTTTTGCAGAGCGTACTGTGTCTTGAACTTTTCAGACATTTAGATATTCTACTCAACAAATGGATAGCTGTTTAGAGGTGGTTACATTCCGAATACATAATTTGGGGTTTCTTTTGTACGCAGAAAACCTAAATTTTGTATTCTTTCATCAATATTCGACGTTAAACACATTTGTTTTGAAAATCCTTGCAGAAATGTGTTGTAAATGACATCTTCTTTCACATTATTATTCAATTTAAGTGAAATTTTCTCATCAAATTTGTGAGGCTCCCAACATAAGGCTTTAAATCGAGATTGATGATTATTATTATCATCAATATCACCTTCGGTTCTGATTACATCTGGCAAATAAACTCAGGTACACATAATGACGATACAAATAACATATAATAAGAAATCTGGTTAAAGAAATGATCACCCTTTACTACTAGAGTATTCGAGAAGTAAGCATGGATTTCGTCTCTAGGTAATCTGAAACATTCCAGGTCATTTTGAATTATTTATCATGCAATGGAACTGTTGTTCGAACCATTGCTTTTTTGTTTATTTTATACGAAAACTTGCTGCAATATGACATTTTCCGTAAACTACAGGTACCAGCACCGCTATGCATACAACGGATTCCATTTTCTAATATCTCGATTATCCAGCGTTCTTTGTACTTCTATGTTTTATTGTTTGTGTTTGATAATCTTTCTTTGCATATATACTTTCATGCTCTCGTACCATCATACATCTCTATGGAGTATTTGTCAAATGCAGGGCCAATTTCGTTAGATTCTACGAGAATTTTATTTTTGTCGATAGCAAAACTAAAAACACAACGTATGTGCTCAGTGATGATTTTAAGGCAGATGGGGGGGGGGGACAACGAAATGATGATTCAACAAAATAAGTGAGCTTGGCATGAGCTGGGCTGTCTCTTCGTCATTTTTGTTGTTTTTGTTTTGTTGTTGTTTACTTCGTATGACTGATCAGCGCTCGGTATAGCAGTGGCATTTCATGTGTCCACTGTCAATTCAATTTTGAATGGAGCACGTATGCCCCTGTATCCTCATAGCTACATTATGTCACTGATACGCCCCCAAATGGTGAGTCTTGCTTCTTTTCTTATGACGTCATGCAAAAATTAACTTTAGACGTTATGGTTAATCCCAAATTAAAAAGGATTTGGGAAGAACATATTGGATGTGTCAGAAACTTTGTCTTTCAACTACTCGAAATAAAGGAAACGATTATGTCCTAGTAAATGTGAGTACTTTAATTTCACCACGATATAAATGTCTGTATAGATATAATGTACATTTTGCTTGTCTCATTTTTCACTGTTACTATTCCCTTTCCTATTCGTCTATGTTATTTTCCACCTTCTCTCTATTTGTCTTATCTTGTTACCATTCCATCGATCTGTCTATTTTAACTGTCCCGTCCACAGGTACTAAGTAATGCTTTTTTAAACCCTGATTGACAGGTTCATTTGTTAATGTTTTAATCATTATGTACGTATTTGGAATGTATATTCATGAATTTCTCATTTTGTGTGTGTGTTTGCATCAATGCAATTACGCAATATTAAAAATCCCTTCTGAGACCACCTTAATGTTATATCTTTTTGGAATTATACGCTTTTGGAAGCGGCCTATGGAAATTCATATTATCTTTTGGCTCTTGATGATGTGAGCCATGAGTAATGGCGGGTGAGCAGAATCGATAGTTTCATATAAAGTGACTTTGACACATGTTTGCAGGAGCTTAATACAGAAAATAAACTTATTTACATTATGGGTGACTTTAATATTGATTTTTTTAAATCTACTAATAAATATAGTGTTGATTTTTTACAATTGTTATACTCGTCACAACTTTTGCCATTGATTGACAAGCCCACTCGTCTTTCTGCTCGTAGTGAAAAATTGATAGATTTACCAATGATTTAAATTCCTTCATTACTTCTGGGATTTTTAACAACAATGGCACGGATCACTTACCAATTTTTAAAATTACAAATCTTGCTATATCTAATATGCCTGTGCAGAATGTAAAAAAAAGCGGCTGATTAATGATAAAACCATGAATAACTTGAAATTTGATTTGATGACCGAAGACTGGATAAGTGCATTTTTTTCTAACGATGCAGAAATTGCTTACAAGAAATTTAAAACCAAATTTACCTTATATTATGAAAAAAAACTTAACACTAAAAACAAAAAAAAACTTAAAAGAAATGTAAAAAACCTTGGTTGAATGTTGAATTATTAAAATTAATTGAAGGCAAAAATAAACCGTATAGAAGATATTGTAAAGTGAGATCAAACACAAATAAAACTAAATTTCACGAAGCTCGTAATAGAGTGAATAAGCTGAGAAAGAAAGCACGGCGTAACTATTTGCTCATAAATTCCAAAAAACAAAAGGTGATATAAAGCAAACATGGTCAGTGATAAAAGAAATTGTTGATAAATCAAGTAAATCTTTACCTTCATTTTTTAGTATTAATGGTCAAGACATTCATGATCCTCTTATTATTGCAAACTGTTTTAATGATTTTTTAAAAATTATTATCGGTCCTAACATGTGCAATAACATCCCCAGAGGTAATGAATATGATTTTAGTAAATTCTTGCCTCAATCTAATGGTGCTTCATTATTTTTAACTCCTGTAAATGAATCAGAACTTTAAAAAATTGTGAAATCGCTGAAGAGTACTAGTAGTTGTGGTTTTGATAATCTTAATCCATGTGTTTTAAAGAAGGTATTAATATATATTTCAAAACCTCTTGTTCATATTTTTAATTTATCTTTATGTACTGGTATTGTGCCATCTGATATGAAAGTTGCTAAAGTAACCCCAGTACATAAAAAGGATGATACACATGTTATTGGAAATTGTAGACCAATATCAGTACTACCATTTTTCTCAAAATTTTTATAAAAAATTGTTTACAATCGTTTAGAACATTTTTTAACAAAACATGTGATATTAAATTCTTGCCAGTATGGTTTTACCAGGAATGTATCCACTGAAATGGCTCTTTTTGGTTTACATAATTATCTGATATCTTCTTTGAATAACAAATTACACTCCGTGGGGTGTTTTTAGATTTGAGTAAAGCATTTGATTCGATCAACCATGAAATTATGTTAGAACAATTGAAGGTATATGGTATTAGAGGCACAGTATCCTTATGGTTTGAAAACTATTAAAAAATCGAACTTAAATAACTTTTTACAGCGACGTTTTATCAGATCCAATGAGAGTAAAGTGTGGCGTACCACAGGGTTAAATCCTGGCCCCTTTACTTTATACTGTATATAAATGATTTGATTAATTGCTCTGATAAATTGAAATTCATTTTTTTTTTGCTGATCACACTAATATCCTTTATAGCCATGACAATTTCTATGATTTATGTAAATTTCTTAATGAGGAATTATGCCATGTTTCACAGTGGTTTTATTGTTATCGATCAACATTTATCATGGGTCGAACATAAATCTACTATATCTAAAAACATATCAAGGAATATTGGTGTCATCAGCAAACTGCGCCACTTCTTGCCAGAACATATTTTAATCTTACTGTATAATTCAATGATTTTACCTTATTTAATGTATTGCAATGTTGTATGGGCCAATACATTTCCAAGTAGGCTCCTTGGATTATTGAAATTGCAAAAAAAGATTGTAAGAATATGTTCAATGTCTCACTATACTGCTCCTTCACAACTACTATTTAAAAAACTTAATCTTCTCACAATCTATCAATTGAATGACTTCTGTATCTCATTAATGGTCTTTAAACATAAACATAACAAATTACCATATAATCCTGCCTCTATTATTAAATGTAAAACAGAAATGCATAATTATAATACTAGAAATCCAGAAAATTACTATGTCGAAAAATGTAAAAATACAGCATCATCTTTTTCTTTCAAATCAAAAGGACCGTCAACATGGAACTCTCTTCCTCATTATATTTTTTTAAAAATCGTTTCTTAATTCTTTTAAATCAAAACTTAACTTTTTTTGTATTCACATACTCTACAAAATAATTAATCCATCCCAACTTTTATAACTTTTTAACTTCTATAACTTTTAAACTTTTTTTGTTGCTATAATGGCACTATGCTTTTCTAATTTTTTATCAGTTAAATTTTTAATAGACCGGGGATTGCCTCGACAGAACCTTTATTTGGTTCTTTTGCAATTTCCATTTCATGTTCATTATCTATTTCTTTGATTTCTTACTCTTGTCTTTACTTTTCTTTTTAATTGTGTGTTTAAAGTTCAATGTATACTGTGTTTCCTACATGTTAATATGTTGTCAATGTACAATGTTTTTCAATGTACTTTTTTTAAATGGACTTGAATAAAATAAAAATTGAATTGAATTGAATTGAATTGAATTCCCCCTGAGCTTCTGGGGGCTCCACCCCTTGATCCCACCGAGAAACGTTCACTATTCATAACAAAAACAAATATAAAACATACCGAAATAAATTAACTAACATCATTCGAAATTCTCGTAAAAATGTACTATTCCGACAAACTCAATAGAGTGAAATCAAACATGAAATCTACTTGGGGGATTATAAATGATTTGATTGGAGAAAAAAAAACTAAAAAATTGCCCAATGATAATTTTACAATAGATGATACAGTTATAAAGTCTGAAGATGTAGCCGATATCTTTAATTCCTATTTTGTAAACATAGGACCTAATTTAGCAAATAAACTTCAAACACCAAACAAAAATGTTGCTACATTTCTTCCTGAACCTTCAAATTCTACACTGTTTTTTAATCCCACTGATCCTAATGAAATACTGAAATAACAAAAAATCTAAAGTTAAGTAAATCACAGGGTCACGATAGAATTAGTGCTTTCCTTCTTAAACACGTTATACACTTTATCGCTTGTCCTTTAACTCATATTTTTAATCTATCAATAAATACCGGGAAATGTCCCGAGTCCTTGAAAATTGCTGAGGTGAATCTTGTTTAAAAAAAGACAATCCTCACGAAATTAGCAATTACAGGCCTATTTCTATTCTTCCCAAGTTCCCAGCATATCCAAAATCTTAGAAAAAATTATTTACAATAGGCTTTATAAGTTTTTAGATACTTTTCATTTCCTAAATATGAATCAATATGGTTTTTAGAAAAGAATATTCAACTGACCAAGCTTTAGTACAATTATATGATAAAATAACAAATGCTATGGCCAATATAGAACATGTAATAGGAGTTTTTATGGATTTATCAAAAGCCTTTGATACACTGGACCACCAAATTTTACTGAAAAAACTTTACTGTTATGGAATTCGTGAGTTGCATTGTCATGGTTTGAGAGCTATTTATCTAACAGAAAACAATATGTAATGTATAATGATGTTTTGTCTAGTTTCCTACCTACCAAATGTGGAGTTCCGCAAGGATCAATTTTAGGCCCTTTGCTTTTTCTATTATATATTAATGATTTAACCAATACAACACCTTTATTATCATTTGTCCTATTTGCTGATGACACGAACATCTGCTGTTCACATCCTAATTTAAACACTTTAGTAAATACACTTAATAATGAGTTACCAAAATTATCGCTATAGTTTCAATGCAATAAGTTATCCCTTAAATAAATAAAACAAATTTTATGCATTTCAACCACGCAAATTCGCATGTCATTGACTTTCCTTACAACATAATTATAGATAATGTCCCTCTCGAAAGAAAGAGAAAAACTAAATTTTTGGGTGTCATTTTCGATGAAAATCTAAACTGGAATGATCACTACTTCTATTTCTAGGAATGTTGGTTTATTATATAAAATTAAGAAATTAATCCCATGTTATACACTTGTTATGCTATATAATTCATTGATATTACCGTATATAACATATTGAAATTTAGTATGGGCCACCAGCGCCAAAACCCAAATCAACTCTATTTATTTATTGCAAAAGAAAGCCCTTCGTATATGCACTGGTTCACCGTATTTGTCTCACACAAGTCCAATATTTTACAAACTGAAAACCCTAACATTATTCGACATAAATTCGCTACAAAGTTTACTGATCATGTTTAAGTATTTAAATAATATGCTCCCTCTTTCATTCAAAACTTTTTCACTATGAATAAAGCTATTCACTCTTACCCTACCAGCAATGCCTCAAATTTTTATCTAGTAAACCCGAAATTACTTATTGCCCATAGATCCATAAGACACCATGGTCCCGACCTATGGAACTCTCTCCCAGAATCTATTAAATCATGTTGCTCCCTGTAATCATGTAAGGCCAAAGTTAAAACGATGTTATTATCAGAATACTCAAGGTAGAATTTCTGTGTCAACTCTTCATTCATTATCATGTCATCTCTTCTTTCATTCATTCGAATCATTATCACCATCGTCATCATCATCATCATCATCATCATCATCATCTTCATCATCATCCTCATCCTGCATCACCATCATCGAAATTTGTATTTTCAATTACCTATCCGTTTCTGCTTAATAAATGTGTTAATATATTTCATGAGTTTTGTCTGGCGCTGTCGTATTATCAAGCAATCTGCTTACAATGACAGTCCTTTTTCCGCAAATAATTTTATAATGTTTTATCATGTTTGAGGAAATTTAGTATTTATGACAGTTTATCATTTCGTTTTTGAATATAACAATTTATATATATGTATTTGCTTATTTATGATTCATTGTCAGAAAAATACTTATTGTACTTTATATTATTATTGTTATCGAAAAACTGTTTACATGAATTCAGAAGGAATCAAATCAAATCAAATCAAAATCAAACCTTTGGGGGTACTGCACCCTCTACCCCACCCCACAAGCTTCTGACGGAATGAGTAGTTATTTTGCAAATAATATCAAAGGTGTCTGGGGCCCCCCTCCCCTGTAGAAGTACTTGACTGGAATGGATCAAGTGACATTTTTTGTTCGGCATCGAATAGCTAGACTCATTTTCAAATTCCTTCATGGTTTCTACCTCATGCACAGCCGTGGTTTTATTAGAATTGAGTACATTGAGAATAATGTACATGCCTAATAATGTAATATCAAATTAAGACCAAAACATGAATATTCTAAAGGGAACTATAAGGAAAGGAACATTTTCAAAGGAAAAAGGAAAGGAACAACTTGGAGGAATGTTTTGAAAAGGAAAGGAACAACTTGGAGGAATGTTTTGAAAAGGAAAGAGGGAAATAAACGTTATGAAGGGAAAGAATTTTTTTTGTTTAATTTTTTGTTTAATTTTTTGAAATAAAATTGGGAATTGAAACACCTTCTCATGTTTGGCTGACCTAAATGAAAGTAAATAACTTGAGACAAAAATAAGTGAAAGTATAAGATAAATCCAATAGAAAAAAAAGTTACGAACTTTTGAAAGGTAATATGTTTTTGGTATGTGATGCCATTTGCATGTAGAGTATAGCGAATAATTTAATTCCTTGTGTATTTTAAAAACTCATATACATGTATTTACAACATAAGTTTTATTATATAACATTCTCCCGCTACCTCAGGCCTCCCATTCCCACTTCTACCCCTCCACTCCCCCTCCCCCTCCCCCACTCCTCTCTCTCTCTCTCTCTCTCTCTCTCCCGCCCACTTACTAACTCTTTATCTTTCTCTGTTTATCTCTCTCTCTTTCTTTCTCTCTCTAGTGCTCTTTCTCTCTCTCTCTCTCTTTCCCTCTCTTTCGGTCACGCGCTGTTAAAGGTTATACACAGTTTTGGTACGGGGTTATGAATTGGTTCAAATGAACATATTGGAAGCATATGCAATTTTACGATATTCAAGGATTGTTGTCGCGGTTGAAATCGAGTATAAAGTGATACAATTGTAAATACCAAACTCTTTATGTTGTATAGCACTCTCTCAAGACACATATTACTTCAGCCTTAAAACAATGTTTCTTGATTACAATCGACCGATTTGCTATTCCCGTTTGGAAATTATATATCAGAACTGCATATCCTGAGATTTTCATTGTCGTAACTACCATGGAATGGCCTTACGCGCTGTTTGAAATAATTTAATTTTTTATTATTTTATTTCTCGAAAGCAGAAGTGTTTAGGGGCTAAACTTTGTAGTACTTATATTTCATCCACAGGGGCATCCAAATATATTAAAATTATAGAGAATTACTATCTATCCAATTTTCATAATTTCCCAAAACTTTGCATTACCTTTAATACATAAGTGTAATTTACGATAATACGACAGTTATTGTAAAGCTATTTCATATTCATGTTGCAATATGATAAATCTCATTAACCTTGAAACTGTAGAAAGTTCGATATGGAAAGTCTCCTTATGGCAATTTGCATGGTTTCGATGTGTGTTGCCATTGTGGAGTATGACCAATTACTCAATTCCTTGTGTACTTCAAATACTCAAAATATTTTCCTAACATAAATGTTATTATCTAACCTTCCCCCGCCGTCTCAGTCGTCCCACCCCCTTCCCTTCCCCTCCTCTCTCTCCCTCTATCTCTCCCTCTGTCTGTCTCTCCCTTTCCCTCTCGATTCTTTCTATCTCTCTCTCTCTCCCTCTCTCTCTCCCTCTCTTTCTCTCTCTCTTTCTCTCTCTCTCTCTCTCTCTCTCTCACTCTCTCTTCTATCTATCTCTCTCTTTCTTTCTCTGCCGCTCACCCATTAGCTCTCTCTTCCTCTCTCTCTCTCTCTCTCTCGCGCGCTCTCTCTCTCTCTCTCTAATAAGGAAACACTAAGCTAGACTGAACTAACAAACCAACATTACCCATGCATATTGCTCCGATTGTCTCATTTTCACTCGCGTGAACATTGCCAGCACAAACCACTGACCTCTACCTCCTACACGGATCATCGCACATTCCCATTCACTATACGTTACGTACTAAAAGGCTGTATTGTCTGACCGTTCATGAATATTCATGTTTTTGCTAAACTCGGCAAAATGTTTGCTTTTACTAAATGGAAAAATTACGGTGGGGGGTTGGATGAAATGGACAAAACGAACTAGGCAGAAGTGATCTATGATAATTCATGTTTTTTATGTTTCGTGTGCTCGACCTATAATCTTCAAATCGCTTGGTAAACTGAGTCCAAAGTTAGACTTGTTTCACATGTGTATTATAGGCAATGACGAGCTTGCAACCTATTTTGAAAAATTACGGTGGGTGAACTTTCAAAAGTCAATGAGACATGAGGGCTCCAATGAAAGAGCTAGTGATAACGTACGTCGGGGTGGATGTGCTTTTCGTTTAAACAAAAAATGAATTTTTAACGATTTAAAAAAAAAAACGTCCATAGGCTAACATGTTAGGCTGCTGAATCTGACCATGCTCTGACGATAGGGGGCGTTGTGAAATGAGACTAAATTACCCAGGCATATCTAATGAAGAGCTCCCGCAGAACGAAGATTATATAGTTCACTCTATATACATTCACCACGGACATACTAGTATATAGCCGCGGATTTCAACTTTGAATTCATTATTGGTTGGATGCAAGTCCCAACTGGACTTCTAAACACTGGATACCTGTTCACAGACCAGGGGTTTTGAGGCAGGAGTGACAGTATTTTGTTAAATTCACAGTGCTTGATCTTCACTCAGTTGTAAGTACAAGTACATAACCGTATCAACGTAGGTTTCCATTATTTGTGAACTACTTATACAGGCAATAATAGGCTGATTATCTTTGCCCGCGTGACTTCCTTTATAAAATGACAAATAAGCGACGATATTACACACTGCTTTGAACAACTAGGCACTCTGGTGTACCTCTGAACAGGAATGGCATTAGTCCGCTAGTATAAACCCTGCCACAGTTAACAGAATACATTGTATTGAGCACTAAACTCTAGAGTTTAGTGGTATTGAGTCAGGCGAAGTTTACTTTGAGATTGACCCATCCCAATAAACAGAATACTAAAAATTAACCCTTTTGGGGAGTGTATTTTAAGTGATTTTAAAGTATGGTGCCTTTTGAACAAGATTTAAACGTGATCGACACGTGCCTTTCATTTTTGTTAAAAAGGTACTCCTGTTCACGTTTTCATCGCACCTAAAAACCACCAATTTATCACGCGACTGGAGTAACGTGATTCCACTTACCTCTGTAAATCAAGTGTTTATGACCAAATAACCACTTGACCAAGCAACGAGTTTTTTGTCCGTTAACCGATGGTGGTGATAAATAAGTAATTATCTGGTCTTTTAAGCACCTTTATCGATTGGTTTCACAGGTTATCCAAAATAATCACGTTACTTTCACCGGCTAATCGTCTTATTGTTCTGTCCGTGAACCTCTGGTTATATTAAATTAGTAATTTTGAGGTGTCTTACACACCTCTTTAGATGGTTTCGAAGTTACCATAACTTTCTTGGTTATGATCACGTGGCTCAAGCTGATTACTAATCTAAGCTGTGAATCCGTGATATTTAGGTGTGAAAAATTAGTAATTATTAGGTGTCTTAAAAAACACCTTTTTAAATGGTAGTCAAGGTTGCCATAATTTCCGCGGTATTGATCTCGTGACTCAAACGGATTAGTAATCTAAGCTGGGCATCCGTGATTCCCAGGTGTGAAAAATTAGTAATTCTTATGTGTCTTAAAACACCTTTTTAAATGGTTTCAAGGTTGCTTTAAGTTCCGCGGTGATGATCACGTGACTCAAACGGATTATTAATATAAGCTGGGCATCCGTAATTTCCAGGTGTAAAAAATTAGTAATTCTTAGGTGTCTGAAAACACCTTTTTAAATGGTTTTAAAGTCACCATAACTTTCTTTGGTGATGATCACGTGGCTTAAACTGATTACTAATCTAAGCTGTGAATCCGTGATATTTAGGTTTGAAAAATTAGTAATTATTAGGTGTCTTAAAACACCTTTTTTAATGGTAGTCAAGGTTGCCATAAGTTCGATAGAGTATCAGATGCCTTGGCTGATCATAAACATGTCATAGGCATATTCATGGATCTCGGCAAGGCATTTGATACTCTTGATCACACTATATTATTGTATAAATTAAAGCATTACGGTGTAGGAGGTAAAGCACTTGATTGGTTCGAAAATTACTTGTCATCAAGAAAACAATATACTTTATTCAATTCAGTTTCTTCTAACGTATCATCTATTAAATGTGGAGTTCCGAAAGGCTCCATACTTGGGCCACTATTATTTTTGATATATGTCAACGATATTTCTAATGTTTCACCAATTCTACAGTATATATTATTTGCCGATGATACAAATGTATTTTATTCACATTCCGATTTAAATTCGATGATCGCAACCATGAACACTGAATTACCTAAGTTATCGAAATGGTTCAAAAGCAACATATTATCATTGAACCTAAAGAAGACCAATTTTATTCACTTTAGAAACTCAAGAAATCACAATATTTATAACTTTGAGCTGCTTGTGGATAATCTTCCAATAGAAAAAAAGTCATCAACGAAATTCTTAGGTGTATATATAAATGAAAAATGTAACTGGAATGATCATGTGAATTATATCTCTACCCCTATTTCTCGCAATATTGGTATATTATTTAAGCTAAAATACTTTTTGCCAACACATGTGCTTAGTATGCTATATAATACACTGGTTTTACCATATATTTCTTACTGCAATATCATATGGGCTACTCATAAGTGCAATACTAATCGTATATTACTGTTACAGAAAAAAGCAATTCGAGTTTGTACCGATGCAGGTTATCGCGACCACACTGACCCTTTATTTGCCACATTAAAAACTCTAAAAATAAGTGATATACACTTCATGCAAAAATCTGTGTTCATGTTTCGGCTCAAATCCGGCAATCTTCCCCCATCACTAGTCATTTTATTCCAACATAATTTTAATTTTCATTTCTACCAAACCAGGCATTCAAATGACTATCACCTATTTAACGCCAAAACAGCCTTAGCTCAAAACTCAATTAGACATTCTGGCCCTGATACCTGGAATGCACTACCCCCTGAAATAAAAACGATGAATACAATGCTATCCTTTAAAAGAGCGGTGAAAAAGTTTCTTATTGCTCATTATCTTTAAATCCATCAACAAAATAAATTCTCCTCGTTTACCCATCGTTACAAAACTCGACAATTTTCTGTACTGTTTACTTTTTTTGCTTCCATTTATTGAAACGTTGATTATAACCTTCCATGACCTGGTATGAATACACGTATGAATAAAGAGTGGCCTACTTGGGATACTGAATAAACGGCTCGGTGTAAAAATGTCAGAGGTAAAAATGTCAGAGGTAAAATGTCAGAGGTAAAAATGTCTGAGGTAAAAATGTCAGAGGAAAAAATGTCAGAGGTAAAAATGTCAGAGGTAAAAATGTCAGAGGTGAAAATGTCAGAGGTAAAAATGTCAGAGGAAAAAACGTCAGAGGTAAAAATGTCAGAGGAAAAATGTCAGAGGTAAAAATGTCAGAGGAAAAAATGTCAGAGGTAAAAATGTCAGAGGTAAAAATGTCAGAGGTAAAAATGTCAGAGGTATAAATGTTAGAGGTATACAATAAAAACAAAAGCATGTGACAAGCTTGTTATAATTACACCCGTGTGAAAAAGAACAGCGAGGGATATTCTGCAGTCGTTATTTCACCGCTGCTTTATTTTCCACTTTCCCAGTTTAAATTTATTTACCTTTCGGCCCAAAATTGTGATTTTTTGCCCGATTATTGCCGAAGGAAGACGGGGGGGGGGGGGGGGAGGGAGGAGGGTATTCTTCTTCTGGGGCACGGTGACCCGGCTGCTCTCCCCTTCCTCTTATATATATATGCTTTGCTTTATATATCCTTCCGAACAGTGGTTAATGCCCAGGCAGAGCAGGCAGACTAATGGGACATGGTTTCTACTCCGAGTTTCGCGCCTTGCAAGCAGTCATCAGGCAACTGATAGCATTCTTAAAAGTACATGATTATCCTACAACCTTGGTACAAATACCCCTAAAATAAGACTTAACTAATAAAAATACAATTGGAATTACTCATGAGTATTCTTATTGCATTGTATTCAGATATTGTAGTCTTATTTTTCATTTCATTTCATTTATTTTCATATTTCTCATACACATACATTTATTTCAAATGAAGTACAAGATTGTTTTTATTTTAATAACAAATAATAATAACAAAGATAAGTGGTCAATATGAATTTGTGATTTAACTAAGAGAAATATGATGGGACCTACATGAAAGCAAGCTTGTAAGGCTGTAGGCCCCAGTAAAGTAATTGTGGTAATAAATGGAGGACGGATATACATGTATTGTATAGCTCTTATTTTGAGCGTATTTGTACCAAGGTTGTAGAGGAATCATGTACTTTGACGAATGCTATCAATTGTCTGATGATCGCTTGCAAGGCATGAAACTCGGAGTAGCAACCATGCATGTCCCATTAGTCTGCCTTATTCAATATTTATTTACCGGTATATTATGCTTTTGTATAAGCAAATGGTACTGGTACACTGAGCAAACTTCTGGGGGGAAAGATTTCTAAAATCGAGAAGTTTGGCCATGTTTTATAGGCTGAGTTGTCGCTCCATGGTGTAATCATTAAATAAAAAGAAAAGTCAGTACAGCCCACAAAATAGGATCAGATATCTATGAACCTCCCCCCCCCCCCCCACACTTCTCCTTCACTTTTGAAGATTGTTGGACATTTCAACTGCGTGGCAATGACTACTATTATATGTAATTTCCAATAAATGCATATTTCCGACAATTCCACTTTCTTGTGGGCTTGGTATTTTGATACTCTGAAAGTAGGGTCCATGCTGAAACCAGGGCATGTGAGTTTTAAAGTCTCACCTCCCTGCTGAAACAAAGCAGAAAGCCATGTTATCAGTGCTAACCGCACCATCACATTCCCGAAGTGCGCACGTTGCAATAAAATATTGTCGATTACTATTGCGGTATAAAATAGTCTGGGAAAAATCAATAAGCAGCTTTGTTACTCCGATACAAAGCAGAAAGCCGCCCACGTTACATCAATTAAAGAGAAGGTTGAGTCATAGACGTAATGGTTGAGTTCTGGGGAAAGGTGAACAATAATATGTGAGCGTTTGTTATCATTCTTATTATGCAAGTGTGGAAGAACATCAAAGAAAAAAGTTATTCCTTGAAAATCTATTTCAAATGACTTCATATCCCAGATATGACAAGTAACAGCTTTAAAATGAGGCCCGATATCTTTCTGTGTACAGTGCTTGTTACTTTACCAAGACTGGGCCAAAGATTTTATCATTTTGATGACTCCAAAACCTTGCACTACACACCAATACTTACATGTTTATGCTAGATGATCAACCTTTTCTGATTGCTTCCACACCGTTTCTTTCACAATGCAATCGCAAGACCAGAACTCAACTTTATCTTTAAATGCCAACCGCACCATCACATTTTAGAGAAGTGCGCGCTTTGCAGAGGTTCGGTTTAAATGACATGAGCTTCTGAATCGAGACAGTCTTTTACTTTTTGGAGCGGGTTTTTAGTTTTCAGAGCGACTTTTTACTTTTCGGAGCGACTTCTTGATTTTCTTATTCTTACTCCACTTCCTTTGCCGCCAGGAGGTGCTAAAGCTTTAGAAGAGTTCGGGGCGCCCAGCCCTTATATGTAACTTTTCGTGATTCCTCGGGATTATGTAACTATTTTGTACTAAATGCACTACTAACTTTAACACTTGACTTTTGTCGAGAATTTTCATTTCTTCGTTTGGACTTTGGACTTTGTTCGTCTCTGGAACGTTACACGGGCTATGTTGCAGGCTGCCCGACCGGCCAAACCGGTCCGTTTCACAAACATTAACACATCAACCAAATCAAAATATCAAAAATGTTAGACATTCATTATATGCAAGCCTGATCACAACAAAATAAATTTCAAAATCTATTTTCCACATTGTATTATCCTCAGGACATGTACGAAATACTTTGCTAATTTTTTTGCTTGTACCTCTGACATTTTTACGACTGACATTTTTTCCTCTGACATTTTTACCTCTGACATTTTTACCTCTGACATTTTTACCTCTGACATTTTTTTCCTCTGACAATTTTACCTCTGACATTTTTACCTCTGACATTTCTACCTCTGACATTTTTTCCTCTGACATTTTTTCCTCTGACATTTTTACCTCTGACATTTTTACCTCTGACATTTTTACCTGGCACCGAATAAACACTGTCTTCTATACAAACATTTCAAGGCTCTGACTCGCAGGCCCAGGTTTAAAACCAGCTGGCTGATCTTACTTTCACATTCTTACTGTCCGAACCTTGAGAGTCTTCTCATTCTATTGTATCCCAAGTTGGCCACTCAGTATTCAAATTTGCATTTCTTTTCTTATTTAAAATCGTTATATATCAATTTGAAATCCAACTACCACATAAGTCTGTGAATATTGATGTGCATCCCCTCTTTCTTTTCTCTTCTTTTTTTCTGTCTTTTCCCCCTTTTTACCAATATTTTGTTCCTCCATATTTGTATTATTATGTATCCTTTGAGGGTAGTCATACTATCAAGCTTTGCTTATTTTGTCAACCCTCCTGTTTGATGTTCTCGATTAGTTACACCCAGCCTTAACTTATTCTACATATATTCTTTTGTCATGTGTAAATTTGCAATATTTGTTTGTTATATATTTGTAAAAATGCAAAAGAAAAAGAAAATCAAACAGAAATAAATAAATCAAATCAAATCAAATCAAATCAAAGTTCCGTGTTAATGATCTCGTGACTCAAACTGATTATTAATCTTAGGTGTGAATTTGTGATTTTTTAGGTGTGAACAATGAGTTATTCTTGGGTGTCTTGATGGCTTCACAGTTACCATTTAAGTTCCGTGGTGATAATCCCGTGACTGTTGGCATATTTCTATTTGCACCAGTTGATAACTGAATGTTAGCATATTTTCATTGCACCAGTTGACACCAATTCTAGTTGGAAGTTTTACCAAATGGTTCTAATGACTCATTTAGCCCATTTCAATTTCCAGGGTTAACTGGTTCATCAACTGGACCAGTTGCAAGTAGCTTTTTCTTCTAGGATGTTTGCACTTTCGACCCCCCCCCCTCACTCCCTCTAATCCCAAACTGCTTTCGGCGCGTCTGGACGTAATTTATATGGAAGATCAAAAACACGATGTTCAGAAACGGGATGAGAACGTCATTATTTTGGTTCCTTTATTGTGTAATATTTGCGTAATTATTGGGTTTAACGCGGGTAACAGTAACATATTTCCTCTTCGACGTAAATTTCACGTGAATGAAGAACATGATTCATCTCAAGTCAGCCTCTTAATATTCACGTGAATTTCACGCATATATTTTAACTAAAATTATCCGCACTAACGCTTCACGTGTTTCTGTGACGCGATTCTAAAACTTCTAAAGAATGTGATAATTTCGTTTATGAAGATGTAATTTCATAACTAAACAAAACGGGAGTTTAGGTTTACAAACCACGGTTTCCTATCACGTTATTATTATGGTCATATTGCAGTGACAATAATTGCGTGATTTAGTGTACGTGTGCTTTAAGTGACCTAGTGCAATAAAGTAATAAACGTATTAACACATTTACGTAAATGTCAGGTGTTTGAAGAACGTAAATCTCCTCAAGTCGATACCTTGATATTGACGTGATTTTCACGTGATTTTGTTTATTGGGATGCAATCTAGTCTCGAATAGCTCAGACCTCTTTTCTATGACTGCATACATGGGAAGAGTATTGTCCGTAGCTGGAGATCGCGGTTCATTATATTTCATGCTGTTTTAGCTTGAACAACTTTTATCTGATTACGACTAACTAGGTCTTACAAAAACAATAACAACAACAAAGAATATTGTGAGGCATTCATGATAGGAAGTCTTACGTACATAATACGCATGATGTGTAATTTGCTATTTAAACATTCTAATATTCTATTCCACTTCTTAAGTTTTAAGTTGAGTATAATGTTTTTTTCTGTCGTTCATATATACTCTCCTGCGCATAATATCTTAACCGCCGATAGAAAGATATAATGTCTGGTGTGACAGACATAACTTTGCACTGCAATATAAATTGTATACCCAACAATGTGATAATATTACCGTTTTTAGTATCCACTGTATTATCAGGGATTATATCAACTGTAACTTCCTGTAGTGTTGTATTTTGTGGAAAGTTGAGTGTTACCTTCCAAATCCATGGTATAGCATTATATAATGTTTATAAATGTTATAAATGTATGAGTAACTTCACTATAATCGTTCATGTTTAGGAACGGATCAAAACTTCGAAATGGGCATCTACACGATATTCCTCTACTTGTCACCAATACTAGCGGTGAACGTTGCCTATAACAACCCAGGCCAAGGGACCACGCACAACATTACTGACATCTTGATCGGTAGATGCGAGGAATACCGGAAGTGCCTCCTGGGGGAGCCATGTCTCCCGTCCTAGTAAGTTTAAATTTTCTTCCTAGCCTTTTCTCATCTTTAATTTGTTTTGGTATAGTAATGTTCATCTCATTTGGAAATTCTTCGTGAAACCATCGGACTAATAAGGTGAAACCTTTCTCTTCGCATCATTTTAGATGTACATGTAGACTACTCTAGCTCACCTGTTTTCTCTCACCTTTTCCTTTCCACCTTTACTCTGTCTCATCACTCCCATCCATCCCTCCCTCCCCTCCCTCCCCTCCCTCCCCTCTCTCTCTCTCTCTCTCTCTCCCTCTCTCCCCTCTCTCTCCCCCTTTCTACCCCCTCTCTCTCCCCCTCTTCCTCACCCCCTCTCCACCCCCTCACCCTCTCCCCTCTCTCTCAACCCCTTTATCCCCCACTCTCTCTCATAGTCGCAATGTCAACTGTCTTGCAGCAGTGGAGTCGTTTTTAGGAGGCATTCGCAATGTGGATCCATGTTCTACCCCATACAACGCATATGATGAATTCTTCAAAATGGTCCCGCCCACAACAGTTCGTAACACGGTAAGTTTCGTGCCTAATTAAGAAATACTTACCGAAAATGAACAGGGGCAGATCCAGGATTTTGTAAAACAGAAGGCACAATATTCTTAATTCTATTTGATAAACAAATGAAAAAGGTTATCATCAAAGGGGCATATTCTTAGAGTACTACTAAGTTACTATTACTGCTACTGGGGTATATATGCCACTTGGGTTTCGACAGAGGGGGGGGGGGGGAGCTGATCGGATGTGCCTTCCCTTTCTCTTGTCCATTTCATTTTATTGTCCTTATTTTCCGTTATTTAGCCCCCACCCCCTTTAAGTGCTGAATTTGGCACGTGCCACTTCCGCGTCCACCCCAAGATAGCACTTTATAAAAAAAATAATATGATAAACAAAATTATTAAAAACTAACTTATCGTATGCGTTCGTAGCACTCACCTAACAATTGGCTTTTAAAACTTTATAATTCACTTGATTAGATCAGAATAAATGTGTGCAAGGATTTAGACATGCATAGAACAGGAAACATAAACAAGGCTGTCATTGGAACAAAGGAAGGAAGAGTGAATACAAATCTCGAATCTGTGGCTAGGAGAATTAAATGATCTACATGTACATGTACATACCACATGTCCCATATTCAAACACAGAGTCAACAAGGAACTGTGTAATTTAGTTGTCCCACTTTTATAATTCGATCTATCCATGTATTAGGCCTACTTGCTTGGAAAGAAGTGATATATATCTCTGTTATTAAATATGTGTGATCAGGCGCGTACGCAGGGGGGGGGGGGGTGTTTGAGGGGTTAACCCCCCCCTTTGGTATTTTTATGTGTATAAACCCCCCCCCCCCCCCCCCCCCCCTAAAAAAAAAAACCCCCCCTTTTTTTTTTTTTTTTTTTTTTTTTTTTTTTTTTTTTTAATAATAAAAAAATAATAAAAAAATAAAAATTATTCCCGTGGCTGACCTAAAAAAGTGTCCTCTTACCCCCCCCCCCCCGCTTAGCGGCTGGCTTAGTCGATGCGAAATTTTCGGCCCGATTTAAAAATGTTAACCCCCCCCCCCCCCCTTGAAAAAATCTTGCGTACGCGCCTGTGTGTGATGGTAGAGAGTACAATAGTAAAAGTCTGTTCATTAATTTCAAATTAAAACTACAATATTACATAGCAAATAAACAAAGTTTTTTATTGACGAAACGCAAAAAAATTGTTCAAGAAATGTTAAGGTTATAATTATTTATTCAATAACTTGTGTCTGTTTTTATTATGTTAAAATGTAAGTTGATGTAAATATATATGAAATGTGAAATATGTGAAATAAAACACCTCGGTAAGAGGACAAGATAAAACAAATCTCTGTAATCAAATTTCATGTTTTTCCTTCTTTCTTGTGATGAGATAATCTACTCCCCTGAAAGCAAGATATAGAATGCAAAATGATATTCTACTTCACATGTTATGAAGTCGGATCAAGAACACAAATAAATACGAAGAAAACGAAAAAAATAGTGAAATTGTATGTACAAAAGGCATGGAGAGTTGTCCACAGATGATGTCATCAATTTGAATACCGCCCTCTAGTGACTAGTCATTTCAACAAGCTCTAACAACTAGGCGTTGTGGCGTGCGCCTGTAATCCAGCTAAAAAGCGGAAGTTACAAACTGATTCAGCCGAGGACGCAGGTTCGAAACTGAGTCACGTCTTTCGGATGGTGACGTTTAAAGGTCGGTCCCAGACGTAAATAATCATATCTGATTGATACACGTCTGTAAAAACCCAATACACACACACACACACACACACACACTCTAACTTCCTTATTCCTTGCCCGATTTTGTTCAAATTTTCACTGATTTTATTCAAATCTTTTAAACTTTACAATAAAAGTAACTTAGTATGAAGGTTTTGGTTCCCTTTAAACTTAAATGATAGTAGATGATGTTGTTTGAAGAGGCACTTATCATTTATATCCTTATAGTTCAGAAAACATTCGATATGTTACTGAAGGCCATTGTATTCCTCTCAACGCTGTTCCAATTATCATCAAATTTCATGCAAGTACTGCACTATATATAATCATCGAACTATGTTTTCTATACTTTTCTATACAGACGATGTTTTGGTCAGGTGTTAAGGGCACCAACGTACCACAGGACATTGCTCAGGTCACCCCTTACTTCAACGTGATAGGGGAGACCTTCCCGGGTTACATGGCCGGTAACCTATCCTGGTGTGGCGCTACGGACGGTAATGACACAGGACTCGGACTCAACTTCACTGTCTGTCCTAAAGGGAAAGGTGCAACATGTCCCAATAATACCAAGGCGATATTCTGGGCTAAGGCATCCAATATGGTGAGTCTTCGCCGCGCTTTATGGGGGCACAACCGGCCCCTGCTCCCTTTTAAATCCCTAAAGGGTCCAAATTCCAAGACGGCCTTCCGGAACAGCGCCTCGAAGATGTTGAGTCTGGGCACTCGGGACTTATATTGGGCACAACCGGCCCTAGCCCCCTCATTAAATCATAAAGTGTCCCAATAATTCCAAGACAGCCTCCTGGAACAGCGCCTCGAAGATGTTGAGTCTGGGCACTCGGGACTTATATCGGGCACAACCGACCCTTGCTCTTTTTTAAACGCTATAGTGTATGTCTACAGCTGTGCTTTGTGCACGCTGTCAGCTTTATTTAATTCAATTTAATTCAATTCAATTCAAAATTAATAACAGATAAAAAATAATCAACAATTTCTTGAGTAACCTTGAGATACAACATCCAGATGCAACAATTATATAATCAGATTATTTCCTTCACAAAGTGTTAGAGCCTAATGTACATGCGTACAATTGGACTTTTACAAATTACATAACTGATTATCAATCAGTTATGATTACATAATACGCCTTGACGTAACTCGGTTTCGAACCGGGATCCGTCAGAGCATGGACCTATTACGGATGGACATTCGACGAGATTCTTTCTTTGATCCAATGATAGTCACCGCCTTCTGATTACGTGCATCTTATTGAGAACATTCAGCTGTTTTAACAATAACGACTGCGTAAGGAGCAGTTTCTCTCTCTTGGGTATTGTTTGGATTGTGTGCTCTGTAAGAGTGTGTCTTATGCCTCGGTCACAAATGCCATTACGAACTGCTACGAACGCCGTACGAACGATTTTCAGACAATGGAAATTCGGGAAGACAATGGAAAAACAGGGAGATTCGTACGAAATTATCGTTCGTACGAACCTTTGTGACCGTAGCATTCAATAAAAACATCCCCAATGGGGAGCAGCAAAGTTGAAAAGCAGACGATTTTGGTGAGATATGAAATGTATTATTACTGATTCGCACATTTTCGCACACACCCATGACATTATAAAACATTTAGAAGGCCATGATTATAAGCCCTGTGCGTTGTAACTTTGGAATATTATGAGGAAATTGTGGGAAAAGGGAATTTAAATCACAACCAATCCAAATATAATCTCTATTTGGTAATACCAACATGTTTTTCAAAATAAAATACAGAACACGGAACAACAATTTCCGATTAAAGACCAGAACTGCACATCGATTTTCTATTATTTAAGCGATTTACCATCTTGTGCGCATGTAGATTAACATGTGTAAAATCACTATCTTGATTCTGTCCCGGCTTGTTGGCGGTGACGCTCATGAGATCAAAGTGAAGACAATTATACGAATGTTATTGAGACGACATTGACGTAAACAATCACAATGAATTCGTTAACTAAACGACAAATGTTCATCCGTATTAGGTCCATGGTCAGAGGCAGAGTGTACCAGGTGCGGGTCTAGGGGGGCCCGGCCCCCTCCCCCGATGGCCCCCCAAAATAGGTTTTAAAAAGATGGTAACGTTAATTTAACTTCTACCTTTTTTTTGTCCCCTCCCTCGCCGCCGGCTGGATCTGCCCCTGGAGTGTACAGTGCGCATACAAAAAAGTGTACCCAACTTTGATAGCTCCTAATTAAATAAGTCATAACTAATATAACTTTGAAATCTATTTTATGATGAAAAGTAACCTGTTTTCTGTCCAATGATACCATATTCATGATAATTCTGCCACGGGTGACTGAGCACCAGGGTCTTTTAAAAGTTTTGCAAAATTACCTTGTACCAAGTTAGGGTTGATGGAGTGAATGTGCCAATACATAAGACTTCTATAAGGCGCCAAATCCACTGATATTAAATCCTTTTAAAAGTTACATGATACCTCGTACTTATAAAGTGCTTCATTGTTTAAAACGATGCAATTAATGTATCTAGGCTTTGACCGAACCTTGTTTCAACCCATATGATAACCCATTTTTTTTTAACAACCTACTAACCTCTTGTCTCATGATATCTAAGTTCTCTCTGCTCACTTATCCGCTGCGCCATTTAGAAGCCTTCTCCCTCAAGTTTTGAAATCTGCACACAGTACAATGACCTCTTAAACCTGAACATGAAACCTATACCAGAAATAGGGTATTGAAATTGCCCTTGATATGATTACTAGAAAGTCTTTGCGATCGTGTATTTAGACCTGTTACCACAAACTACATTGACGTTTGCACCCGAGCGGGTCCACATGATAGAGACAAGCCATTTTCGTATGAAAAAATACTTTGCGTAACGACTTGCACATCGTACTGGAGTTCGAACCCATGATCTCCTCATCTCCAGACTATTTTTTCTGAACACTCGTCTACGACGTTCAGATATACTTGATATAATTGTGTTCCAGTTTTGATTGATTATAATGGCGGATTTAATGTTCCTGTTTCTCATATAAACATTTCTAAATTGGTATAAGTGGCAAACAATCTAATAAAGTATCAGTTTTGTATTATGCTCTTATATTAGCATTTATATAAAGTGTTAAAAATGTTAGAGAAGAATACAGGTTAATGTTTGTAATATGGAACACAATGAGAAAACATGACAAGTTACAACAGTCGGGAAAGAGTAAGAACCATGAGGAATCGAAATGCCCAAAGTCCTTTTCTGACCCAATACTACAGTTCCATATATTTTTGCTGTAGAAATTGAATGAGACCTTGGTATGAATATATTCGTAACCCACTGGTATAGCCGTACACTGAAATAATTATAATTCACCCATTGAGGCTGATAATAACGTGCGCTTTAATTCTAGAGTTCACGGGAAGTGATTTTGGACTATTCAGTCATCGAGGTATGCCATAGTGCATTGTTGGACTCTAACTCGCATAGCGTGATTTGATTATGAATACAATCATTGTATTTGAATAAATACAATTATTATGCATATATAATGTAAACGCTCTGATGATAATGTTTTTTTCCTGGTACAGTTCGCAACGCAAGCTGTTGATGACGTCTATGTTGTTCTGAATGCGCAAAAACCTGGCGGGGCTTTCAGCAAATATAGGTAAGGAAATATCATGTAACTCGTTTACCTCAACCCCACAGCGGCGATAAGGGACTTTTAGATTTGCACGTCGACATAGTGCACTGCTACGTGTTACGTCACATGTAGCAGTCCACTATGTCGACGTGTAAATCTAAAAGTCCCTATAGTTTTTTAGAGAACCACTAACATAGAGTCCCATGTCTGTCAGTGGCAGAGCCAGGATTATCTGATGTGGTGAGAGTCACATGTCCGAATGTTCTTTGACTAGCAAACAGAGCAATGGGCGGGGGGAGGGGTCATCAGTCCATGATTCTTGTTTTATTATTTCCCGTGCCCCCCTCCCCACCATACCCTCCGGATCTACCACTATCTGTGTGTCTATACATTTGACGATTGCAACACCTTGATGACATTTTTGATAGTTGGTGTGTCAAATAATCTCATCAAAATTTAACCAACAACCATGGGCATTGTAAATTTTAACCACACACACGACGAAAAGACAGCCGTGGCATTTTGCCATTAAAATTGATATTGTTCTTTTCTGCGAACCAATCATTAAAGTAGCCACACGAAGAATCAAAAGTGTTTTGAATTGATGCAAAACTCATATCGTTGTGAAGGGGAAGCCTTGCCGATCAAATACAACAACTCTTCTCTTCAAAATATGTTTGGGGCTCGAAGTAATCAACTCTCAAAAATGTTAGTTTTGAGACCCAGATTTTCAATATTTGTGACGTCACATACGGGACACAGCTGGCTAGCTACATACTGCTACACGGCACAGAGCTGTTCGTCCAGTGTGTGACGTCACAATTCAGAGCTCGCTACGCTTGTGTGTTTGACTTACGTTTAGGGGCGTTCGGGGGTCTAAGGAGGGTCTTGAAAAATTGCATTTTACGCCTTTCCATTATATCTATATGATTTCTCAGCAAATTGTTCGTGTTTTTCAAGAGAAAATCTTTCCATCCATATGTAATTTGTTCTAATTATGAGTTGTTAGTGAACTTTCTTGTGTAGCTCCTTTAAAGCACAAAGTTTGCGTTTTTTTGGCATGAAAAATGTAGTTGCGAGGAAATGACAGTTGTAATTTCCCCATCAATTGTTTTAAGGTTGGGGGAAATACGCCCCCCCCCACCCTCCCCCGACCTGGCGAATGGAATTTTTGATTTTTTGAAAATCCAAATACATGTACAAGCATGTGTCAGGGCTATCCAAGGATGAAAGGGGGAAGTAGTAGTGTTCGTCTGTCCATCTTCAAAGCTAAGAGGATGAGATAAGCGACTTTAAGTCGAATAAGCCTTACCTAATATACCTATGCTTATTTGTGTTGTTTTGTCATTTCTTAGTTTCTTCGCCACGGAAGAAGCACCTAATCTCAACCCGGACGTGGTCAAAAATGTCGCCATCTATCTCATCCCAAACTTCACTCTTCCGATTCCGAATGAAATGTAAGAACAAATTAAGGAAATTAGTATTGTTTTTTCTGGCCTAAAGTGAACTTAAAGGGATAGTTGAGTTCTGTTGCAGAGGGCGCTACACAAAATAATTTTTTGTGAGATAATGAAAAACTGAGTGTCAAATTTGAAAGAACATACTATTTAAATGACAAAATCATCTTTATACAGTAGGCTTGCGGGTGCACCATGTGAGAGAGAGGGAGGATTGAGGAGTCCTGAAAAGGACTCTCGGTAATCTTTCTTGAGGGTTTGTAGTCCTGAAAAGGACTGTTTGGTATAGTCTTGAAAAAGAATGTTGGTTATCTTTCTTAGAAGAACTATAGCGCTTGGAGAGGATGAGTGGCGGGACTGATTCCCGGGGTAAAAAAAGTTGGGGCGCCAGGGCCTGGTTTATAAAACTTTGTATCAATAGCAAATGCCAAATGTCCGTGACAAATTTGCTCTCCGCCAAACAGATACCACAATTACAGCAACTTATAATAGTTATTGTAACCTGTTATTGATAACAAGTTTTATGAAACAGGGCCTGCAGGAGCGTCACGGCGTGACGGACATGAGCGATTTTACAAGAAGCTGCACCATTCATATTTATATGGGTTTATAGATTAGATTCAGGATTTATTCAATTTTTGATTTTGATTTTTATCTTTCAAGGTATGCAGAGACGTGCACCAATGGAAGCGTTTTGTACTTGCAGAATTTCTTAATGGACATGAATTTGAATGTGACATGTGAGGAGAACCCTAAGTAAGTTAAGATCCTGTAAGTAGGGACTTTTAGATTTACACGACGAGAGCGTGGACTGCCGCGTGTGACATTGTGTTTAGGCACTGGGCCGTGCCCGGCAGTGTCTAAAAGGACGTCACATTCCCTTAAAAGGATGTCACACGTGGCGGTCCACGTTCTCGTCGTGTAAATCTAAAAGTCCTAATGTAAATAGAACGGTTTACTAACATATTCAAATTTATGGATGTTTCTTTCATGGGGACCTAGTGACGAGTTATTTCATTAACCTGTTATTAGTGAATAAACTACAATAGTTGGAATCCAGTCTGCATACATCACTTGTTGTTTTGTCTGGTAAGCGTTAGGCACGCGCGGATCCAGGATTTCTTAGGGGTGACGCCCATTTTTTTGTTTTGCCCCCGAAAATTTGAAAATCGCGCCGGCCGAAAACTCGCTCAGTGGGGGAGGGGGGTAGTGAGCACATTTTTTGGGGGGCCCTCGAAAATTTGAAAAATCACACCCTCCCCCCCCCTCCCCTTGAGCGCCAGGGGGGGGGGGGGCATCTATAAAAAAAAGATAAAATTAACGTGTTTTTTCCCAGGGGCGGGGGCCGGGGCCTCCCCCCCCCCCCCATGGATCCGCTACTGGCGTTGGGCAAGCTTTCAGGTTGTCAAGAAGAATCTTTGTTTAAAAAACATGCATAATAATGCACATTTTTTAATATGTTAGTAAGCCGGTCTGTTAAATATGATCGCAAGGAGTTTCTGAAACTCGGCCTCAAGCACTTGCAATAAGCCCACCACCGATTGATAAGTGCGAACACCATAGGCCTACTATTACTGATGATGATTACGTAATTTGAACATGATTCCAATGGAATAAACAATATATGGTATTGAAATTAGTAAATTTCTTGAAAGTCCTCGCGATTGTATTAACAATGTATTGCGACAGAGGCAGTAATATTTGAAAAAATGAAATGATTAGTTGTATGCATGCATTTTTATTTCACTCACTCTCTCTCCCCCCTCTCTCTCTCCTCCCCTCTCTCTCTCCCCCTCTCTTTCTCTCACTCACATTACATTATTTTTTCCAATAACTTCTTCTTTTTTGTTTTACAGACTTCCAATTACTACCACACTTATTTACAATTTTCTGTAATGTTTCTTGTTTTGTATTTTACCAGGGAAATCATGTGGCTCCAGTGTGCTCGGTTTGCAGATAGTCCATACTGTGGGCCATACGCCAAAGGTAACCCGGTAGTGGCCGCATCAATAGTGGTTATACTGCTTCAAGTCGTTTTCGCTATGTCTCTCAGTGGTTGGAATACAATATCTACTACCCTATAAAGATTGGGATGGTTCTTCGCGAAATCCTAGTTTGCTTGCTTCGAATAAAATCAGAAAATTACGTTTAAAAGTAATTAGCGATTGTTAACGAAATGGAAACAAAAGAACGGGAAATTACGAAATGTGAACAATCGCTGACATTATTTTTTAAATTCTACATGTATTTGTTTTAAATGACAGTTTATAGAGATTTGTGTAAATTTATAGAGACAGTATATACATTAGAATTCGCTAATCTGCTATCGGTCACAAACATTGATAAGAGGGTGATGTTATCAAATGATTCCTCTTCATTTATTAGTGTATGAGAATTCATATTTCCTTATCTTTAAAGTTCTAAGAATAAACTAAATCAAACGTCCTTTAATCAAAATTAAATTCTACACACTTAAATAAGTCGGGTAAAAGTTTATTTATTTTCGGGTAAACTTTACCAAACTTTTTCTTGAATGTATTCTGTCTAAAACTTTTTAGAGGATATAACTTAAGACATCATACCAAACAAATTAATGGCTGTTTGATGATGGTCACATTTCAAGGTTTCCAAACTACAAAAATGATGCAAACGCCATTTTATCTTGTTTATAATGAGGATCTTTACACCTTCCCTTCATTTTCCATTTAATGACCCTCGTCACAACAAAACAGACAACGTCGATTGTATACACGATACTCAAGGTACTTTTGATTATGGTACTTAATCAAGATTGGTGATTATTACTGTCATTAATATTACATTCGGTTCTCATTACATCTGGAAAATAAACTCCGGTGGAAATAATGACGATAAAAATAAAACATAATTAGATCTCTGGATCAGCCATTTCTACTTGAGTTTGCGAAATGTAAGCATGGATTTCGTCTTTAGGTAATCTTAAACATTCCAGGTCATTTTGAATTATTTATCATGCAATGGAATTGATGTTTGAACCAGCAAAAGTTCCCTTTTTGTTTATTTTATACGAAAACTTGCTGCAATATGACATTATCCGTAAACTACCAGCACCGCTATGCATACAACGGATTCCATTTTCTAATATCTCGATTACCCAGTGTTTTTTGTTCGTTTATTTCTAATGTTCGTGTTTGATAATCTTTCTTTGCATATAATATATTTTCATACTTTGGTATCATCATACACTCTCTATGGAGTATTTGTCAAATGCAGGGCTAATTTTGTTAGATTCTACGAGAATCTTTATTTTTGTCGATTGCAAAAATAAAAACACGAGGTATAATTATGCTCAGTGATGATTTTGAGGCAGAATGGGGGAGGAGAGGGGGCAACGATAGAATTATTCAACAAAATTAAGCTTGTCATGAGCTGGGCTGTCTCTTCGTCATTTTTGTTTTGTTTTGTTTTGTTTTGTTTTGTTGTTGTTTACTTCGTATGACTGATCAGCGCTTGGTATAGCAGTGGCATAAGCATGTGTCAAGAGTCAATTCTATTTTGAATAGAGCAGGTATGCCTCTGTATCCGCATAGCTACATTATGTCACTAATTAGTAACATACACCCCCAAATGGTGAGTCTTGCTTCATTTTTTATGACGTCATGCAAAAATTAACTTTAGACGTTATGGCCGATCCCAAATTTAAAAGAATTCGGGAATAACATATTGAATGTTGCAGAAACTTTGTCTTTCAAGTTCTCTAAATAAAGGGGACCGATTTTGTCCTAGAAAATATAAGTACGTTAATTTCACCACGATATAAATGTCTGTATAGATATAATGTACATTTTGCTTGTCTTTGTCGTACAATGTTACTTTTCCCTTTTCTATTCGTCAACGTTATTTTCCACCTTCTCTCCATATGTCTTATTTTGTTACCATTCCATCGAACTGTTTATTTTAACTGTCCCGTCCACAGATACCAAGTGTTGTTTTTTAAACCCTGATTGACAGATTCATTTGATAATGTTTAAATCATTATGTACGTATTTTGTAATGTATATTCATGAATTTCTCATTTTGTGTGTGGGTTTGCATCAATGCAATTACGCAATATTAAAAATCCCTTCTGAGACCACCTTGATGTTATAACTTTTTGGAATTATACGCTTTTGGAAGCGGCCTATGGAAATTCATATTATTTTCAGGTGGGCTGTATCTATACAGACCACCTTATAATTTTGTTAAAATTGCCTTTATTATTATTTATTTATTTTATTTCTAACCACTTTTTTGTTAACAAGATAACTTGAAAATGGCTCAATCAAATAACTTGAAATTTGGCACACATATGTATAGGCATATGGAGAAAACACGGTAAGGTTTTCAACCTTGACCTTGACTGATGACGTCATCTAGGCGCCATTTTGTGAAATTTTCTGAAAATTTACTCATGATCATATTTTCATAACGGTAAATCATTTCTCATTCATATTTATCATGATCAAGGTCAATATCAGTCCGGTCAATTTCATGTCAAAAAACGCGCGCGTGCGCGTACGTCCGCGCGTTAGTGCGCGCGCAAAATTTTATAATGCTGAGAATCGTTTCAAATTTATTTTGCATACGTTTAAGGCCATTTTAAGCATTTTATAAAAAATCGCGCGTACGAGCATGCGCGCGCGTTTTCGCGCGTAACACCATTACACAACATAGAATCGCCATTTTTTTTTCTTTCATGATATTTCTCATATTTTTTCAAGGAATTTGATACCATGTTTATCTCTTTATGACCATTATTAACAAGATGAGCGTAAATTCAAGATAAATGTCAGTGCGCGCGAGCTCTTTTAATACATAGCATATATGGGCAAAAACATGCCTATACAAAATCCGTTATACCTCTTTGGAATGCACCGGGATCCTCAATTTTTTTTCATATTTAGATAGAGTATGAGTCGGAAATATGATTCCATGTCTCATTTGGCCATTAAGTGTATCGTGACATCATCACAATGGCCTTGGAACTCAAAATACGAATTTGCATATTATGACGTCAGCATATTTATGTAAAATTGATTGTATCTCTGTAAATATTGATCAATTTTCTTCAAAATTTCGATATGTTGTAGCTAAGACAATTCTCTACAAGCGCAGTAATAATCATTTCTCATTTTGATGACGTCATCATAGTGAAAATTTTGATTAAAGGCCTCATGTCAAAAACTTCATAATTTGCGTGTTATGCCTATAGAAGGTGAATTTAGTTCACGTTATGAATCTACATGATATTGTTTTTTAAGAATTTGTAAGCAGTATGTCGCTTATTTTTGCTCTATTTTGTCTCAAATTTTAGTTGACCAGCCCACCTATACTTGTTCCAAACAAGTATTATATGTCTAGTTTGGCTCTTGATGATGTGAGCCACGAGTAAAATTTGATATTTTATCCTTTTTTTCAACGTAGCCTTTATATTTTGTATTTTGTTGGACGCAATGGTAGAATTCTTTATGAAATTAGTCATCGGGGTTGTCTGTCCACGACTTACCATAATGGTAGGTTCCCACTGCCGATCAAACCAAACCGACCAAGCCCAATCAAGCCCGATCACCCATTTTCCCCGACCAATCCCGATCCCATGCCTAAACAGAAGCTCTTCCTGACCGCTATTCGACCATTGACGACCCACATTCGACCATTCATGACTCCTGCACGACGTATAGGCGACCACAACTTCGATCTCTTCTCGATCATTCCGATCTACATACAATCCCAACGCGATCCCTAATAGACCAACTAGACGTACACACGATCTCTACACAATCTCGAGCCGAGCAGATCGACCTGTTCGAACAGAAATCCAAGATGACTCGTCAATTGAGTGGTTACACAAAATATTATCGTCAGCTGATGGTACAGTACTCATTTTTTATCAGCGTTCAGTTCATCTCAGACACTCAAGAGATGTAAATCGAACAGTTACAGTTGTGGGCAGTGGCGGATCGAGGGGGGGGGGGGTGTGGCCCGGGGACTCGGCCCCCTGGCAACAACAAAAAGTTCCTCCCCCCCTAAGCCACTGAATGAAATATCTGACGACGTAATTTCCCAATTTCCGGCCCCCACCCCCCCCCCCAAAAAAAAAATGGCTCATCTGACCGTGATTAAATGCCTTAAAACCCCTAAGCTTCCGGGGACTCTACCCCCCCCCCCCGGATTTTACCTAAGGCCCAAAATCAGGCACCTGGATGCTCATCTGATGCAAATTTAATGCTTAAAACTCTTTCTGCTCGTAGTGAAAAATTGATAGACTACCAATAATATCAATTCCTTCCTTACTTCTGGGATTTTTTACAACAATGTCACGGATCACTTACCAATTTTAAAAATTACAAATCATGCTATATCTAATATGCCTGTGCAGAGGGTAAAAAGCGGCTGATTAATGATAAAACCATGAATAACTTGAAATTTGATTTGATGACCGAAGACTGGATACGTGTCATTTTTTCTAACGATGCAGAAATTGCTTTCAAGAAATTTAAAACCAAATTCTCCTTATATTATGAAAAAAAAATTAACACTAATTACAACAAAAAAAACTTAAAATAAATGTAAAAAACCTTGGTTGAATGTTGAATTATTAAAATTAATTGAAGGCAAAAATAAACCGTATAGAAGATATCGTAAAGTGAGATCAAACACAAATAAAACTAAATTTCACGAAGCTCGTAATAGAGTGAATAAGCTGAGAAAGAAAGCACGGCGTAACTATTTTGCTCATAAATTCCAAAAAAATAAAGGTGATATAAAGCAAACATGGTCAGTGATAAAAGAAATTGTTGATAAATCAAGTAAATCTTTACCTTCATATTTTAGTATTAATAGTCAAGACATTCATGATCCTCTTTTTATTGCAAACTGTTTTAATGATTTCTTTAAAATTAATATCGGTCCTAACATGTGCAATAACATTCCCAGAAGTAATGAAAATGATTTTATTAAATTCTTGCGTTAATCTAATGGTGCTTCATTATTTTTAACTCCTGTAAATGAATCAGAACTTTAAAAAATTGTGAAATCGCTGAAGAGTACTAGTAGTTGTGGTATTGATAATCTTAATCCATGTGTTTTAAAGAAGGTATTAATATATATTTCAAAACCTCTTGTTCATATTTTAATCTATCTTTATGTACTGGTATAGTGCCATTTGATATGAAAGTTGCTAAAGTAACCCCAGTACATAAAAAGGATGATACACATGTTATTGGAAATTGAAGACCAATATCAGTACTACCATTTTTCTCAAAATTTAAAAAAATAAATTGTTTATAATCGTTTAGAACATTTTTTAACAAAACATGTAATATTAAATTCTTGCCAGTATGGTTTTACCAGGAATGTATCCACTGAAATGGCTCTTGTTGATTTACATAATTATCTGATATCTTCTTTGAATAACAAATTACACTCCGTGGGGGTGTTTTTAGATTTGAGTAAAGCATTTGATTCGATCAATCATGAAATTATGTTAGAAAAATTGAAGGTATATGGTACTAGAGTCACAGTATCCTTATGGTTTGAAACTACTTAAAAATCGAACTAAAATAACTTTTTACAGCGATGTTTTATCAGATCCAATGAGAGTAAAGTGTGGCGTACCACAGGATTCAATCCTGGCCCCTTTTGTTTTTACTGTATATAAATGATTTTATTAATTGCTCTGATAAATTGAAATTCATTCTTTTTGCTGATCACACAAATATCCTTTATATCCATGACAATTTCTATGATGTATGTAAATTTCTTAATGAGGAATTATGCCATGCTTCACAGTGGTTTTATTGTAATAAGCTATCTCTTAACATTTCCAAATCTAGCTTTATATACTTTCATCGTAAGCAAAATACAATTACAGAACATTTATTGACCAATCTTAATATTAGTATGAATAATGTAATCATAAAACGTGTCTAATCCACAAATTTCTTAGGCGTTGTTATCGATCAACATTTATCATGGGTCGAACATAAATCTACTATATCTAAAAAAATATCAAGGAATATTGGTGTCATCAGCAAACTGCGCAACTTCTTGCCGGAACATATTTTAATCTTACTGTATAATTCAATGATTTTACCTTATTTA